TGCATTTGGTGGGGAGAAACAAGCAAGCACATGTTTTTTCAGGCAGGCTAATGTTGGTGCTGCTTCAAATTATTTGCTTCATGACGAAAGATACAGCTGGCTCAGTGGACATCAAATACTTGGAAAATTCTTGTCACTGTTTTTGGAAAAAGTATCACCAACAAAATCTGTTGGAGCCAACTCTCCAAAACTGAAGCGTGTTGCTTGCTTGGTTGGACTTGTTGCGACATCGGTTTCCAGAGGAGTCGGCGCTGGAACGGAGCATACATCCTGCCGTAGGAAGTCTAGCATCGAACCTCTTGGAAGCGTATCACCTCCACCGGGTTTGTGTGAGTCGCCACTGCAGGCGCTTTCTCTTTCCGTTGAGTCGTTTCTGTTGCATACGGCAGCAGCAGCAGAACCAAGTTGCCCAATTGACTGCTCTTGCAGACTCTTGTGACCAGAGAGACTGTTGCAGCTTCGAAGGGCAAGAGTACTGGTGGCGATCTTAGTGACTTCAAATGCAGTTTCAACAGAGGCGCTTTTGTTGTGCTGCGCAGACGCGATCAATCCACATGGGAAAACACAGAGAAAGAGCACGTGGAATTGCTCTGCGCAGCCAGCAACCATCACATCATTCCAACATTATTGTGGCAGTATTGCGTTCTTCTTGAGTCGTGATTGATTTGTCATGAACATTGAATCATACTGAATGATAATGAAAACAGAATCAGCCAAACAAAAAACACAGAAAACAACTGATAGCGTCGAAGAGGTCGTTTTGATGCGATTTTGAGCGTTTGAACGGAAATGAAAACCTCCATAACTTACATCGTCGAAGAGGTCGTTTTTGGTGCAATTGGAGCGTTTCTTGACACCAAAACAAAAACCCCATAAGTCTTTACGAAATTCAACCCCGAAGAGCTTCTTTGCAGTTTCGACGTTTGGCGAAACGTTTCGCTTTTTTCACAAAAAGAAAAATACTTCCGTAAGCCTACTTTCTCCATGGTTGGCTCTACTGTGCGCATGCTTGCAGCTGGAGAGACAAGACCCATCGAGCATGCAAAAGTTGGTTTGGTCAAGTTGTTTCAGCATTTAATCCTTACAAGCCACGATGGAATCTTGATGAGTCTGCAGCTCCGGGTACGAGGAAGAAAAGCAGTTATGTGCATGCTTCTAGTTGTGCAGATGATGTCGAGCCGGCTGTATTGGAAGTGTATTGGTCGTGGTCAAAGAAGGATTTTATGGAGGAGCGAGCTTTTGCGTGAACGAAAAAGAGATAGAGTGAGAGATGTTGGGAAGATGTGTTAGCAATGAGCATTATTCAGTTTTTGCCGATTCTAGTTGGCAACTGTCATGTTTTCACGCAAGTGAGCAAGTTCGTTTTACCGCTGTGTTGTTCGTTTTTGATGTGCGGTTTGCTGTGTGATTAGGCCGTGCAAAAGTAGCATTTTCCCACGCGTTTACTGGAGCCTTTTCGGGTGCGCCTCGTGCGTCACAACGAGTGACGTTCAGCTGCTCTCTGGGTGATTCTGGCAGAGCGGAGGCATGGACGGAGGTCCGTAGCTGACTACCGGTGCTTAGGGAATGAGTCGGCGGTGCAAACAAGCTTTCTGGACACCACACCAGCATTTTCCCAAACTCTGGTCGGTCTGGTCACACGTCGCCACAAAGCTGGTTCGCATTGTCTTGAGAACTTTCGTGACGTGTGTTGCACTTGTCTGTCAACATGCATGGTAGCGTCATCCAATACGACGAGAACTCGAACATGTCAAACGGTGTTTCAAGTGAATGTCGCAGTTCCAAAGTGAATGCATTGCTTGCGCTGTGGTTGATGTAATGCAATGCAGATTCCGTGTTCAAAAAGTTGTTTTGACCCGACACGAAGCAGCCAATGGCTCAAGTTTCAGTCACGAACCTTATCCGCTTGTAGTACTGATGGGCAGCGCTGCCCGATTTCGGTTATGGTTGGCATGGACCGTGATGATGCCTGGACGCATCCCGGCGCTCGAGGCGGATTTGGTTTGGATTGCCGGTGAGTTTGCATGCAGTTTTATTACCGCATTACTTCGAGTTCGCGGAACTTGTAACAGCTTAACACATTAGCAGGTCTACCAGGAAGCCATCAGTCCTCCAAAGCCCCCGTATCATAGAAAAAACAGGCTTCAGTACAGCACGTTGTTGCAGGTGTAGGAGTTTGGATGTTCGGATGTGACCGGGCATGTGGGCATGTGTTTAGAGTCGCCGCGCAAAACTTGTGTGAGGTTTTGGTTTCTTGATCGTTGCAAAGGTCTAAGGTTCCGTGCTTCAGCATCGGAACATGCGTGTTCGCCCTAAGGTAGAGGGTGCTACTTTGGCATTTCATTTCACATCCGAAAAAACATGATCCTGAAACCTGAGTTGTTATCCCGGCGCCAGTGTCTTTTGTTGCTCTGCACGGAGTTTTGACAAGCTGATCAGATGCATGGAAGCCGTAGAATGTAGGCACTGTGGACTCAGTTCCCTGTGAAGGAGACGTGCCCCACCCACGCGCGCAGTTTGCTTCAAAGCAAGCGGCAGAAGCTCAACGAGGTGGCACGTTCAAGACACGTTCTTGGCAATATTGAACACGAATTTGGATGCGCTTCACATTGCGGTCGTGTTGCCGGTGCGGTTCTGAGAACGGAGGTCGTCGGAATGATATGAGAGTTTCCGAAAAATCTAGTGGACCCTAATAACATAGTACCCTGAACAGCAGGATCCTTCCGATAAGGATCCCAAAATATAAGGTACCCCTAACTGACGGGAACTCCAATATCGGTCGTTGGTTTCGCTGCATTTCTGTTGTTCCGAAACCCCGAATCCCAAACCCTAAGCTTCCAAACGCCTCCTCGTAAACTTGTAGCAGTCGCATTATAAAGGCATTATAGGATTTCTACGAGTTTTAGGAATTTCAGAAGTTGTAGAACTGTAGGGTCTTTGAGGAACTACAGGCCATGTTCCGGAGCCGTTCGCCAGGTCGAAGTGGAATCTATGGCGGCCCTCCGGGATGAGCCTCCTGAAGAGATGTCCGAGGCAGGTCTAGGGTTCAGTGTTTAGTCCATCCGTCCATCCGCGCATCCATTCATCCGTCCATCCATCCAATCTCAGTGTCATCATTATTGTCATTAGTATCTTCCCACTCTTGTCAAGATTCCTCTTACCATTCTTATTCTGGCTGGTTGTCATGCCACAATTACCATCTTCGACATCTTCGACATTCTGTGTTTTATCCTCAGAGTCACCATGGCCATCACGGTCATCAAATGCATTCTCAGTGTCAGACTCACGTCGCCAGCACTCGCGCCATCGCAACACCATCGCAGTCATATCACTAGTGTAATCCTTAAACCTTCAACCTTACACCAATCCTCCTCCTCATCATCATCATCATCATCATCATGTTGAACCCACTGCTACAACGTATAGGCGCCTAAAGAATTACCTAGCCTATACTAGTTGTGGGGTTCCTTATTATACTTGTAGTATATGTATGGGGCCCCAGAACCCTATTTCCAATTATTAAGGCCCTTATACCAAATCGTAGCCCTTCTAGTAGGCCTTGTAGACCCTAAACCCTAAACCCTATGACAGACATTTTCCTTGAACTCAGTAGGCTTCTGCAGCTCTGTAGCTCTCGGCGACGAGGCCTTAGAACTCAAGGTTCAACGGATCCTGCTTGTCTGGGATATCATTCTGCACGCAACATAACCCCCCCCCCAGACCCCACACTCCAAACCCTAAACCCTCAACCCTCAACCCGAGACCCTCAAACCCTCAACCCTCAACCCTCAAACCCTCAACCCTAAACCCTAGACCCTTGAAGCGAAGACTGCCACGTGCGTGCTGGGAGTCTCGCCCTAAAACACCCCGGGGCTGCAGGCCTCCACCGGCCGCAACGAAGAGCTGCAAGGAAGATCCTCGGCTTTCGCCGTTCCCGGAGTCAAATCATATCAGGGATCCTACTTCATTTAAGGAATATTCCTTAATTAAGGAATATTGGAGTCTCTGGGAAGTCAGTGTATAATACTTTACAATGTGATAGAGGAGAACACAGTAGAACTACTAGATAGTGCAAGATGACAGAAGAGAATAGAGTAGAACTGCTATATAGTACATTATGATAGAACCGAATGAGTAGAGGTGCTATGTAATAAAACATCATATCATGATTTTTGTGTCGGTGGTAGAAGGGGTTTCGATCTTCTCGGCGAGCTCTCCACGCGCCTGAACTGTGGAACCCTTTTGATACGTCTCTCTCTATCTCTATATCTGTATCTACATTCACATCTATATCAAAATCCAACACCTCAAGCCTGAAAGCCCCTGAGCCCCAAGTGTCTGAAGCACGAACAGGTTTAGGTTAGGGCTTCGAAGAAGGGTCAAGACGAAGCTCCTAGTCGTGCCCAGAACGGCTCGACGTCATGTTTTTCAGCTCGAGTGGGGTGGTTGAAAGGTTTTGGCAGCTGCTGGAGATTCGGCAACCACGCAGGTGATTTTGCTTTGTAGGGATGCCGCATGAGGTGAAACCTGGGGGCGTGGCACCAGACTTCCGTGCGGTCTCCAGATTTCATGGTTTCTCTTAGTTAGGGTCCCTTCTTCGGTTCTCAAAATGAGATGGCGCAGGCTCATACCCTGCGGCCCACAACATTGGCCTAAGCTCGAAGCTTTTGCGGAACGGCGGAACTGCTTTTCGACCGTGCGAGGCCCTTTTGGGAAGGACCACCGCGGAGAAGAGATGCTTGGCAGAAGCATTGGTGTTGGAGGGGTTGAGGGTTTCTAGGGTTCGACTTAGAGTTCAGGATTGAGGGATGCGCTAAGTTTAAGTTAACAGACTGAGACTTGGCTATAGCGATGAATGCTTGCATGCTCAAACCGTAAACCCCTAAACCCTAAACCTGAAAACCCTAACCCCTAAATCCTAAACCCCTAAACCCCTAAACCCCTAAACCCCTAAACTCTAAACCCCTACAGACCGTGTTGAAAGCGGAGAGGGGCCCCAGGAGCTGGCTCACGCTCGGCTCCGAAATGCCCGGACGCCGAATCGCTGCCAGATCCGAGGAGAGGTTCTTGGGAGAAGGGGGTTTGGGGTTTTAGGGTTTTAGGGGTTTGGGGCTTGGGTTGCAGGGTTTTAGGGTTTTGGGGTTTAGAGAGTAAGGTTAGGGTTTAAGGTTCAGGGGTTTAGAGATTACTGTGTCGTTCATCACCTGCCCGCACGCACCCAGGTGTCTCCTTGTGTTTCTGTACATGCACCGTGCAAAGTTTTGCTAGTCAACGAGCTGCCCGAACGAGTGGAGTCACTTGGTTTTTGTCATGGTTGCTCATGTTTGTAGTACCAGAGAACGCACAAGTGCGGCATGTTTTGTACTGCCACTGTGATGGAAACTTCAAGTGGTGCTGCTTGCAACAGAGAGTCTGCGACAAGCCTCCCAGCTTAGTACTGGATGGAAGCCTTTTCGGCTGTGCATGGTTGCTCTTCTCAGTACTAAACGCTGTAGCTTGCGCGTTTCCAGCGCTTGTCGGGTCTTTCCCATGCCGCTGGTGCTGAACTACCGCTTCACGTTTATCGACGCAGAAGACGACGAAGAGGCAGCTCAGGGTGTCCAGCTTCGACGGGCGCTGACACCACCACCTCCGCGTCCCGGTCACATGAGTCAACTTGGTGAAGCTGCTCATTCACAGGTGCTCGAGGTTGCACGCTGCCGAGACTACTTGAATGGCTTGATGCGTGAACGCGGACTCGTTGATTCCAGGAAGCATGGCGCGTTCAGACGAATGTCGGATGGAAGCAAAGATTTCGACGCCAGTGTAGATGCTCCGAAGGGTGCATCGGAACAGATGAGCGTTGGCAGCTTGGGCCATCCCATCGCATGTCGTCGCCCATGTGTGCACATGATGAAACATCGTCAATGCCCGGAAGGCAGTGTCTGTGGCTACTGTCACTTCCCACATCCGCGGGAGGTGGGACCGCAAAAATAGTCTGAGGTCGCTCGGGAGCTTCTGTAGATCGCTAGATGCTTGCAATGTGGAATCTGGCTAGGTCTTAGGTGCCCGGTGGTGGCCGTGCTAGTTCGTTCGCAATACGGTTGAGGGTATTTCCTGCCAAGGGCTGCCGTGCCTGTGCCAGGTCAAGCTGGACCGAGTGCAGCGTGCCATGATCCACCAGCTGCCGTACGGATCCTTCTTGCGGATCGTAGCCGAGATGCTGAAGACGAAGGCGCCCGAGGTCGCCAAGCCGGCCGTTTGGGATGCCGTGCACCTTTTGGAGGAGGAAGCAGAGACGGCGGAATGCTTCGGAGCGCAGACTGATGTGAAGGCCATGAAGAGGTTCAAGAAGGGCCTGAAACACCTCAATGTGTTGAGCTTGCTTTCGTTGGCCAAACGCAGGTGCCAAGACCATGTCTGTGAGAAACTCACACAGATTGCTGCAGACCTCCGCTTCCGGGTATGATTAGAGCTCTACATTGTCTGTGTAGAAACTTACAGACTGACTTACAGATACATGTTCTACAGATAAATCTGGATAATATGTCACAAAGATGTGTACGCATACATTGCAGTTTGTATATTTTTACATATATCTATCTATGTATATATCTGTATAGGTATATATATATATACACACACACCATATATATATATATATATATATATATATATATATACATACATACATACATTACATACATACACACCACATGTATGTGCGGTAAACCGGGAAGGAGCAGCTTACTCCAGGCTTGAATTCAAACGATCGCTTGTGCCCTCCATTTTCAAGAAGTCCCTGGATTGGAATCTGTAGATTGTAACATCGCGTACCCTCTCCTGGGAGCTTGCTCGGACGAGACCGAGGACACAGTGTTCAGTGACCATGCAAGAATGGGTTCTTGTGAAGGGATCGAATTTAAGCTGGACTAGTAAGGAAGCCATATTATTTACTATGGATCCCTATTATGGTAACTTAAATTAAAGTCTTTAGCAAGATCCCATGCAAGAACAGACGGAGCAGATGTCAAATACGTCAAATCGCAGCTAGCCAGCTTCCAATTGCTCAAAAAACAATACCCGATCCAATGATCGACGAGAGCGATGGATCCACGGCCTTTCCTTCCCTGGTTACACAAAAAAGGCACCGTCATGATAGTCATACTACTCCTCTTCCTGCCCCTCCTCCTCCGCTTCCTCCTACTCACTGCTGCTGCTCTTACTAAGAGTTACTATTATTCATTATTCTTGTTACAACTAGCACTGCAACAGCCACTCCAACAACAACTACCACTACCACTACCGCTGCCACTGTCACTGTCACTGCCACTGCCACTGCCACAGCCACTACTACCACTGCTACCACTACTACCACTACTACCACTACTACCACTACTACCACTACTACCACTACTACCACTACTACCACTACTACCACTACTACCACTATTACAACTACTGCCACTACTGCCACTACTGCCACTACTGCCACTACTGCCACTACTACCATTACCTCTACCGCTACCGCTACCGCTACGACGACGACGACGACGACTACTACTACTACTACTACTACTGCTACTGCTGCTACTACTACTACTACTACTACTACTACTACTACTACTACTAGTACTACTTTTACTACTACTACTACTTCGACTTCTTCTTTTACTACTTTTACTACTGCTCCTACTACTACTACTACTACTACGACGACTACGACTACGACTACGGCTACGGCTACGGCTACGACTACGACTACGACTACGACTACTACTACCACAACTTCACAACCACTACTTGTACGAGTAATCGTGCTAGTAAAACTGTAAAACAAATACTAGTGCTACTGCTAGGGCTAGTGCCGGTGCCGTGCTAGCGCTATTGCTAGGGCTGGGGCGACTGCTGCTGCTCCTGCTACCGCTGCTGCAACTGCTGCTGCTACCTGCCACCTGCTACTGCCACTGCTGCTCCTGATGCTGTCGCTGCCGCTGCCGCTAGTGCTGAGGCTACTGCCACTACTACTGCTTTTATGTTTCCTTCCGCCACAGCAACAACAACAGCAGCGACTACTACGGCTGCTGCTACGACGACGACAGCTACGACTACTGCTACTGCTACTAGTACGACGACAACAGCAACAACAACAACTACTTCTACTTCTACTTCTACTTCTACTTCTACTTCTACTTCTACTTCTACTTCTACTTCTACTTCTACTTCTACTTCTACTCTACTTCTACTTCTACTTCTACTTCTACTTCTACTTCTACTTCTACTTCTACTTCTACTTCTACTTCTACTTCTACTTCTACTTCTACTTCTACTTCTACTTCTACTTCTACTTCTCCTTCTACTTCTACTTCTACTTCTACTTCTACCTCTACTTCTACTTCTACTTCTACTTCTACTTCTACTTCTACTTCTACTTCTACTTCTACCTCTACTTCTACTTCTACTTCTACTTCTACTTCTACTTCTACTTCTACTTCTACTTCTACTTCTACTACTACTATGGCTACGGGTACTCGACGGCCTGGAAAGGTTGGCAGTGTTTATGTCCGGTTGCGCTCTGAGAGTTCATGGAGCTTCTTTGCGCAGAACAGTTTTATCGGGCGAAAGCCCGCTATCGCCTCGGAATCTCATGCTGTGGCCACCACTGTGGTTCCTGCAGCAACAGGTCCGGAGGCCCTGTTTGGAGATGTCTTTATCGCTGCCTCACCATTCGCTGTCGCTTGCGCCAGCGATACTGTTTCAAGGAGTTGCAGGGAGCAGAAGTTTTTTGTCGCAGGTGGTCTTGAGAAAACAGACATGGAGAGCGAAAGGCGAACGCAGAGGAACTTAGGACAGATGCGTGTAGAGAGAGGGCCCCTTGGAAGTGATCGGTGTCTGAGAATTGAGGGGGTCTTGTCAGGACCCATCATGCAGAGGATTTTATCATTAGTTTGCAATGTGCCTGGGTGGATCCGCTCATTGGACTAGGGTCTTCATCAAATGTGAATCTGGAAAGCCCAATGCCTCGGATGAGCAAGAGGATTCCTTCGAGCTCTGCCGTGCTCCGAGTGCCAGTGCTCTCAGTCAGGCTGGGTCGAGTTTCTTGCATCTAGGCCCTAAACCCTAAACTCTGAACCCTAAACCCCAAACCCCAAATCCTAAACCCCTAAACCCTAAACCGAGGGGGTCTTTGCGGGTGGATGACTTATGGGTTCCTGGCTGCTTCGGAGCTCTTTTGCAGAGGTTGTAAGCCTTGAGGACCAAGGTCGGCAGAGTCCCGTTTTCTGAACTCACAAGGGCTTAGGGTTTAGGGTTAGGGTTTAGGGTTTACTCCAGGACATAGTAGAGCCTTACATCCAAAAACACCCCTGAGGCCCAAAAGGACCCCTCTTCTGCTTCAAGCGGTCTCGCGCCTTCAGCGCGTTTCTGACAGTGGGTGAGGCCTAGGAGCTGGTTTGTGGAAGGGTTTTTTGGACTCGAGCTCTAGGGTTTAGGATGCAGGGTTGGGGTTTAGGCTTTGAGGATTCTGTCGCAGCCAGGACGGTGAATCCCCAGCCCCAAGATCTGAATCCCAAGCTCGAAACCCTAGGCCTGAACCTCCAAACCCTACTTGGAGGGTCGGGGGACTTAGTAACTGGTTATTTTAAGGACTTATAAGTATCATAACCTCAATTAGGGTCCCTTTTAGGGTACTTATAAGTCTACTTACTACCTACTTACTAAGTCCCCCGACCCTCCAAGTAGGCCCTGAACCTATCAGTCTTACACCAGCCTTGGCCGCACTGACGTTCTAAGGGGAGACCTTTGAAACAGAAGCCTGAATACCAATCTAAATGAGTATATCCGTAAATACTAAGCATTGTACATACACGCTATATATATATATATATATAAATATATATATATATATATATATATATATATATATTTATACAGATATATTTATATAGATATAAATATAGATATAAATATAGATATAAATAAATAAATATATATATATATATATACATATATGTATATATATATATATATATATATATATAAATTATATATGTATATATGTATATATATATATATATATATATATTTATAAGGGTTTCGGATCGAGGCGTAGTGGACCAGACACGCGCCGATTGCTGAAGCCACAGTACCACAATCTCGCAATGGGAAGTAGGAAGTGGTACGACCGAGCCAAGAAATCAAACTGGTGCAGAGGCCCCAGGCGGAAGTATTGTCAGACTTGTGGAGGCGTGCCATGGCCGAAGTACGACTCGCCTGTTAATGATCATTTAGAGTGGCCCTCTTATGACGACTTCTGCATCTGCGGAGTGCTGGACGCATGTGTCGTGGGTGACGTGCTCTGCTCGGGTGTGGGTGTAACTGAAATGAGCCGTGATCGCCCATGGGGAAGCACGTGTTGCGTTACTGGGAATGTTTCGAGCACTGCTGATACAGCAAGCTGCAGTGTTGGCCTAGATGCAGTTCAAAACCCTCTGCTTTTTCAGTGCGACGGTGACATGGAAGCAGATGTGGTGCAGAGGCCGGCAAGAGCCAAGGTCCTGCCAGCTAGCAACAACTTGGAGTCGTTGGCATGTGGTGAAGAAGGGCCAGCTCTCCAGGATCAATGTGCGATTTGTGATGCTCCGCTGAGCCACGGACGTGGCAGGCAACTGTATACGCAGATGCATGATGACATATGTATGACTAGGGCTTGGATTGGAACTTGGGAGTTGCTGGACCAGAATCCGAAGAGCGGTGGGATTGACACGCCCAGTGAGTTGCATGCACGCGGAGTGTCTTGTATGCATCATTGCGTTAGACCGACATCTGAGTGGCTGCACCTGGTAAAAACTTTGGTGGGCTCGAATCCTTCGCCTACCAAAGTCTCTCGGGAGCCTGTTATGCGGAACCGGGTGCTTCGGTTCATCCGGAAGTGTCTGGTGAAGAAGAGCCCCTGGATGTCCACAACGGTCACTCTCCGAGAGGACGATTACAAGGCCTTTTACGTGCACACCGGCAAGTTCCTCGAGCAAGAGGCCCACAAGGACGTTACCATGCGCAGTAAGATGACTGAGATCCATTCCCCCCACGTCTCGAAGTGCATGCGGACCGACCGTGACTGGGCTGACGACTTCATCTTCGACCCTGGCGGCAATGGGGAATCGAGGGTCAGCCTTCCATTGGCTCTCACGAGCTTGGAGTATGGCTGGCTTGCCTAGATGGAGTGTGAAAGCAACGCAAAACGCATGAGTTGAGGCACTCATGTGTTTGTCTGAGTGCATACCACTTTGGATTTCCGCGCCAGGCACGTTTCACTGCCGCAGTGTTTAACAAGTCACTACCCTGCCCGGCAGGCTGAAAGTTTTGTCCACGGGACGGCTTTCGTGGTAGATCATGGAGCCGTTACCTAGCACAACGGGGTGAGGGGCTCCTAGAGACGGCTTTTCCTTGTTGCCGGTTACATCTCTAGTTGCCTGCACTTGCTCCTGCCTTCAGGTTTGTGTCCGGGGATATTCTGAGTCGATTTCCTTCGTGCACAGGCTATTGTTGGCGAACAGTTTAATTAGGTGCACCCAACATGGGCTGCGTCCGACCGTGACTCTCTGCCCGAAATGCGAGAAAAAAAGAAATATATATATATATATATTTATATATATATTTATATATATATATATATATAAGCATATATATATATAGCGTGTATGTACAATGCTTAGTATTTACGGATATACTCATTTAGATTGGTATTCAGACTTCTATTTCAAAGGTCTCCCCTTGGAACGTCACTGTGGCCAAGGCTGGTGTAAGATATATATATATATATATATATAATTTATATATATATATATATATGGATTTGTGTATACATATCTATCTATCTATCTGTCTATCTATCTATCTATATATATATACATGCGTACATGTGTGTACATACATATGTCTATGTGCATATATCAAAAATATACACATGTACATACACGCGCTACGGCCAAGTCCCAGCAGGTGGATTCCATCGACTCATCGTTAGCGATCGAGAGCCAGGCGCTAGTTTCGAAGTGAGTTCGATCAAGTTCCACAAGCCCTAAACCCTAAACCCCCAAACTCCTAAGCCCTAAACTCCTATGCCCCTAAACCCTAAACCCTAGCCAGAATTTGCTACATGCTGTTGAACAGAAGCCAGTCGTGAACGTGTAAGTTGTGCGTGGGCTATGTTTTGGAACTGAACCCTATCACATGGGAGTTTCCGAATATAGGGAACCCTAATATAATGCCCTAAATAGTAGGATCCTTATTATAAGGACCCCGAAATAAGGTAACCCTAAACCGTCTCTGGGTCTCCCTTGGGCGCGCCGTGAATGCACTGCATCTTTCTTCAGCCTCTTCGGGCAAAGAGAGAAAGAAGGCTGCGACGTCGACTTCTTTGGGGAAGTTCGAAAGTCCAGATTTTTTTGGGGAAGTTCGAAAGTCCAGCATGATTTCGGGCCATCTGTTCGGAACTGATGGCTTTCAACCACCGGTTGCGAGATCCTGCCGAAGATTCTAGAGCCCCCAAGCGGCAGTCTCCCTCAATCTGAAGCCAAAATCAGTCCATCGTAGACCCTGCTGTGCCGCCGGACAGACGGCGCTTCACGAGAGCGGCGCGAGCTGCCATGCGCCGGAGGCGAGGAACATCGAATCGCGAAGCCAGTATTGTGGACGCTGCTATTCAGGTGGTTGGTCCGTTTCTGATAGATCAATATGTCTTCTTGATTTGTCTCTCCGATGATTCCTATCATGATGCGCATCATCATGCTTGCCAGAATACTTGGCACCCCGTACCTTACTTTGATGAGGATGCTTGTGTTTCTCGTTGTGGCCACATAGATCACAGTGGCCGGTGTCATTGAGACATAATCTCGTATTATGTTCAGAAGCCTCTTCGTCAAGAGACCGCCTTATTGTCTGTGCGAGATTGCAAGCGTATGCTTATCAATCCCATTCTTCTTATCTTGATTTGATTTCTGTTGCTGTTGTTGATCCCCATAGTATTCATAGTTCGAATTATCTTCATCACCGTCAGCATCTACCAGGGCAGCGCAGTATGACACCACCAGCAACAATCTAGCAGTTGCTGTCCTGACTAAGCCAACGTACTGGCCAGTGCAATATGACAATCTGCTGCACAACCAAACCAACCCATGATGACAGCAGCACAAGTATACACACACACACCATCGAGAAAATAGGCGGGAAGCAATGATTGTCACCAGGGTCATGGCATGGGGTTGTGGATTACATAATTGTGCAGATGACTATGATAATGATGATGATGATGATGATGATGGGATTTTGTTGATGCTTTTTCATACATTCATCGGTGGTGGTTCTGGTGATACTGTGACGACGGGTCACGGCGGGGATAATGCTCGTGTTGCTGTTGTGCTGCTTTTCTCAGATGATGATGGTAGGAATGAGCATGTTGTGCATGTGGGCATGTATTCCGACATTGATGATGCTGGTGATGATTTAGCTTGCTGATTTTCCGTGCCAACGAGACAGACTGAAACGGCCAGGCCCCTGGCTCCTGCCTGTCAAAACGAAAGACAAGAAAAGATCCAAGTCTCCGGGGGTGATCGGGTTCCGGTCGTCGCTTAAGCCGGCCTGCAGGCATGTAGTTGAGGGTCTACGTTTTCCATCGACTTGCCTTAGTAAACATGCTGTCTCCGAGATTTCAGACACTCTAGTTCCTGGTTCGCAGCGCTCCGGCTATATAACCAAAGCTAAATAGAGAGAAGAGCAATTCACACCTGCAAAAAATCAGGGTTCTGTACGTTTGAATGCAGTGAAAAAACTTTACTCAGTACTAACATACCTTTCATTGATTGGTTGCACGGCAGGTGCAGCTGTTTTCGCCAACGGACTCCTCTCCATTCTTTGAGACCGCATGCTGTCCAGCAGGGAAGGACATGGCAGGGGTGTCGCTTATTTCTGCAAGTTCAGATGGAGCAGTCTGCGTTGCGTACGGCCCCCACTCAGTAATAGTTGAACAATATTCATAATATAGATATAGTAGGACCTTAATAGTAGCCCTATTATAGACGATCGGGGCCGTACCTAAAGTCTGCACGTCTCGATCAGGGAGTCGAGACGTCCAACTCCGCCAAACATAGGCTTCCTCCTCTTCTTCTCCTAAATGATATGTTTCTCAATGTTGCTTTGCCGTGTTCTTCTATTCTCACAGCATTTTGCTTTTGTTTTCTCGAAGTTTGATGTCGTTACAGGGGCAATGGTGTCTGCCAGCTCGGGTTCTCCAGGAGTTCTGTGGCGGCTGCGCCAAGATGAATGCCGGGAAGTCTGCTTGCGAGGTTTGCAGCGGTGGCTTCACCAAGACCGGCGGCCTTGCTGCATGGGATGTAGCGCCCGTCCCTGGCCTACATACGGTCCGTCTTCCTGCTGCTGCTGCTGCTGCTGTTTCAAGTTTCTGCTGCTACGACAACCACACCAACAACTACGACTACAACTACGACGACGACAACAACTACCACTACCACTACCTCACTACCTCACTACCTCACTACCTCACTACCTCACTACCTCACTACCTCACTACCTCACTACCTCACTACCTCACTACCTCACTACCTCACTACCTCACTACCTCACTACCTCACTACCTCCCTACCTCGCTACCTCGCTACCTTGCTGTCTTGCTACCTTGCTACCTTGATCCATGCTACCACACTACCACCCTATCACACTACCACACTACCACACTACCTGTACCAGTACCAGTGCTTTGCTAGTGCTCAGGGCCACGAGATGTAGGATGCTGTAGTGAAGCTCCAGCTGTCAGGTTCTGGCAAGTGCGTGGCTTGTGTGGATCTCCCTGGCTGGGTGAACAAGGCGCGAGACCGAAGTGCTGGGAGTTGCAGCGGCTCTTCCAGTTGCAGCCATCAGCATCACTGGCAGGAGGTGGTGGTGGTAGTGGTGGATCTGGTGGCGGTGGTGGTTGCTACGGTGATTGAAGCCGTCGTAGTCGAAGTCGTCGTTATAGTAGTGGTAGGAGCAGTCGCAGTAGTAGCAGTCGTTGTCATCCTCGTTGTCGTCGTTCTCGCCCTTGTTGTACTCGCCCCTGTCGTCCTTACTGTCGGCGGCGTAGTCGGAGTTGTAGTGGCAGCATAATAGCACAAGCAGAGTAGAAGTAGCAGTATCAGTCATGGTCGTAGCAAGCCCTCAGCCGGCAGCTTGCTGTTGCTGTTTAGTGATTCGACCTCTTCTCGGATTAGGAGTTTGGGCTTCTTGTTCTGCGAGCGTTCAAGAGGGTGTCGGTTATTCAGCTTCAGCTTTCGGATGGGAGTCGCCCGAGAACAAGCCGCAACAAGCCTTCCCTCTGGAATTCTCAAACGTGTACACCGTAAGGTCTGGATTGCCGGAGCTCCAGCCGCAAATGTTACAATTACCGCTATTCCGAAGATGATCATGTTTCCATATTCGATATGCGTCCTGCGAGTAATTTGCGGAGGTGGGCGGTGATGACCGGAGTCCTAGAGTAGGCGTTGGACAAAAGGATGTGTTTCTATCTATATGCTGGAGTTGGGAGTTTCCGAGAATTAGGGGTACCTTCTTTTGGGGTCCTTAATAAGGAACTTACTATTTAGGGTACTATATTAGGGCCCCCTATTTCCGGACTCCCAGTTGATGCAGCCCCCCAACAATGTTTCCAGACCCGGAGCTCGAGACCCCACCAGCCCCTAGACCCGAAATTGGCTCAGGGTTTAGGGTTGTTGGTTTAATCTCGGGACTAGGGGCAATTTTGCACCTAAAAAAAAAAGAAAGACCCGAAACTAATCCAACAACCCTAAACCCTAAGCCCTAAACCCCAAAACCCTAAACCCCTAAACCTCTAAACCTCTAAACCTCTAAACCTCTGAACCCTAAACCCTAAACCTTCTAAACCCCACAAAACCCTAAACCCCTAAACCTCTAAACCTCTGAACCCTAAACCCTAAACCTTCTAAGCCCTACAAGCCTTAAGCCACCATCATCTGCAGCCGGCCATGTCCAGGCGGGCGACAACTGCCTCGCGGCCCACTGCTCCGCCGAGAAGTTCCAAGGCTCCTGGAAGTTCGGTGCGGAGGTTTTTTGGGTTTAGGGGTGTTGGGTTTAGGGGCTTTATAGGGTTTAGGGTCTAGAGTTTAGGGTGTAGAGTTCAGGGTTTAGGGGTTTAGGGGTATTGGGTTTAAGGGCTTTATAGGGTTTAGGGTTTAGAGTTCAGGGTTTAGGGGTTTAGGGTTTAGGGGTTTAGGGGTGTTGGGTTTAGGGGCTTTATAGGGTTTAGGGTTTAGAGTTTAGGGTTTAGAGTTTAGGGTTTAGGGGTTTAGGGGTGTTGGGTTTAAGGGCTTTAGGGTTTGGGTTGAAGGGCTTTAGGGTTTCGGGTTTAGAGTTTAGGGGTTTAGGGGTGTTGGGTTTAAGGGCTTTATAGGGTTTAGGGTTTAGAGTTTAGGGGTTTAGGGGTGTTGGGTTTAAGGGCTTTATAGGGTTCCGGGTTTAGAGTTTAGGGTTTGGGAGTTTTGGGGTTTTGGGTTCCGGAGAGCCCAATATGCCTTAATTAGGGAATATACCTTTAATTAAAAGGGGATTAATATTATGATCTAAGCTGTATTCCTCAATTAAGGGGTTAGTGGGCTCTCTGGGCTCAAGGATGCCGCGCTAGGTTTTGGTGCTGGTTCTTGAAGCACCGGGTTTTGAGCTTTGGGTTGCCAGGTTTGTGCTACGACCCTCTTCATGACTCATTCTATTGCCGGAAGTCGGATCCACTCAATTATAAGGGGACTCATATTATGATTTAAGCTATATATTCCTTAATTAAGGGGTATCCCCAAAGCCCGGCCACAGCCGCAGCGACAAGAACGTATGTAACTCCCAGAGCGGTAAACCCAACAAGCCCTGCAGTAGACCTTGGTCCTAGGTCGAATCCTGATATGGGAGTTTCCGAAAATAGGGGACCCCAATCTAGTGCCCTAAATAGTAGGATCCTTATTATAAGGACCCCCAAATAAGGTACCCCTATTTTCGGAAACTCCCATATCCCCTTGGAGCCCCAGAGCTGCCTAGGCTCTATCCCCTAACTAAGCATTGATCTTGGAGGAGCTAAGGAGCCAGGGATGATGATAATCCCTCGGTGGGTTTAGGGTTTAGGGTTTAGGGTATCTTAAATAAGGAGCCAAAGGGCCAATGGAAACCCAAAACCACCGGTTAGCTAAGCTCAGGGTTCTGCGCGCGAGGCTTTTCTTCGAATTCTGCCTGCTGCAAATGCGGAGGAGGGCAGCAGGCGGGGCCATCTTTCTGCGTCCCAGGATGGTTTAGGGTTTAGGGTTCAGGGAGGAGGAAGGTCGGACTTGAAATATTTCTGTTTGGGCGCTTCAGAGTTTTTGAGTTCGGGACTTCGAAAGATCTTGGCGCAGGGTCTGGGAGGCCTCGACACCTAAACCCTAAACCCCACAACCTCAGGCCCAAGCCCCCTAAGCCCCGCGCCCCAAACCCTTCTTTGCCTTTCTTGTTGGGATTATCGGATTTCAAGAATGGTAGGGTTATTCAGGGTTTTGGTACCTGCATCCCCAAACCCTACCAAAATAGCAGGTTAGGACCCCTTAATTAGAGGGTATACCCTAAACCCTAAACCCTAAACCCTAAACCCTCAAAAATTGGGATCCCTGGAGGCGGCGACAAAGTTCGCTTACTTCGTGGGCCCCATCGCGCTCGGTGCGACGCAGGTGGTTGGTCACCCGGTCCCCCGAACCGCCAGCGACTTGACGTAGAGTTTGTGTGAGGGCTTTTTCAGCAAGGCTTTGAGGGTTGGCGGAGTTCTGAGGTGAAGAGTTCTAATGTTTGCTCAGCTAAAAACATTTAAACAACACAACCCTAAACCCTAAACCCTAAACCCTAAAGTAAACCCTAAACCCTGAAGCTAAACCTTAAGCTAAAGAGAAAACCTGGGGTTTTGTGCCCTGGATCTGGAGTTAGGATCCATTACGATCCAGCTTCATGGCCCGGGTTGCCGCCTTCTTTAGAGTCGTGTTTTTTGTCCCTCGTGCGTAGCGCCTCGGAAGCTCCAAGAGCTCTTACAAGCTGTTCAGGGTTTAGGGTTTAGGGTTTAGGGGCCTCAATAATTTCCTAAACTATGTTGGAGGTTCCTGATTGCAATTATGGTGTAATGGGCCCCAAAACCCTAGTCTAATTCTTAAGGCCCCTATACTATCGCATCGATGTCTTGTGTTTAGGCTTTAGGATTTATCTTGGCCCACTTTGTCTCAACGAATCTTGAATCACCTGGAGCCCGAACCCGCAAACTCCGGAGCCCTTCGACGTGCCCGTTTATAAGGACTTTGTGGGGTTTCAGATTTATATCTTGAGGGTCCTCAGGGTTCAGTGCTTCGTTGTTGCTGTAGTCTTCCGAAAGCCCTTCGCCGCTCGCAAAGCCGTCAACCTTAGATCTGGAAAAGAGGCAAGTATTCAGTGGACAAAGCACTCTGGCTGCAAGCAGGCCTTCATTGGGACTTTGGGCTTCGGGTGTCAGGGTCTTGGTGTATGGAAGGGGTCTTGATTTTCGTTGGCGAAGGGGGGGGGCTTTTTAGGATTGCGATTGTGGGTTTTTGGACGTGTTCTTTCGGATTCGAGGGAGATAAACCCTAAGCCCTAAACCCTAAACTTATTTGAGGGAGACTTTGCGCATTGTTGATCCCCTAAGCTTTGTGCGGCGTTGCTGTCCCTTCGCGGAACCCAGAGAGCCCAATACAAAAGCAATATACCTTAAATTACTATTATAAGGGGACGCATAATATGATTTAAGCCATATATTCCTTAATTAAGGGGTACTGGGCTCTCTGGGAACAGGCCAGGACTTTTCTGGAAACAGCACAGGCAAAACATAAGACTTCCTTCACAAGCCACCTCTCGCAAAAGTGACTTGAGACATTCAAGTAAGTCCCGTGGGACGCAGGGTTTGGAATATATTATACTGTACTATACTATGACATATTGTACTATTGTACTATAAGATTCTATAAAATACTAAATTTAACATAGTATACCACAACATACTACAACATGACAACGTACCGAATACACTTCAATATACTATACTACACTGTCATATGATTTAGTATATCATCGTATAGTATAGAATCGAATATAGGGTTGCCCCCAATGCCTCGAAGCCTTCCTGCAAGCGACGCCTGGGCCCTAAACGCTCAATTCGGGGGCTTAGGGTTTGGGGTTCAGGGTTTGGGGTTTAGGGTTTAGGGTTTGGGGTTTAGGGTTTAGGGTTTTGGGGTTGAGAGTTTTGGCCGGTTGAGGCGGAGTGTTAGGGCTGCCCCCAGTCAGTAGCAGTTGAAGAATGTGTATAAATGTGTATATCGCTACTAGGAGCGCTCTTGTAGACTGCCGTATGGGGACAGTACCCAACCCAAGCCCCGCAATCCCTAAACCGTAAGCCCTCAGAAGCCGGAAATCGAGGCCAAAGTCAACAAGCAGTCTTCTTTCTGTTTGGGTGGTAGCTCAGCCCCAGAACACCAGCATTGAAGGCCCTACACCTGAGGGCCAAGTGAAGTTTCCAACGCAATGCACTCGAAAGACCCAGAAGTTCAAAGCCCTAAGCCGCTTAAGTTCCAAACCCAGGATTGCGAGCTGGCGAAATTCGGTCTTTCGATCCATCCGCAGACGGGCGCATCCGGGCAGCATCTTCTGCCAGACCTCCAGAGAGGCTCACAGAAGGAGCTTACGTCAGAGTAGAGTCGACCTTTGGTTATGATACGATAGTTTCCGAAAATAGGGGTACCTTATTTTGGGGTCCTTGTAATAAGGATCCTACTATTTAGGGTGCTATATTTGGGTCCCTTATTTTCGGAAACTCCCATGTGATATATAACCCTAAACCCTAAACCCAACCCTACCCAAATTTCAGCCTCGCGCCCTAAACCTTTAGTCATGGGCTGTTTGGGCTACAGTTCGAGGGCCTGGCTTGGTGCTGGGTGCCCCGGGCCCTCTAGGATCCCGAGAAGTGTTTGGGATTTAGGGTTCTTTTAAAAGTGTTTGCAAGGCTATAACGCTTTTCGATATGCAGGGGTCTAGTGTTCAGGGTTGTTTGAGGGTTCATGCATGAGCAAGAGGAAACGGCCGTGTTAGGTCTTCCGCCTTGTACGCCGTTTGCCTCAACCCCAAACCTTCATGTTGAATCGATCCGAATGCTCAACCCAAACCCCTAACCCCCCTAACCCTACATCCTAAACCCTGAGCCTGAGCCCAGCATGGATATACTGAGGGTAGGAGTCTTAGCCTTTTGCTGGTGCCGATCATGGCCGTGACGAGGAAGGCGACTGCTGAAGATGATCTTGTTCGTGTGATGCCAATGTGATTATCTGAAGATGACACTTGTTTTGAGGTTTGGTTGCTGGTGCTAGGCATGAGCACGCGTTGCCATGAATCTAGCTGACCTTAAAACCTAAACTTAAATCCCTACATATGCCTATGCCTTAGAAGCTGCCCCCACCCTGTAATAGTGGTATAACAGGAATATAATAGGGCCCTAATATAATCCTATATTGTCCTTATGGTCACTATTACAGGGTGGGGGCAGCTTCCAACCTATGCCTTCCCAACGTCTTGACGTATATTTTCCCTTATTGGGCTTAAGAGGATCTTATTTACTAATATTTTTCAAAGGCTCGAAAAGCCCCACCTAGTATGCCTTCCTAACCTCTTGACGTGAGGCACTGGAGCTGGCTCCTGGCTGTAGCAAGGTCGGCTGCGGCAGTGACAAATCCATCGATGCTTGCAACGACTGTGGCCTTCGGGGCTGGGAGTCAAGCGTTTAGGGGCCCCTTAAAGGGATCTATAGGGGATCTTAAGGGGTTTAGGGTGTAGGGATTAGGGTTTAGGGTTTGTTTAGGGCAAATGGTAGCCAGGCCTTGGAGATAAAGGTGTCGATCGCATGTTCGTCATAGCAATGTCTGGCTGTGTTACGGTTTAGTAGTCAGCAGAGCAGGTAGTCAGTCCTTCAGGTGGCGATCGGGCTAGGTAAGTACAGGCGCAGCAATTCGATCGGTCCTTTCATCAGCTTTTCAAACACACCGTCAGTTAGCGGCTGAGTAAGTCAGTGAATCCGTTTTTTGCTGATTGATCGCGTGTTGAGTTGTTTTGCTTGGTTGACCAGGGACCTTGACATGCCCCCCTAACCCTAAACTCTAGCCATTATGATATAATTGAAGCCTTGAGCCCTAAACCCTAAACTCAAAGAAGCTTCGCGGACTAAAGGCGCAGACGACTTCAATTTCGGGTCGGGATGTAGCATTCGGCTCACAGCTCGGCGTCGCGGGTGAATTTCCTTGAGCGACAGCTGAGGAAGTCAAGTGCACGATCACTGCGGAACAGGACTTGGGTGCTGGTGCTTCTGAATGCTAAACCTTGCAATCAACGCGACAGTCCCAACGCTCTCTGTGGTCTTTTGGGGACTAGATTTGAGCAGATGCTTGCCGTTCCTGGTAGCATGTCTTTCGCAGAACATGGTGCTGCAGATGCTGAAGTCCATATTCCGTGGTGCAGCTATCAAGGGGTCGGACTACATGGCAGTGAAATTCCCTTACAGCCTTCTATACCTGAAACCCAAACCCTAAACCCTAAATGCTAAATCCTAAATACTAATACTGAACCCCCAATCACTAAACACCAAACCCTAAATACTAAATAGTAGACCCTAAACCATTTCCACTAAATGCTTACCGTCTACTTGGAGGGTCGGGGGACTTAGCCACCGGTTATTTTACGGACTTGTAAGTACCATAACCCCAATTAGGGTCCCTTTTGGGGTACTTATAAGTCTACTTACTACCTACTTACTAAGTCCCCCGACCCTCCAAGTACGTACCCCCGGGTGAGTGCTCGAATCTGTGGTGCCGAAACCTCCCGCCTCGAGCTCTGAGCCCGTGAAAGTTTCGGGTTTGGGGTTTAAAGTTTCGGGGTTTTGGGCTTTTAGGGTTTTGGGCTTTAGGGTTTAAGGGTTTAGGGGTTTGGGGTTTCAAGTTTCGGGGTTTTAGGGTTTACGGTTTAAGGCTCAGGAACTTCGCGGTGTTTCTCCAAGACGTTGTTGTTGCAAACCGTAAGCGGCGCATGCGAGAGGAAGGCGGGCTGACTGCACAAGCTACGCTCGAGGTATTGGCAGGAGATGCGCTTCGACGAAGCATTGCAGTTGTCTTCAGTCTTAGGACATCGCGTTAATTACACGATTTGTGACTGGGAGTTTGTGGTTTTCTTTGGTGGTGGCTGTTTTCCCAGATTCCGACGGAGTGCATGATTGCATGTTCCGGGGCAATTGATTGGAATGCTTCGTGGCATGGTGGTGTGCATGGAAGTGCGTGAAGATCGCCGCTGATCCGACATCTCAGGGAGCTAGAACATTGCCAGAACACACACACATGCATTCATAAGCATCCACTGCCTTCATTTCATGAAAGGATATGGCTTTTCATATGCCTATCAATACATGCATTTCATTATAGGCAGTACATGCGTACACCCAAGCCTAGTGAGCCTACCAGTTCGCGAAGACACGGAATTTACAATGTGATGATGCAAGCATGCATGCGGACTTATGCCTATAACATACTGATGCAGACGCGCCATTGTCTAAAGTCTATGCCAGTATCAGTGTCTGTGTCTGTTGTCTTGCCTGTCTCTATGCTATGAGTGACACATATGCGCACCTAGGTTCTTAGAAGTAAACAGTGAGTAAGTGAGTAAGCAGGTAGGCCAAGTAAGCAGGGAGTCGGTACGTAGGGAGGTATGTAGGTCGGCAACTATGTAAGGAAGTAAGTGAGAAAACGCTGGCAGCCATGCATGAATGAAATTGTGCTTGTATGCTGTATGCACAGGCTTTTGCACTCGCTGACGCATGCGCGTCGTTTCCCTTTCCCTCTCAACCTCTCCGTTTCCCACCCGGTACACGCACATACACCCACCCTGATTCCCCTTTTTTGCAGTTTAGAACGACAGCAGAGGTTCTGGTGCAAGGAAACCCCAACACTTCTTTGGATTTGGGATACTGGTGCCGATCGGCGGGCTTCGGATGACAGTTTCGTCATGGTAGTCTTGGTCGTACACCTTTTTTCCGCTTTTTCTTGTGTTGCCCGACTGCTTAGCCGGGCTGAGGTAGGCTACGGCTCCGAGCCTGTGGTGCTCTACAGTGGCGACAGCACCAGTGTCGTGCCGGCGCTGAGTCTGGGCGTATCCAAGGCCGTTTCTGCACGGTAATTCTGCTTTTTGACGGGAATTAATGTTCAGGGTTTAGGGTTCAGCATGGTTCAGAACGTTGTTGTGAAAGCCTTCGAACGCAAATCCGCTCTGGTAGGATCTCGAACTTTAAACCCCAAACCTCAAAACCCTAAACCCTCAACCCTAAACCTTCACCGTCCGAGCCCAGAGCTAGAATTCCTGGAGGCCTACGTCCTCTAAGTCGAAGGTCTAAAGCTCTCTTAACCCCAGGCCGCCAGCCGTCTCCCTCTGGATCTGTGTACTTGTTGGTTCATGGGGGCACTTATAAGTAGAGTTATAAGTCGGAGAAGTATAAGTTTAACCCAAATTCGGGGACTTACAACCCCACTTTTCACTATACCCATGAAGCTCCGAAAGGTGCCCTTGTCAAATGAACTAGGTTTCCCTGAAGATCCGCAGAAGCCCCCAATGAAAGCCCTCTCCACACTCCAAACACCCAGCCCCTAAACCCCTAAACCCTGAACCCCCCAAACCCCTAAACCCCTAAACCCAACACCCGATGAAATCCTTCCTGAGCCCCCTAAACCCTAAACCCTAAACCCTAAAACCCTAAACCCTAAAACCCTAAACCCTAAACCCTAAACCTCTAAAACCCCTTTGAGAGCCGAGAAATCCCGAGTACGCCGCCGGATCGGGTCAGTTTGGAGCCCTGGCCTGCGTCCCGGGAGACGCCAGCCTCCCAGCGGCAAGGTCTCTGTCAAAGGGTGGCTTTGACGGGCATAGTGCATTATAGTATATGATAGTAAATTCTGGTACATTGTGGTATGTTATATTATAGTATAGTATCATGAGGTATAGTCTTGCATAGTGTGTTATTGTACATGAATAGTATGTTATAGTACATTATGGTAGATTAGAGTACATGACAGTGCATTCTAGAATGTGTAGGCGTCAAGGGGTTTCTAGGGCTTAGGGTTTTGGGGTCTAGAATGGGGCTTTGAGGTGCAATGGGCATCAGGCGTAGGGGTCAGCTTATGCCACGAGTCAAAACCCTAAACCCTAAACCCTAAACCCTAAACCCTAAACCCTAAACCCTAAAGCTTGGGTTTAAGAACCCGCGCGCCCTGGGGTTTGGGGGCTCTGAGAGTTGCGATGTAACTATCGAGTTTATTGGTTCGGGGCTAGGGGTTTAGGGGTTTCGGATCAGGGTTTAGGGTTTAGGGGCTTGGGATGTTTGGGGTTGAGGGTTTCAGAGGCGAACACACTTCGCTTGTGCTAATCCTACTGTAAGCCCCAAATCCGAAACGCTGAAGCCGGTTCTAAACCCTAAACCCTAAACCCTAACCCCTAACCCCTAACCCCTAAACCCTAAGCCCTAAACCCCAACCCCTAAACCCTAAACCATAAACCCTAAACCAGCTGAAGGGTTCGAAGCTAGGGCCGGGTCTATAAGCTGGAACGGGTCCCAGTACTAGAGCCCTGAACCATAAGCCGAAGACCCTAAACCCCCATACCTCAAACCTCAAACCCTAAACCCCTAAGCCTCAAACTCTTAATTCCTAACCTGAAACAAACTGAAACCTGAAACCCTGAACCTAAAACCCTGAAACCCAGGCAACTGGCTGGAGCTGGATGCCGGTACCGGGAAGCTGTCGCTGAAAGCGGGGAAGCAGAGTGCAGGTGCAGACTGCTTGGGGTTGAGGGTTTTAGGGTGTGGGGTGTCGGATTTAGGATGTTTTTGGTTTAGACTTTTCGTCACGGTCTGGGGTTTGCGGCTTAGGGCTATGGTATCAGAGTGAGAAGAAGTAGCCTGCGACGTCATTGTGCATCCGATTATCAGAGCATGCATGCAAGAACCGTAATAGCGTTCACTCCGGCACCATCCATGCCCGAGCCGCAACAACGTCCACCGTGTTCTGCCAAGCTGCGAGTCATGAAGTTTGCTTTCGCAAAAGCCAGCGCAAGGCTTCGAAAGCTCACTCACTTCTGCGTTCGGGCAACAGCGCAGTGAAAAAAGATTTTCGCGCCAAACAAATTGCGAGTTGATAGCCCGTTTCTAGCCCTGAAAATCACTGACTTGCGAATGCATCGTTTTCAGCATGTCAACATTAGCGGAAGTGCTTCCCGCACCACGGGCACCTGGGGCGCGCACCTTGTAGTTTGGGGCAGCCTTGAGGTATAGGGCTCTGTCTATTATTTCTAAAAGGACAAGGGTGGTTTGGGGTTCGTTTCGGAGCCCTTGGGCTTCCGTTGATTTGAGGCTCTCATGTTACAAACCCTCACACCATCCCGAACCTACGCGATACCCCAACCGAGGCCCTAAAGAGAAGACACGATTCGGGCAGTTCGACCTTAGGCTGTGAAGCATAGGATTTTGAAGGCCTGGAAGGTCGAGATGCTCGTGTGTCCCTGCTTCCTTTGGGGGGTAAAAAAAGATCGAGGCTCCCGCCAAAACGAATGAACTCTCAGCCCTTGACCCATTCTATGCAGGGGGGCTCACCGGCGGCAAGGGCGAAACGATGGGCCAAGGCCTGATCATAGAAATGGTGAGAAAAAGTTTGGCTGCGGATGGCGGGTTTTGGTGTTCTGGGCTCGGATAATGGATGCTTAAACAGAAAATGCACAAAACATGGGTCTGTATATGTCTATGTCTAGGTCTGGATCTATGTCGTGGAATATGAATATGCATACAGATACATATTTTCCTATATATATATATATATATTTATATTTACGTATGGATGTTTGTGTATGTGTATGTGCAGCTGTATGTGTATGTGTATGCCTATGCCCCTGCCTATGCCTATGTGTATGTGTATGTGTATGTGTGTAGGTGTAGATGTACATGTGCATGTATTGTATGTTTACGTATGTGTACAAGTACATTATATGTATACCTGTCTGTCCGTCTGTCCGTCCGTCCGTCGATCCGTCCTTCCGTCCGTCTGTCTGCCCACTTATTTATGTATGCATGTATCTACGTACGTACGTCGGCAGGTATGTTTGTGTGTATATATATATATATATATATATGTATGTATGTATGCATGCATTGTATGCATGTATACATGTGTGTATATATATACACATAAGAGGGTATATGTGTATATATATATATATATACATACATACATTGCGGCGTCTTGGGGGAGTGTGGCAAACGACCTGAAGATGCATCCACATTGCGAAGACGCATTCGTCAAAATAAAGCCTTAAAGGCGCAGACGCATTCTGAAGACGCATTGAGTGAATACGCATTGGAAGGCGCAGACGCATTGGCAGGCGCAGACGCATGGTGAAGACGAATTGGGTGGCGCAGACGCATTGTGAAGACGCTTTGGGTGGCGCAGACGCATTGCGATGCATTGCGAAGACACGTTGGATAGGCGAAGACGAATTGCGAAGACACGTTGGGTAGGCGAAGACGCATTGCGAAGATGCGCTGGGGTAGCGAAGAAGGCTTGAGGAGACACATTGCGAGGCTACGGTCCGGGTAGGTGCAGACGCATTGCGAAACCGCTTTCACGACATAACGGCCACGAGCAGAATGCGAGGGCAGCTTCACATGCATGACTCGCATGACAAGTGAATGTGCATGGGTTTCGCATGACATTTGATGTGAGAATCAGGGGCTCTCCATCAGTCCAAGGCTCCGTCCTGGGAGATCCAGTGGTATAAGAGTCCGGATTATGAGATGGTGTGCGCGCAACCGTCCACTGGTTGTTTGGCCAGCATGACCGAAACAAGCCACCCCCAGCTCCATCTATATACGTGCTCCTTATTGAGAGGAGGAGCACTTATGGATATGGCTCAATCTGTATCTTCGGTCAGAAGAACCGTAGGCATCCTCATTAGATAAGCGGCGCTTCCACCGTCCAAGGCGTGATCTCTGGAGCTCAAGGTTTGTTACAGTTCTGATTTAAAAATCGGGGCGCCCCAGCAGTGAAAGGCTCCATCCTCGGAGTTCAATTTTTTTGAGAGTCCTGAAGTGGGCCGCCCGATCAGTGCACGGCTCCACCCTCGGCATTCAAGCTTTGTAAGAGTCCTGATTTCGAAATCAGTGGAGCAAAAACAGTCAAAGGCTCCACCCTGGGAGTTCAATGCTGGTAAAAAATTTGATTTCAACATCAGGGGTGCCCCATCGGTCCAAGGCCCCACCTTTGGAGTTCAAGATGTATAAGATTTCTGAATGAAGCAATCAGGGGCGCCCATCAGTCCCAGTTCAAGATCTTTAAAGGTTTGGCCTTAAAAATCAGGGCGACCCATCAGTCCAAGGCCCCACCCGCAGAGTTCAAGATCTTTAAGAGTTCTGATTAAAAAACAGGGGCGTTCCATCAGTCCAAGGCCCTATTCTCAGAGGTCAAGATCTATCCGAGTTCTGTTGCGAAAAACCAGGGGTGCGCCATCAGTGCAAGGCCCCACCCGCGGAGTTCAAGATCTGTAAGAGTTCTGATTTCAACCTCAGGGGCGCGCCATCAGTCCAAGGCCTTATTCTCCGAGTTCAGGACCTATGTAAGAGTTTTTGAATAAATCATGGACGCCCCGTCAGTCCAAGACCCCACCCTAGGAGTTCAAGATCCAATTTAAGACATCAGGGGCGCCCACCAGTCCCAGTCCAAGATCTTTAAATGTTCTGCCTTAAAACTTAGGGCGACCCATCAGTCCAAGGCCCCACCCTCGGGGTTCACTATTTGTAAGAGTTCTGACTAAAAATCAAGGTGCACCATCAGTGCGAGGCTCTATCCTCGTTGTTCAAGATCTATATGATATATGAGTTCTGATTTAGACATCAGGGCGCTCCATCGGTCCTATCCTCAAAGTTCAAGATCTATAAGAGTTCTGGTTTAAACATCAGGGGTGCTCCATCAGTCCAAGGCCTTATCCTCGGAGCTCAAGATCTTTAAGAGTTCCGATTTAAACATCAGGGCGCCCCATCATTTCAAGGGCCTTCTCTCGGAGTTCAAGATTTTTCAAGGTTCTGACTTCAAAATCAGTGGCGGCCCACGAGTCCAAGGCCCCACCCTCGGAGAGAAAGGTTTGTAAAGGTGCTGATTTTGACATCAGGGGGGCGCCGTGAGTCCAAGGTCTTATCCTCAAAGTTCAAGATCTATATCAGAGTTCTGATTTAAAAGATCAGGGCGCCTCATCCGTCCGAAACCCCAGCCTCGGAGCTCAAGATCTATACGAGTTCTGCTTTAAAAACTCAGCAGGGGCGGAGCATCAGTCCAAAGCCCCATCCTCCGAGTTGTCTATAAGAGCCCTGTTTTGAAAATCAGGGGCGCTCCATCAGTCCAAAGCCCCACCCTCGCAGTTCAAGATCTGTAAGGGTTCTGGGCTCTAGCGAGAGATCCAGGGGCCTCGGGTATTGTGGCTTCACAATCCGACGTCACGACCCAATTCGGCGCCACCACCACCTAATGTGGCGTCAGGAATTCGGCGTCACCACCGGATGCGGCGTCACCAATCCGGCGTCACCACCTAATGCAGCGTCAGCAGTTCGGCGTCACCACCTATTGTGGCGTCAGCAACTCGGCATCACCACCCAATGCGGCTTCACAATTCGGCGTCACCACCCAATGCGGCGTCAGGAAACAAGTCGGCGTCACGGCCCAATTTCGGCGCCAGGGGACAATTCGGCATCAGACAATGTGGCGTCACAATTCGCCCTCACCTAAAGCAATGCGGCTCCAGGAATTCGGATTCGGCGTCAAGTCGTTTGCCACACTCCCCCGGGCGGCCGCCCTCCATACATGTACATATACATATACATATACATATACATATACATATACATATACATATACATATACATATACATATACATATACATATACATATACATATACATATACATATACATATACATATACATATGTATATATATATATATATATAATATGTATTTATCTATTGACACGTATATTTTCGTTTAGATGTCACTAGTATGCTCTAAACATGTAGATGCTTCACCCTAAGCCCCAGACCCTGCATGCATCACGGGGAAATGATACGCAAATCTTGGCATCCCGTCGCAAGGCTCTATATGCTCGGTTGAGAAGGGTGGCGCTACCCGTCGCAATGTCTGACTTCGTCAAGTTTTCTTCTAAGGGGTCTGGTCTAGGAAAGGCCTTTCAAGCTTTCAGAATTCTGTCGAGGCTTTAGTGTGAGACCCAGATAACAGAACTTTGGATCCTTATGCTCCTATGCCCTGAACCCTGGGATCCTGCAGTCAGTCCACAAAGCGCAGTCCTGATGCCCGAGTCGCAATAGCCCCCATATACCGTCCAAGAGCCTCCCAAAATTTCCACAACCCCCGCCCCAACCACGACAAAAGCCGGGAACTCCGATACCGGAAGCCTTCAGCCCCAATACTGGAGACGCCCTCAACCCTCATACTGGAACCCTAAACTAAACCCTGCACCCTCAACCTCCACCCTAAACTCTTAACTCTCGCCCCGAAAGCCGGCCTCAACTCCCAACCCGAAAGCCCTGGATCGCAAACCCTCATAAGAAGGGCCTTGAACAATTCCCTATATTATTCCTGAGGGTTCTCCCACCCAAAGCCTGACTGTTAAGCAGCCCGGAAACGCCTCAAGGCGAAAGGCAGCGTCGTCGTTCTGTCGCCCTCGCGCTGGACCGGGATGGGCTACAGCCACCCTGCTGTTCGAAGTTAGCTTTCCTTTGGTTGAAGGAGATTTAGGGATGTATGATTGTTTCTACACGAGTCTGTCTATGAGGGTTTATGGTAATGCAGACCTTGATCAATGAAACCCTTGATTTTCGAGGCATTACTTGAATTCTTGCGTGAGCCCGCTGTGCGGTTTGCTTAGCACTTTGACCTCAGAGACTCCAATATCCCTTAATTAAGGAATATGCCTTAAATTATAGTAGGATCTCGAATATGATTTAAGGACTATTCCTTAATTAAGGGATATTGGAGTCTCTGGGCTTAAGCCCCGCACCCTCAGGTCTGAGAAGCCCTGGAAACACCCTGGGTTCCTATAGAGGTACATATTCATGGGCTCTCTGGGTAAGCTGGCATCCCGGAAGTGCGATCAGCCGACCTTCGTGCTTTTCATGAGGGCATTATGTGGTTTCACGCCACGAATTTCCCGAACTCAAGCCCCTGATCATAGCCTTCCTCGGAGTAACGTTTTTGGGCCTTCGGGCCGTTGCCAGTGCCAAGGCTCTGAAATTGAAACCGCGAGCCCTGAACCAAAAAGTGTTAAACCTTAAATACATCTGAAACCCTTAATCGAACCTTAAATGCCCCTAAATACATCCAAAACCTTTAATTGAACCCTAAGCCCTAAACCCTCTTTTGAACCCTAAAGGCTTTCAAGTCAGAGGCTACAGCCCGAGCTCCGACGTGCTCTATGCCACCGTCGGGGAGAAGTCGCCCATCCTCCAGCCGAACCCGGAGGGGGATGGCCGGACAGGGGCAGGGTGTAGGCTTTGAGGGTTTAGGGTTTAGGGACTTTGGGGTTTAGCGTTCAGGGACTGTAGGGTTACGGGTTTTAGGTTTTTGGGGTTTAGGGTTTAGGGTTTAGGGTGTATTGGGCCCCCGGCTTTGGGGTTGGGATGCTTTAGGGGTTTAAGTTTGAGGTTTAGGGGAACTCCCAAGAGGTTTTCCGGTCACCAAAGCTCGTCGGATCCCACTATGTAGGGTCGAGAGTATTGTGGGGTCCCTCAGGCTCTGAAACGTCCAACTCAAGCCTTGGGAGCCCTGGACACTTGAGGGGCAAGTAGCTGGCGACGTCGAGATGCTACAAATCTGCCGAGGGTCACCGTGCGAAGGCTCTTGTCGTATGTCTTCTTTCGCTGATCCTTGACAGTTTTGACCGCCAGACGGCTTCATGCCGTGCAGACGGCTTTCTCAGACAAATCCTCAATAGATCCCGCACCATAAGACTAACACGTCACACAAATCACTTACAAACTCTTCCCCCCTGAAACCCTCAATTCAACCGTTCAAGAGCCCAGAACCCTAAACCCTAAACCCTAAATTCTAAACCCTGCACCCTAGACCCTAAATCCTAAACCCTGAACCCTAGACCCTAAATCCTAAACTTTAGACCCTAGACCCTAAACCCTGAACCCCCCTGGAGGCCTTCCTCCCACGCGCTTCTCTGCCAGCTGCGCTGGGCCGGCTTTTGCCTTTGATGTCCTCAGCGGTGCCTCCGCAGAACGTGTTGTTGCGGGGCATTGGGTTTCAGAGTCTAGGTTTTCGGGACTACGTTTCCAGAGTTGGTACCACAACTTGCAGTTGCCTGTGGTGGTATGCTTTGTTGTCGTCATCGTCTGCTTCGGTCTGGCTGTCTTGTCGCGCTTCGCCGTCGGTCGGTTTGCAAGTCTTTTTCGTTTTGTTGTATGTGTGTCGGGATTTAATCCTCAAATCACCAGGCCGGACTAACACCCCTTTCCTGACCGCACGTATGTCCTGGTTCCCTGCACTCCACTCCCCGTTCTGTAGGATCCGCACATTCATCCTCGCCACCCCCCCGCCCCACACCCCGCCCCAAATCCCCCCAAGCGTTCGCGAGACGGAGGGTCTCGACAGTTAGTTGAACAGATTTCGGTGCTTTTTGGTTTCTTGTACCCGTGTTTGATGGGTTATACCTCATCTTGAGAGACATATCTCGGTTCGCTCTTGTCGGCGCTGGTCGTGGGGCTTTAGAGTTGCAGGGCAAGACAGGTTTGGGCTCCATGCTGTGGTCTTGAGAACTTCAGCAGCTTGCAGGCAGTGTCGTGAAGAGGCCTTTGAACACGGATACACTGGTTTTAACACCGGGGCTTCTATGTTTGGTCTATGTAGGACAATTTGATTTCCGGCCAATAGCACCTGCGAGTTGGGTTTGAGGGCCACTGGATTGAAGTCGTTGGGTTCAGAGATCCGGGGACACTGGGCTGATCAAGTAGAGTGACACGCGCCCAGCTTGGAGGTGAACAGATTTGCCTTGAATCGAAACCCCTATTCGGGCTCCCCGAACCCTAAACCCTAAACCGTAAACCCGAAACCCTAAACCCGCATTTGGGTTTATATGTACCTTGACGGGAAGGGACCATAATTTTTGGTTGCAGGAGACCGTGCCACCAGCAGGAGCTTCTATATAGAGGCTACGATGCTGGGTCCCCAGAGACTCCAATATCCCTTAATTAATGAATATTCCTTAGATTATAGTAGGATCCCTAATATGGATCCCTAATATAATTCAAGGAACATTCCATATTTAAGGGATATTGGAGTCTCTGGGTCTCAATGGCGACATACAAGCTTTTGAGCGCACCCCTAAACCCTAAACCCGAATCCTTCCTCAGACGCTTGCAGCAGTTTAGGAGCCAAAATGAATCCCGGAGCATCCCGTCTGAGGTGTGGCTACCTGGGATGGCCACCAGTGTCTCGGCAATGAGTTTTGGGTTTAGGTTTGGGTTTGGGGTTTAGGGTGATCCGAAAGCCTGAACGATCTGAGAGATGCAGATATCGACCTTGATCCCCCGAAATCCTCAGGCCTACCCTGACCCTTTTTAGGACCTATACACGGAACTGTGTGGCGGTTTCCGATAATATGGTACCCTGATATAGCACCCTAAAGAGTAGGATCCTTATTCTGAGGACCCCAAATAAGGTACCACTTTTTTTTTTCGGAAGCTCCCATTTAGATTAAGGAGCCGCCGCCAAGGATTTTCACCCTGGACGCCGAAGGCGGCCTTCAGCTGAGCCCGGAGGAGTCTTTGATCCAGAGCCTCGAAACCCTAAACCCTAAACCCAAAACCCTAAACCCTAAACCTAAACCGTAAACCCTAAACCCTAAAGGTTTAGGGTCTAGGGTTTAGGGTTTCTGAGCCCGCAGGAGTCTTTGACCCAGAGCCTCGACAGCTCCCAGGCCGGGGAGGTTCTGGAGGAAGGGAATTCCGAGAGACTCCTATCTCCCTTTTTAAGGCTTAGGGGTACTTAGAAGTAATTTTTAGTTTTGGGTTATTATAATCCCTAAGAAACAGCTAAAATTACAATTTTTGCTAGGGTTCTAAGTTCAGTATAGAAGGAATATTCCTCAAATTTTGGTAGGATCCCTAATATGATTTAAGGAATATTCCGTAAATTCAAGTAGGATCCCTAATATGATTTAAGGAATATTCCGTAAATTCAAGTAGGATCCCTAATGTGATCTAAGGAATATAATTAAGGGATATTGGAGTCTCTGGGAACTGGGACGTAGGGTCACTGCAGCGGTCATAACAAGGGGGATCTGCAAGGGTGATTCTGATTACGAGGATTACAGCGAGAGTTCCGCATCAAGCTTTATGCTTCAGGATTTAGGGTTGAGGGTTTCGGATTTCAGGTGCAGGGATAGGGACCCTCAGACCCCTACCTAAACCCTTAAACCCCTGAACCCTAAACACTGAACCCTAAACCGGCCGGAGGGATTGGGACCCACAGACTGTTGGTTTGTTTCGAAACGCCGGTGGAATCCATTCTTTAGGAACACAAATTAGGGACCCCCAAAAGCACATAAGCATAAGCATTGTGTAGGGGTATCCCTACCTTATTGGCCTTCCTTTTAAGGGGGTTTATATGGGATATCCCTATCCTAGTTTTTGCTTATGTGCTTCTTGGTGTCTAACAAAGATCTCAGCCCCACAGTTCTTCTAGCATGATGCAGAGGTGGGTCTGCCTAGTAGTAGAGTAGGGAACCTTTAACCTTTTCTGGGTAGTATAGTCCCTATATAATACCTATCTAGCCAAAACGCTTAGCCTTTGGTAGGTCTGCAGCCAGTGTTACTTAACACGAAACCTCGCCTGTTTCGGCACAAGTCGCCGTGTCTCATTCTTTGGTCGGACCTTGGTTCATAGGGTTTAGGGTTTAGGGTTTAGAGTTTAGGGTTTAGGGTTTGGGGTTTGGGGTTTAGGGTTTAGGGTCGCCTTATTCCCTTTTTTAAAGCTATCCTTGGCCATGGCTTTTGTGTTTTGTAAAGCTAGCCTTGGCATTGTTTTTTTTGCGGATTCCTTGCTTTGTTGTAAGCGTTTGCCTTCGTGTCGATGATGGTGTGGCAGAGAGCGTCTTCTGCAAGTCTGCGCGGCTAAAGGTCGCCAGGCCAAAAGCTCCGTCTCGACGGGTCTTGCTTGTCCATGTCTGCAGTGATAGAAGGACGCCTGAAATCCGCGCATGTTTTCACCCGAGTCGGCTTCGTTGTTGCTAGACCTATGCATGTCTCATTCTGAACAGGATGAGCTTCCGGACAATCCATAGTTGAACCCTGCGTCGTCGGTTTATTCCGGCGACGATCAATGCTCGCCTGTCTTACTGTCCCAACTTTTCGCCCTAAACCCAAAGCCCAAGGCCCTAAACCCGAAACCCTGCTCGCCCAATCGGGCTTTCGGAGCTGATCTGCAGTCACGAAAAGGAGCTTTCAAGAAAAAAAAACCCGAAACCCTTGCCCAGAGAGCCCAATACCCCTTAATTAAGCAATATACCTTAAGTTATAAGGGGACGCATAATATGATTTAAGCCATGTTCCTTAATTAAGGGGTATTGGGCTCTCTGGGTGCCGGTCCCCTTACCAGAGCAGCTCCAGGATGGCCCTGTGCGGCGGACTGTGGGCCCACTGCAGTGCACCATCTTCGGGCACTATGAGCCCCTCAGCACCGGCATACTTCGGTTCAGGGGTCAGAGAGTTTGGGCATTTGGGGTTAGGGTTTTTGGGTCTACTTGGAGGTTCATGGGTAGTTATAAGTGGGGTTCTAAGTCCCTTAATATGGGTTATAACTACAGTTATCCTACTTATAAACCTACTGATAACTACCCATGAACCTCCAAGTAGGCCCTCCCGGACTCTCCGTTTTGGGCTCGGGCAGTCTTCATTTTGGGGCGGAGTGCTTCGCGACTTCCTCGAGGCTCCTCGCAATTTGAGGGACCCAGCCCTAAGCCCTAAACCCTAAACCCCCAAACCCTTAAACCCCCTAAACCCCTAAACAAGCAACTAAACCCCCTAAACCCCTAAACCCCCGAAACCCTCTAAACCCCCTAAACCCCCTAAACCCCCTTGAACCCCAAACTCCTAAACCCCAAACTCTCAGACAGATGCAAGCAAATGTATCCAAACCCAGACCTCGAGCCCCTTCAGACTGCAAACCTCCATAGGGGAGTCTCCGAAAATTAGGGGTACCATATTTTGGGGTCCTTATAATAAGGATCCTACTATTTAGGGTACCATATTAGGGTCCCCTATTTTCGGAAACTCCCATAGAACGAATCCTAGGTACTGTTTGGATCATGGGACTTAGTAAGTATGGTTATAAGTACCCTAACATGACCCTTCAAACAGGCCTTCGGGACATTTGACATGTTCCCTTGTTGGGCTGAAGAGGATCCTATTTACTACTATTTTTCAAAGGCCGTAAAAGCCCCACCTAGAATCCCTAAACCCTCAATCCTAAACGCTAAACTGCAGGGTTTTGGAGTCATTTCAAAACCTGTGGAGTCTGTCAGTAGCTCCCCGACTAAATCCTAAATTGCTATGAATTCCTAGTCGTAAGTCATCATTGCATTGCCACTGTAGTGCTGTTCCTCCTAGTACCTAGTATACGCAACCATACACCCCGAACTCTAAACACCCTAAAACCATGAGCCCTGAAAGCCCGAAACGCTGAGCCCTAAAGCTCTAAACCCGAAAGTCCTCAGCCCTAAACCCAGGTGGGTAGTTGTCAAAATTATGGCCCTTTCGTGGGTGCCCTAAATATTAGGTGCGGTAGTATATTAGGGAGCCAAAAAGGGACCCTAATTTTGACAACTACCCAGGTGGTCCTCGGCGCGCCAGGGCGGCATTGTCAGCCACCGCTTGACGATGGAGTTCCGGGCTTCGTGTCTGCAGTTGCCGCTTTAGGGTTCAGGGTTTGGAGGTTTGGGTTTAGGGTTTCAGGTTTAGCGTTTAAGGTTTGGGGTTTAGGGTTTCAGGTTTAGGGTTTAAGGTTTGGGGTTTAGGGTTTTCAGGTTTAGGTTTTCGGCTGTCGGGTTTCAGCCTCAGGTTGGGGGTTTCGGGTTTCGGGCCTACGGTTTGGGGATTCAGGCTGGAGTGTTTGGGTTTCGGGTCCAAGGCTTAGGATTACGAGTCAATGGACGACGTCAGGTGAGGTTCTGCATTCGTTTGCTTTTCGCAGAGCTCTTGAACCTGGCGGGACCCTGTGCCATTGCCCCCTTGACGCCGGTGTGAATCTGCCTGCACGCCGGGGCTTTGTCGGGCTTTCTTGGAACAGACCGGTTTGTGTTGCGTTGTTTTGCCAAGTTGTGTGGCCAGGGGTGGGGGTCCTAAACTGCGGTGTCCTGGTGTTTCGGTATGAGGTCGGGTTTAGAAATTGAATGGGTTTGATAAGTTGGGTGTCAGTTCTGCAGGTGCAGGTCCTGGAGGTCTTTTTGTTGGCATGCAAAGTCTGCAAGCTTTCGTTTTGGCTTGCTGACAGAGTCAGAAACTTTAAGCCGGAACTGAACCTAAACTTCTAGCCACAAACCCTAAACCCTAAACCCTCAACCTCAAGTTCCGAAGCTCTGAGCTGAAGGATCACACGTGCTGGGCCAAGACGCAGCAGAGTTTCGGAAGCCGCATCGACAAGGACTGGATTCATATGTGGTTGTGGCAGGTTCCGGCATCTCCGTGCTGCTGCTGCTGCTACTACTACGGCTACGACTACGACGACGACGACGACGACTACTACTACTACTGCTACTACTACTGCTACTACTACTAACAACAACAACAACAACTACTACTACTACTGCTACTACTGCTACTACTACTACTGAGGATAACATTCGTAGTAACAACTGCAACACGCTGATCCCTGGAACCCTCACATCTTGCACAGCACCTTCAAAAACTGTACACCCCCTGAACGCTTGAAACCTAAAGCTCATGTAAACCCCGAGTTGACAAAGCCCTGAAGCTGAGGGTTTAGGGTTTAGGCACAGTTCCAGTACCCATAGCGTTTCAGGGCTTTAGCGTAGAGGGTGTAGGTGGGCTTTAGGGTAGAGGGTGTACGTTTTTCTTGGTTTTAGAGTTTAAGGATTTAGGGGTTTATGGTTTTTGGGGTTTAGGGGTTTAGGATCACAGATTGGATGCCGGAAGCGCCCTCAACAACACGCTCAGGACGCGAAAAATTGAGATGCCTGAAGCCTCAACGTTGAAGGTTGCAAGATCGTTTGTATCAGGTAAGCCCAAACCTTCAGCCTAAAAAATCCCAGAAAAGTGTCTATATCAGTTTAGCCCCCCACCCCCCTCCCCCCTACCCCCCTTAATTACGGAATTGATTTCGACTCTTAAACCAAAGCTTCCTTGCAGGGCCACGCGTCGGAGAGTGCTTGCCGGAGCAAATGCCGCGGCGAAGCTTTGCCATGTCGTAAATTCAGAGACACCCTTCACCTTCTTCTAGCTTTTTTCCAAATTAAAGCAGACTGAGCATGATACTGTTGATGATATAAATTATGCATTACCTTAAGGACCCAAAACCATGGGAATTATGGGTATATTCCTTATTATGGGAAATGCAGGATTTATATCATCAACCGTATACGACCCTGAGAACTATGCGAGTCTAGGCTCTGATGATGTTGACCATGATTTGTCTCGTCGTCGTTGCTACCTTGAGATGATGTGGCTGAAAGTGTGGACAACTGTGTCAACTGCTGACCGCGATGAACATGTTCAGAACGTTCCAAATCGCAACAGTGACGCCGACATATCTAGCCCGGAACCCAAAGTTGATGAATGTCAGAAGTAAGGCTTGACGAGTCAAAAAGCATAGCAACAACATGTTGATGTTCGTTTGACTGGTCATGCGATAACCAACCCAGAGACTCCCATATCCCTTAATTCAGGAATATTCCGTAAATTATAGTAGGATCCCTGATATTATTTAAGGAATATTCCTTAATTAAGGGATATTGGAGTCTCTGGGAAGATGATTGCCAAGTAAACACGGCAATCTTGCTGCACTGGTGGCCCCGAAGCTGAGTGCTGATAGCTATGGGCCTGTAAGAAGGGCCGTAACATTACCGTTCGCAGTTTCGACACATACAGCAATGCTAACGATGCCCATTCATCATAAGCTCCTTTGGCGTGGTTCTGATGAAGTTGGGCGACAAAAGGCCATCATGATAAGGCATTCTTGCAAAATGGACACCCGTGATGCCAGTGCACCTTCTCTGTGGGAACATGGAGCCCAACCCAAAGCCAAGAACTCTAAGGCAGACAGCAGACATAAGAAACCTTTGCAAGCACCAGGACTGCCTCCAGCAAGTTTCGGAGTGCATTCAACAAGCATGTTTTGTTACAGCAGCTATCAAATTCAGTGAACCAATGGACAGTTGTGGCAAAACCAAACATGAAGCACGGAAAGAAGGATGCACAAGCAGAGACAGAGAGAGACACAGAGGGAGGAAGAGAGGGAAACTGCGGCCTTTTACCGGGGTTGTAGGGAACCTTGGGTTTGTTTCGGTGTTGATGGTTGTTCGGATGGTAGTGTATGTTCTTGTTCTCGTGCCGACCGTAGACCCCTCACAATGCCGGGAAAGACTTGTCCTAATGCTGACTTCCTTACTACGTTGACGCACCCCTAAACCCTTAAACCTAAACTCCAAACCCTAAACCGTTGTTCCCAAAAACGGAAAACGATATCTTATCCAGCTGGCCTTGGCACCGTCTTGCGTGGGTATCTTAAGCAGCGCGGGTGGGCTTCAAAGAGAGAGAGAGAGAGAGAGAGAGAGAGAGAGAGAGAGAGAGAGAGAGAGAGAGAGAGAGAGAGAGAGAGCGAGAGAGCGAGAGAGCGAGAGAGCGAGAGAGCGAGAGAGCGAGAGAGCGAGAGAGCGAGAGAGCGAGAGAGCGAGGGGGAGGGGGAGGGAGGGAGGGAGGGAGGGAGGGAGGGACGGAAGGAGTGCGAGAGAGAAAAAGCAGGAGCGAGGGAGGGAGTCTTGGCGGGAAGTCGAAGACGACTAGCCTCCCAGGAACTGTACTGCACACACTGGGCCGTGGATGGTGGCAAGTGCTTCTTTTACAGCGACTTACCGGCAGAGCTGTTGTTGAACTTCAGTCCATTGCTCCCCAAGAAAGGCCATTCCACCGCCTGTCAATAGCCGGAAATTTTGCTTCAGCACCCCTGCATCTGGATGTCAACGGAGAGAACCTTCAAAGGACCCTGGGCCGCGCATGGACGCCATGCCTGACAGCCTGTCATCAGCCTAAACCCTTACCGTTGCTAAATCCTTCCCGCAAATGGCATTCTGAACCTCTCACGCTGCGTGAGAACTCAGGCGGGCTCTGCAAGAGCAGCGACGTGGATGATTTTGCTTGCACCCTCAAGCATGCCACATCCCCGGCAGGTTTAATGTAGGGGCCTTAATGATCACCTACATTATTTTTTCGGGGTTCCTTACTATAACTATACTACAATGGGCCGCAAAACCCTATTCTATTTATTAAGGTCCCTATACCAAAGCCTCATGATAGCCCTCATAGTAGCCCTTATAGGCCCTATTCTAAGTATTAAGCCTCCTATATTAAGCGTTTCGGCTTCAGGGGGTTTGGGATTTTCCCAGAGAGCCCAATACCCCTTAATTAAGCAATATACCTTGAGTTATAAGGGGACGCATAATATGATTTAAGCCATATTCCTTAATTAAGGGGTATTAGAATCCCCAAAACCCTAAACCCCAAAGATCCCTTATAGGATCCCTTTAAAGGAACCCTAGGTATTCCTTAATTAAGGGGTATTGGGCTCTCTGGTTTGGGATTTTCGGGTTTTGCGGTTCAGGGCCGGGCTTCGCAGTACTCGTGGCCCGCGCGCTGGAGCAGAGGCTTTCGGGTTGCCTGCGGGTTTAGGGTTTAGGGTTGTTTAGGGGTTTAGGGTTTAGGGTTTAGGGGTTTAGGGTTTAGGGTTTAGGGGTTTAGGGTCTAGGGGGTTAGGGTTTTAGGGTTTAGGGTTTAGGGTTGTTTAGGGGTTTAGGGTTTAGGGTTTAGGGTTTAGGGGTTTAGGGTCTAGGGGGTTAGGGTTTAGGGGTTTAGGGTCTAGGGGGTTAGGGTTTTAGGGTTTAGGGTTTAGGGTTGTTTAGGGGTTTAGGGTCTAGGGGGTTAGGGTTTTAGGGTGTAGGGTTTAGGGTTTAGGGGTTTAGGGTTTAGGGTTTAGGGTGAAGTAAGGGGCCTCAAACGGAACGACGGCTCCCAAATCCCAACCCCCCCAAATCGACCCTAAAACCCTAAGCCCGAAACCCGCCCCCAAAAATACGCGAAACTGAAAATGGAGCAAGGGTCATACAGACGCCTTGAATCGTAAAGACCTCAAGCTCTAAACCGTAGAAGGCTACAGGTCGCCTGAGGCGCTAGAACTCCCACAAAGGAAGACCGAGGAAACCCAGGCCAGAAAGCTCTGAGAGGTCTGGGTCACTGCACGCTACCCGGGCTGTGGTGAGCGCCACAGCTGCGTCGACCTGAAGCAGCTCGCCCTGCCTGGTTTTTTTTGTTTAGGGTTTAGGGTTTCATTGAGGTCTGTGTCTCGTGGGGGGCAGGGATAGGGGTCCGCAGCGGTGGGGTTCGGCTGAAGGGGATCAGGTGGGTTAGATTCTGAGTTTCTGTGTTTCGGGTCTCAGAGCTCATGGCTGGGTCCTGTTTAGAGCGGTTTAGGGTTTAGGGTTTAGGGTTTAGGGTTTGAGAATCAGTTGAGTCATTATCCTTCTCTCAGTCCAGCCGCTAGGGCTGGTTCACAATTTGGGAGCTTAATTCTCAGATGTCGTGCTGATATACAGCAGATAGCAGGGTTCAACAGTTGAAAACGATTCATAATATAGATATATAAGGCCCTTAATAGTAGCCCTATTATAGACTGTTACTGTGTGGGGGGCCGTACCCAAGCAGGGTCTTTCTTGATTCCCTTACAAGAGCGCAACCGACCTTCTGGGATGAGCCTGCTCCAAGCCCGAAGCCCTAAAGTGCAGAGGTTCCAACTTGGCGGGTCTTTAGGGGACTAAGTAAGTAGGTAGTAAGTAGACTTATAAGTACCCTAAAAGGGACCCTAATTGGGGTTATGGTACTTATAAATTATAAGGCCTTGAAACAACCAGTTACTAAGTCCCCCGACCCTCCAAGAAAGCACTGAGACAACGCAGGGTTGGCCAAAGCTAGGGGTCGCTTTTCAAGGCACAACGAATGCTACCTCTACGGGTGTCGTTCAGATCCCTCAAGACACAAGCTGAAAGTCCGGTGATCTCGGCTAGTGGGTGCGACCCGTGGGAGTTTGTTTGAGACCAAAGCGGCAAAACCCTCAGCACCTAAACTCGAAATCAATAAAGCCAAACACCTACACCCTAATCCCGTAAACCCGAAATCCGAAACCCAAGTTCTCAAAGCTCAGACCGGTAGCAGGGGTCGGAGCTTCGAAACCTTGCTATTCTGGCCCAGGTTCCCGGGGCACCACTACGTCTCCGGCAAGTACTGCCCCGGCGGTGCCCCTTTGCCTGCAGCTGCCGAAATTGTGTGTAGGGGTCTAGGAATTCAGGAGGTTTAGGGGTTCTTGTTGCGGGGTTTAGTTTAAGCTACCATAGTAAGGAAACCCCATTAATTACCGTAGAGGATCCCGATTATGGTAACTTAAGCTCAGCTCTCTGACGCGATCCCAGGAGGCCCGGGAGTCTCATAGCAGGAGGGTCGGGGGACTCAGTAACCGGTTCTTTTAGGGTACTTACAAGTACCATAACCCCAATTAGGGTCCCTTTTAGGGTACTTATAAGTCTACTTACTACCTACTTACTAAGTCCCCTAAAGACCCTCCAAGTAGCAGCCATAGCAGATGGAAGCCGGTAGTAGGGAGGCTCAGTAGGCGGAATCCATCCTGGGCACCGCAAAGTAAGGAGCCCCCCCTGTGATTTTCAGAAGCCCTCCATATTAGGGAGTTTCCGAAATAGGGGAGCCTAATATAGTATTCTAAATACTAGGATCCTTATTATCAGGACCCCCAAATGAGGTACCCCTGTGATTTTCAGAAGCCTTCCATCTCAAGCCTAGCATCCCCAACTCCAACGCCTAAAAGGGCTTGAGGGCTTTGGGTTTAGGCTGTAGGGTCCTAAACCCTAAGATGCAACATCAGACACTTCCGTTCCCCAATTCTGAGTAGTCCATACTAGGCGCCCCCAACCATCCCCGACCCACACCAGAAACCCTCATCCGAATGCCCTCGGGCCCAGCAGCTTAGCGTCGGAGTCCTAACTCTCAGTACTACTGTTGATGATATAAATCCTGCATTACCTTGAGGACCCAAAACTATGGGAATTATGGTATATTCCTTATTATGGGTAATGCAGGATTTATATCATCAACCGTAGTAGCTGAGAATCGCCTGGGGTCGTTCTACCGCGAGTTTTCCTAACAGGTGCCCGATCACATGTTGAACTTTGAAGCAGCCCGCATGTGAAGCTATATAGCACTGTGCACTGTTGTATAGAGCTCTGAGAACGTGATCCAAGCCACGGCGTTTGAACTTGCACAGTTGTGTAGAGCTCTAAAAATTTGATCCAAGCTATGGCTGCTGAGCAACTGCTTTAAAGGGTTTTCTGCAACACCGCAAGCCCTTCCAAAACATCCCGGAGGGGACCTGCAACAGCGTTCAGATATCCACGTTCTGAAGCTTCCTTGCTCCTCAAATCGTAAACCCCTAAACTCTTAAAACCCTAAACCATCCTACACCCCAAATCCTAAAACCCTAAAGCCCAAAACCCTAAATCCTAAACCCTAAGCCTTGGCAGCATAAAGTCTCGAAAGCCTTCTCCCCAGAGACTCCAATATCCTTTGATTCAGGAATATTCCCTTAAATTCTAGTAGGATCACTAATATGGAATATTCCTTAAATTATAGTAGGATCCCTACTATAATTTAAAGAATTTCCTTAAATTATAGTAGGATCCCTAATTTAATTTAAGGAATATTCTCTAAATTATAGTAGGATCCCTAATTTAATTTAAGGAATATTCCTTAATTAAGGGGTATTGGGCTCTCTGGGTTCTCTCCCGAAGCCCCAGTCTCGAGGAGAACGCGGCCAGTGCTGCCCAGGGCCCCGTGCTGCGCTGAGGGCGGGGGTGTAGGGTTTCTCGAAGGTAGGGGCTTAAGGGGTTTAGGGCGGTTTAAGGGTTTAAGGGGTTTCAGGGGTTTAAGGGGCTTCAGGGGTTTAAGGGGTTAGGTTTTTTTTTTTTACAAGGACCCTAAAAGGGACCCTAATTGAGGTTATGGTACTTATAAGTCCTTAAAAGAACCGGTTACTAAGTTGCCTGACCCTCCAAGCACGGGGGTTCGTTGATCTACAAGTTCCGCTCAGGGATCTACAAGGTTCCTATTCCATGGGGGCTTTAAACATTGAAACGCCGTGTGTTTAGGGATTCGGTGACACCGGGGGTGGAGACCGGGGGGACTCCGCGAACCCAATTACGGCCTTTGGGACATTACATTTTTTCCCTTAGTTGGCCTTAGGGCTCTTATTTGCGAATGTTGCTCTTAGGATTTGAAAGGCCAACCCAGTGAAGATCTCGAAGCGTTTCACGTGCACCAGCAGCCCTAAGCCAAGAAGCCAACGAGCAGAGGTCTACTTCAAGAGGGGCCTGACCACAGAGGATCGACCGGAGTCTAGGAAACTTCACGCGTGTTTTATTCTCACTCTTGGCTTCATGCGCCCTCAGGCTGAAACCATGGAGTTTGGGGTCCTGCTTTGCTGTTAGCTGGTTTGTTGGCCGTACTTCTGCTTTTGGGATGATCCGAGATGTCCTCGGTGTGAGCGATCTGCAGCCCACGGCCGTGCTAGCAGTGGGCTTGCTACCATCATCGTGTGCTGATGACTCTATGAACAGCATCATTCTCGTGGTGATGGCTCCGCATATTTTGGTGATTGCGCTGGCGAGTATTCCGATCTTGATAGCTTTGGGGATCGGATGTTATCATCAGGAGTACGCTCAGTCGTACCAGCATGGTTATATTTATGGCATCCTTCTTTCTCGGTAGTGCTGGTTCCAACTTGGTTTATGGCTACTGTCATAAACCCTAACCCAGAGAGCCCAATACCCCTTAAATGAGGAATATACCTTAAATAATAAGGGGGTTCATATTGTGACGTTAGCTATATTCCTTAATGAAGGGGTATTGGTTAGAAGGGGCCCCCACCCTGTAATAGTGGTATAAGAGGAATATAATAAGGCCCTAATATAATCCTTATAGTCACTATTGCAGGGTGGGAGCAGCTTCTAAGGTATTGGGGTCTGTGGTACTTGGAGGGTCTTTAGGGGACTTAGTAAGTAGGCAGTAAGTAGACTTATAAGTACCCTAAAAGGGACCCTAATTGGGGTTATGGTACTTATAAGCCCTTAAAATAACCAGTTACTAAGTCCCCCGACCCTCCAAGTACCTCCTAAACCTTGAACCCCTGCCATGGGGCGTCTTGCAGTCATGATTTCTCGGGTGCTACCCCTTCGTCCCCCTCGAGCCTGAAGCTTGCCCTTCTGCCGGCTCTTTCTACTTTTGGGCCCTAAACCCTCAACCCTAAACCCTCAACCCTAAACCCTAACTTAAAAAACAATCCTAAACCCTAAACCGTGGGGTTTTGTGCAGGATAGTTTCTGGCTCATGCGCCACGAGAGCTCGAGAACCGGCTGCTCCAGCGGCGAGTGGGCGATCGTGAAGCCGAAGCCCGAACAGGTCTCCTTTTGGAGCTGTTGGGGTTTATGGATCAGAAGGGGCCCCCACCCTGTAATAGTGGTATAATAGGAACATAATAGGGCCCTAATATAATCCTTATCGTCACTATTACAGGGTGGGGGCAGCTTCTAATTTATGGATCAGGTCTTAATGTTGCGGGTTTTGTTTCAGGGCTCTTGTCAGGGCTCAGAGGTCTCCCTGTTGTCCTTAACAGAATACGGCACCTAATATTTAGGGCTTTAGGGTACCCAAGAAGGGACCTTAATTTTGACAACTACCCATATGTCGGTTCGAAGGTGCTGTTGATGTTGTTGACGTGCGGTCCTGGAATAGCAGTGCTAGTATCCTTTGAATGAAAGGGTGCCAGGAGTGCTTGTAAAGGTTCTGTGAGGGTACAGAAATCGTGCCCCTTTCTCGTATATGATGCAGAGATAGTATCCTGTTTTCGTCCATGGTACTAATGTGGCATGATCTATGTCAAGGCCCCTCTACTAGCGTGTACCACAGTTTCGCCTGAGAGTTCAGGGATTTACAGGGTCCTAAACCCTAAAGCCTAAGCCCTAACCAACGAGCCTTAAGCCCCAGTCCTTCGGATCCTGTAAGGGATCTACAGGGTTTAGGGTTTTCGGGGATTCCATTATCCCATACCAACGTCCCTACCTCAGGTGCCGCAGCGGCCCTTGCTTTCGGGCAAAGGTAAGATCTTTTTGGATTTCTATGGCGGTCATTCTCGGCGATTAATCAGGGAAGATTCCTTAACCCCACGTAACCTACCGTTTTAAGGACTTATATAAAGAAATCATATTAAGGATCCCTAAAAAGATAGGTTCCTTAGGGTCCAGGTATTCCTTAAATCATATTAGGGATGCTTTGCCTCTGGAACCCAGGACGCGGAATCGCCTGCCTCGTCTCATTTTCCTGATGTCAACAGAACTGGAGCGGCCTGCAAAACCCCGAATCACTGGCTACCCCAACTCTTAACCCTAAACCCTACTAAGTCAAGCCCCGGTTCTGCGGCCTAAACACCAACTTTTTTTGTTCTCCAAGAAAAGCAGGATTTCGAGAATGATACCATGGCGTACGTGGAGCTCCATGGGGACACCGTGGCCTGCGTCAAGGGCTCCTCGGCGGACTTGCCTTCAGATCCTTGGCAGCAGCAACGGATTTTCGAAAAAAACCCACACCAAAAACCACCCAACACCCCGAACTACCAAACCCAGCCAAAGCCTCACACCATGCATACAAATACATTTGTATATACGTATAACACCAACGCAGGCTATTTCGTCAATTTAGTCAGGTAAGCGTTTTATCCACCCATGAATCCATGCATCGCTCCATCCATCCATCCATCCCTCCGTCCATCCATCCATCCAGGCAGGCAGGCCGGCAGGCTGCCAGCCATCCATGCAGCATTCATGCATGCATATGTGCAGTCATGCAGTCAGACGGACATGCAGTTTTGGCAGGCAGACAGACCGAAAAGGGTTCCTTTCCATACGGTGCTCTAAGCATTGCACAAGGGCATTGTGACTCCTTGATTCTATGGGGTACTTCAGGAAGGGTGCTCATAGCGATACTGTAAGGGGATGATAAGGGTGTTGGAGGATGTTGTCCCATACCCCCTGGTTCGGATATTTACCGTACCGTAAGTTGCCGTAAGTCATATCAATCCCTCTGAATACCCTGAGCTCTGAATGTTTAATAGCAATATCCGTCAGAGGTCCTACAAACCCGGACAGCCCAATACCCCTTAATTAGGGTATGTGCCTTAAATTAGGAGGAGATTCCTATTATGATTTGAGCCATATTCCTTAATTAAGGGGTAGTGGGCTCCCTGGGTATAGTAACCCCTCCGACAAATCCTGTTGCAGTTATGAGCCTTGGTCAAAGCCGATGCCAGGACATCTTTGGGCAACCGGAAGTCTCTCTGACGGTGCGGGATCCTGACTTGCGGCATTGGTTTTGTGGTTTCGGTTTCGAGTTTTGGGTTTGGAAATTCACGGATCCGAAGTCAATGGTTGAGGGGATGTTAATTGTACGGCTGCGGCTGTTGGGTTCGAGTTGGGTTGCGCGTCTCTGCGTCCTTGCTTTGAGAAGTTCTGTCGGAGGCCAAGGCAGCAGCCCTGATCCACATGTCAAAGAAGGCATTGCCGAAAAAGATGGCTGACATTGCTGCTATTGCCAGGCGTACATATACGGAGATGCATGTGTATGTGTGTGCATGGATATGAAAACAAACAGGGAGTCAGACTGTCTGATGAAAAGCACCCGTTTCTTTAAAAGGGCTTTAGATGTTAGTCCAGGAGCCTGAATGATTATGGAGCAAGACTATTCCTTGCGGCACCTTAATGTGCTTGTAGGAAGGTATACTCCAACAGCTGACTCAGGGCCCTAAACCCGGAAGTCTCTCTGTATTGGGTTTGTAATGTGCAGGTCACACGCCTCGGCGTCTCCGGGGCAAAGGCCACGGTGGCCCCGCCTGGCTGTGTCACGTCCCGTGGCCTTCACTCTACCTAGGGGTTTGGGGTTCTAGGATTCTAGTGTTTTGGGGTTTTCGGGCTTTAGGACTTACTCTGATCATCTGCGGATGTGTGGGGACCACGTTAGGATTTAGGGATAAGGCGTTGGGGATTAGGGTTTAAGGGTTTAGGGGTTCAGTGCCTAGGGTGTCAAGGTCTTTCCTCTTTCTGGTCGGCCGGGAGTCGGTGGTCGATGTCGTTGCTGCTTACATCTAGGGTTTATGGCTTAGAGTTTGTGGTTTGGGGGTGTAGGGGTTTAGGCGCATGTCTACAAGAAGAGCCGACTCGTGCCGCAGGGTTCTGTTCGATGTCCCGGTACAGAAAGACTTGTACACCCTGGATGCTGTCCCCACCCACACTCGCCGTCTTCTGTCCACACCCAAAACCCTACACCCCAAGCCCAGAACACTGAACCCTAAACCCTAACCCTGAACCTCAAGCCCTAAAACCTAAACCCTAACCCGCAACCAAAACTCTTAAACCCCCCGCTATCCTAGACCCGACACTCTAGACCGTCCACTCCCCGAGGCCAAACGTCACCGTGGTTGATGGAATCGAGGAAGACGAAGGATCTGTCGAAGCTCTGGCGCCGCTGCGTTCGGAGTTTCAGGGAGTTGGCGGGAACTCTGAACCACCCCCCAAACCAAAAACCCTAAACCCTACACCCCCCCAGCCCTAAACCTTTGTGGGTTTCGAAGGGTTTTGAAGCGGGGGTCGGCGGCTTTGAGTTTTGGGGCCTGGCATTTCGATGGTTCAAAGATGTCTTTAGCGTTGGAGATTTAGGACGGAGGGTTCGACAAAAACCAGGGACGGTTTCCGGTCTTGGGTTCAAGGGTGTGAGGACCCAGAGAGAGCCCAATACCCCTTGACTCAGTAATTTAAGGTATATTCCTTTTCTTATTTAAGGGGTATTGGGCTCTCTGGGGAGTTGTCTTAGGGCTTTTGGCTTAGCTTCGGCTATCAGAGTTTGCGGGTTTAGGCTCTTAGGGTTTAGCGTTTAGGGGCTTAGGGCTTAGGGTGTAGGGTTTAGGGTTTTAAGTGTTGAGATTGCCCGCAATTTCGGATTCAGGGATGTAGGCTTGCTTTGCAGGTAGAGTCTAGTTGTATTTAGGGGCCTAAATACTTACCAGTGCTGTTGTGGGATTCCTTAATGCGGTTAGAATATAATGGGCACCGAAACCCTTTTCTAATTACTAAGGCCCCTATATTAGCGAGCTAGGGTTTAGAGTTGTAGGGTTACAGGGTTGCAGGCTTAAGGGTTATCTGGATATAGACTTCACTTCTCCAGTCTTAGGAAGAAGATGCATACCATAATATCTTATAATATACTCTAACATACTTGGATATACTGCAATATTCTGTAATGTACTGTAACACACCAAATTTTTATAATATACTACTTGAAAATGCTATATTCTACTTAATATATTATATGTATATTACTATAATACACTATGCTATGCCATACTATACGGTAACATCGTATATTGGACTGTAGCATAGGCCATTGCAGTGCGTGTCATACCCGGCCTCACTGCCGTCCTTTCGTCTCTCATGCTTAGGGCTTAGCTCCTCGCAGAACTCGAAGCCTCCGCAGCGCCTAGCCTTTTACGGTGAAGGGTTCAGGGTTTAGGGTTTAGGGTTCAGGGTTTAGGGTTCAGGATTTAGGGTGAAGGGTTCAGGGTTTAGGGTTTAGGGGGATGTAGGCTGTAGGAATGCACCCTGGACCCGAAACATCATTAAGCCTGGCCGTCAAAAGCACGCTGTTGTTTCGGCTGTCGTCTTAGGGCAGTCTTTTTGTTTTGTGCATGTGCACCCTAAACCCTAAGCCCTAAACCCTAAACCCTAAACCGTCGGAGGTGCTGGATGACCCCGCCACTGACGTGGCGGACGACCACTGGCTGCATCCATGCTCCTGTGCCTCTCAGATGCCTTGGGTAGGTTCTTCCTCCGGCTGCTATAAATATATGAGTTAGAAGCTGCCCCCACCCTGTAATAGTGGTATATAATAGGGCCCTAATTCAATCCTTATACTCACTATTACAGGGTGGGGAACCCATAATATATTCCTATATACCACTATCACAGGGTGCGGGCAGCTTCTAATATATGAGTACTATATATCAGGGGTATGACGGGTAATAAAGGGGTACTATAATGCAAGGGAACGAGAAAACTAGGGTTACTACAATATGAGGGAGCTACAACAGAAGGGTACCATGAGATAAGCTTACCTTAGCACCGGCGTGCTGCAATACAGGGGTACTATTATTCTTAGGGGCAAATAGAAGTAATTTTTATTTTTGGGTTATTATAAGCCCTAAGAAACAGCTAAAACTATAATTTTTGCTAGAGTTCTAAGTTCAGTATAGTTATTGTGATATACCGGCATCATCAGGATCTGAGCCCAAACTTAAAGTTTCAACATTCAGCCTTCCATAAAGGAGGCAGAGGCAGACATGTTGCATCATTATGAGCCGAGTATGGGTAAGTAAACGCTATGCCCTCAACACGCAAGAATCATCGTGCATAGTAGCAGAAGAGAGGAGGGGCATTATAGTATAGGTATATAGAACTACGGGGGGCATACTCTGACTCTGAGCGAGAATGCCACATCCCTAAGCTTCCGAACCGCCGCTATATGACCCTTATGAAACCCGTGAAGGCACCATGAAGGGAACCCTGAGATGAGCCTTTACATGAATATCAAATTCTAAACCCAAACCCCTAAACCCAAACCCTCATCTGTTACATAAACCACTAACCCCCTAAACCCCTAAATCACTAACTAACCCTAAATCCTATAAATCCTAAGCCAACGAACCCTGAAACTCCCCCAAGCTCTCAGCACTTCCAGGCCAACAGCATCAAACCCCGAAGCCTCAAACCTTAGATCCTTAAACCCTGGGTTTAGGGTCCCAGGGCTTGGGGCTTCCAAATCCCTCAACAAAATCCGATCAAAGCTTCGAGGATCCTAGTAGAAATCCTTTCGAACGCCCTTTGGAAGCAAGGGTTAGCGACCTCATATGGGTGGTTGTCAAAATTGGGGTCCCTTGTTGGGTACCCTAAATATTAGGTGCAGTATCATAATAAGGGCCCAAAAAGGGACCCTAGTTTTGACAACCACCCATATCTTTGAGAGCTTTGATCCCGAAGCTCCATGCCTTGAGCCCTAGACCCTAAACCTACTGAGCCCTTGGCCCTAACTCTACCTCCTCACCCCTAAACCCTAAACCCACTTGGAGGGTCGGGGGAGTAAGTAGACTTATAAGTACCCTAAAAGGGACCCTAATTGGGGTCATGGTACTTAGAAGTCCTTACAATAACCAGTTACTAAGTCCCCCGACCCTCCAAGTAGCCCTTAAACCCTCCACCCTAACCCTAACCACTCAAATCTTAAGCTGTAAGCTTCAAGGTCCATTTCTTCAGTGCCGGATGCCTGACCTTCCGGCCGTTATGGTAACCATGTAGTAACCGTCAAACCCTGAACCCCGTAAACCCCGAAACATCCTATAGTAGAAGCCAGAGAAGATGGAACATCCTATCCGCATACCCTTAAATCCAGAAAGTTGGAATATGGATTAATGGTAGGATCCCCTATAATTTGCCTTAAAGGGGTTACGACCATGATATTCCAACTTTCTGGCTTCTACTGTCAGGTACAGTTTCAGGAATCCTGGCACTAGTCATCCCTATTCCTTGTTCCAACTCTCTGGGGTTCACCATCCCTAGACCGTAAACCCGAAAACCTAGGACCTGAACCCTAAAGCCTAAGCCCCTAAACCCTCAACCCTAAACCCTAACCTAAGCCCTGAACCCCAAACCCAAAGCCCCAAATACCCTAAACCTTAAATCCTAACCCTAATCCCTAAACCCTAAGCCCTAGAAAACCCTAAAAAACCTTCCCTAATCCCAAAGCCCTAAGCCCTAAAAAGCCCTAAATACCCCTAAACATCCGATACTGACTTCATGCCTTAGAAGCTGCCCCACCCTGTAGTAGTGACTATAAAGATTATATTAGGGCCCTGTTATACCCCCAGAGAGCCCAATACCACTTAATTAAGGAACATGCCTTGAATTATAAGGGGGCGCATAATATGATTTAAGCCATATTCCTTAATTAAGGGGTATTAGAATCCCCTAAACCCTATAGATCCCTTAAAGGATCCCTTTAAAGGAACCCTAGTAGGTATTCCTTAATTAAGGGGCCCCTTTGGCTCTCTAGGTTATACCACTATTACAGGGTGGGGGGCTCCTTCTAACTCACGCCTTTGATTTCAGGCTCCCGCTGGTTGGGGCTCCTTGCCGCCCGTTTCGGGCGCCTTGGGCCGATTAGGGTTGAGGGTTTGGGGTTTGGGGTTGAGGGTTCAGGGTTCAGGGTTTAGGGTTGAGGGTTTGGGGTTTAGGGTTTAGGGTTTAGGGTCTAGGGTTGAGGGTTTAGGATTTAGGAGTTTAGGGGTTCAGGGTTTAGGGTTCATGGGTTGAGGATGTAGGGTTGAGGGTTTAGGGGTTAGGGTTTCGGGTTGAGGATTTAGGATTTGGGTTTTAGGGTTGAGGATTGAGCTTTACTACTTTACTCCCATTTTGGGATTTCAGATTTGAAGTTGGGGTGTAGGGTATAGGGTTTTGAGTTGAGGGGGTCTCGGGATTCACGTTTAGTAGTAGAGAGTCTGAGGTTTGACGTGTCCGGTTTTGGGATTAAAGCTGTAAGTTCTGGGATTTGGTGCCTTTGGTAGCTCACGGCCGACTTAGTAGGAAGCCCATTTTTTGGTTTTTGGTAGTAGGTTTAGGGCCCAGGGACTTGGGGGAATCCTTATGAAAACCGTATCAAGGCCGTCCTGCACGGCCGTGCTGCACACGTGACATACCCTGTTTCAAGCCTCTATTGTAGGGTTGAGCATCGAACATGAGGGGCATATCGTGAAAGTTCTGCCAAACCCGCCTTCCCACAAAGCTTTGGCGCTTTCAAAACGGCTCGTGCCGGAACTGAGCCCTTGACCCAAAGCCCGAAACTCTGAGCCTTTCAAAGCCCTTACACAATCTCGTCTTTCAAGCAAGTATCGAAGCAGAAAGCTTGAAGACCCTAAGCACTCTTCTACCCAGAGAGCCTAATACCCCTTAGTTAAGGAATATACCTTAAAGTACAAGGGGGTTCATATCATGATTTAAGCTATATTCCTTAGTTAAGGGGCATTAGAATCCCCTAAACCCTAAACCCTATAGATCCCTTAAAGGGATCCCTTTAAAGGAACCCTAGGCTTTGGGTAGAGATCAGGTGAAACCGTGACAGATATACCCGCCGGCAGCAACAACGAGTTCATGTCCGGAGCAGCAGTCATTGCCAGGAGCTGAGTTAAAGGGCTCTTTAAGAGGAAGCTATAATAGGAGTTCTATAATAACTAAGGTGACTTATATAAGGATGATGTTGTTGTCGTCGTACCCTAACTCCGGGGTTTCGACGAGGAAGACGCCCACACGAAGGTGTAGGCGTGACTTATATAAGGAGTTCCTTAGAGGGTTCTTTAAAAGGGAGCTGCCAGGGGATCTTAAGGGGAGCTTTGTGGGAATCTTCCGGGTTTCAGGACCCTAGACCCTAAACCCCTAAACCCTAAACCCTAAACCCCTAAACCCTAAACCCTTAAACCCTAAACCCTGAGCCTTCCACCGACGAGGGTTGAGGGTGTCGGGGGGCCCAGACATTTTTCAACTCTTTGCGGTTCGGGACGGACATCCATATGGGAGTTTCCGAAAACTTGGGATACCTTATTTGGGGGTCCTTATAATAAGGATCCTACTATTTAGGGTACCATAGCAGGGTCCCCAATTTTCGGAAACTCCCATGTGGGTTTGGAGTTGGTAACCATCCGCAATTTTTAGGATTCCCACTTTCCCACTCACTCCTGATAGTGGTACAGGTAGATCTTCAGGAATCCTTTATCCGACAGTATATAGGGTTCAGGTTTCGGGTTTGTGGGTTTTCGCGTTTAGCGTTTGTGCATTTCGGAGCGTTTGCGCACATGTTTTTGCCACACGAGATCTCTCAAAGCTGTGCTAAACTCTGCTGTGATCGTTGAGCTTATTCTGATCCCGGACACCACAAACCCTGAAACGCAAACCGCAAATCCTGAACCCTAAATTTTTTGTTGCTTATAAGTTCCACTGAAGGCTTACGCAAGCCCTCTAACTTGTGAAGGGCCACCGCATTCATGTAGGAACCTGATTAAGAAACCTTGGGCCTTTATTAGGGTTCCTTATATGAATCCCACTATTTTGGGTTATTGGCCCAGGGTTTCTTAACCAGGTTCCTACATTAGCCTTGAGCCCCTAGCCGAGCCGAGCAACCCAGAGGTGGACGGCCAGTTTGCGTGTGAGCAGGAGCAGCTTGGCACCATGAAACTGTAGGTTCCTCCAGGGGTTCTACGAGGCTTTGGGGGGTTTAGGGTTTAGGGTTTAGGGTTTAGGGTTTAGGGTTTAGGGTTTAGGGTTTAGGGTTTAGGGTTTAGGGTTTAGAAGCTTCAAGGGATTCATGCCTTCTGTAAGGCTGGTGTATGTGTTCTATGAGGTTTCTACAGGGCTCAAGGGTTATCTTTATCTTACTAGTTGATGGTTGAGGGTTTCGGCTTCAGGGCGTCAGGGGGCCTTACAGCCAGTGATGATCCCACACTCAGGAGTTAGCGTAAGCTTTAGAGTCATGTTGTTGCGTTTTTGCTGGGTTTACAGGCTCTTAGGGTTTAGGGTTTAGGGTTTAGGGTTTAGGGTTTAGGGTTTAGGGTTTAGGGTTTAGGGTTTAGGGTTGAATCCAACATAGAGGTGGCTTCTTCTCATGAGCTGGGACCCATTCCTTGCTTCGGTGGGAGCTTCCCTTTCTTGAGCGGGCACGGCACGCTTTCTGCCAGTGGGATATCAATGCCTTGAGAATTAGAGTAGGGTTTCGACCGCACAAAAAGTCTGCGGATGCTACGGCGAGTTCTTCGGACCTCTGTAGAAGAGCTTAGAGCTTAGGGTATAGAGCTTAGGGTTGGGGGTTTAACGGTTTAGGAGCCTGTCACCCAGCCAAGCAGATCAGTGGTCAGCGCGTACCTTAGCTTCTCCAAGGCTTCTTGAGGTTTGGGGTCAACTTTCAAGCTCAGGGTTTAGGGTTTAGGGTTTAGGGTGCAGGGTATAGGGTTTGGGGTACTCTAAACCCTGAGTCCATGGGCTTAAACCCCATGCTTCAACACCAGGTACCTTTTGGAGGTGATCGTGGAGACAGAGAGCGATGGCCGACGTGGTGGAATTAGCAGCTTTTGGGCTTGGGTATTGGTAAGTGAACATCCACGACAGAACATTATAGTAGAAGCCAGAAAGTTGGAACATGGCTTTAGGAGGATTAGTGCTAGGATCCCTTATACTTTACCTTAAGGGCATGAGGCCAATGATGTTCCAACTTTCTGGCTTCTACTGTAGGATCATTACATTAAGATACTTGTTGTATTCTCTTCAGTAACGAAGTTGCATTGGAGGGCTCCTCTCGTGGCCCGGTGCTTAGCTTTCCTGGGTTCACGGTTGAGAGGGCAAGCCCTGAACCACCCTACACCCTGCTCAGAGCTGCAACATCCTCAAAGCGATCCAACCCAAAACCCAAACCCCCCAAACCGGCACCCAGAGAGCCCAATAACTCCTTAATTAAGGAATATAGCTTAGATCATAATATGAATCCCCTTATAATTTGAGCTATATTCCTTTAGTTAGGGGTATTGGGCTCTCTGGGCATTCCCTGAAGCCTCAACTGTGCAACAGCCAAATAACCCTCATGGAGCCCGTTTTGGACCTTGGGGAGCCGTTGTCTAACCCTTATAAAACCCCAACCAGCAGCAGAGGCCTGGATCCAGGCAACTGCCGAACGCGATGCCTGGCGCAAGAATGTCCCTTCTTCTGGGAAGGCCAGATGCCGAAGGATTCAGGGTTTAGGGTTCAGGGATTAAGGTTCAGGGTTCTCGGTGATGCCGAAGCCGCTAAGCCGTAAAAGCATGCAGCTGGTGTGTTTCGGTTCTATGGTCCATGAGCGATTGAGGGGAGAGTCCCCCAACAAACCCTAAACCCTAAACCCCCAAACCCTAAACCCCAACCTCTAAACCCCCAACCCTGAACCCTAAATCCCTAAACCCTCCAACCCCCAAACCCCAAACCCAAACCCCTAAACCCCCAAACCCCCAAAGCCTAAACCCCAACCCCTAAACCCCCAAACACTAAACCCTCAGCCGGTTGGGTTGACAGTGTTGAAGCTTGTGGAGTCGCTTCTTCTAGGTTTTGGTTGTCGGATTTTGAGACAGGGCTTCAAGGGTCAATTGGGGCTCAGGGGTTTAGGATTTAGGATTTAGGTTTAGGGTTTAGGGTTTAGGATTCGGCGCAGAGGGCATCTATGCTTGTAAGCAATCGCGGCATTCAAGGGTGCAAGTTCCGGGTTGGGGTTCTGTGATTTGGTGGTTTCGGGCTCCAACCTGCCTACTATGGGGGCCTAAATAATGACCAATACTATTTTGGGTGGGGGTTCCTTCTTATACTTATAGTATAGTGGGCCCCAAAACCCACTCTAAATATTGAGCCGTAAACCCAAAACCAAGTGCCGTTCACGTCAGGTTTGTGCTCAAAGCTCTCGCGCCGCAGGTTCCCGAAGGCCCGAAAGAAGACACCGCGAACGCTTCCTCCCTTGCAACTTGTGGACCCGGAAGCCTTTCCACTAAACTATGCCCTAAACCCTAAACCCTAAGCTTTAAACCTTAAACCCTAAACTTTAAGAAAGGCGTTCGCGAAAAGATTAAGCCTTTGGGCCGTAAATCACCTGCGCCTTGCAGTGCGAGTGCAACAAAAATGCCTGGCCCGAGGCCTCAAACCTAACGCAGGGGCCTTGAATAATTACCAACACTGTCTCGGGGTTCGTTATCAGAGTTATAGTAGGGGCTATTGTAAGTATAGGGGCCTTAAACAATTACCATTACTGTTTCGGGGTTCGTTGTTGGAGTTACAGTTATAGTAAAATGTTCTTGTTAAATAATTACCAGTACAGTTTTTGCGGTTCGTTATTCGAGTTATAGTACAATAGGCCCCTATATGAACCGCACCCCACAGATTGGTCAGGCGAAGTCATGTCGACAAAGCAGTGCCGCATCTACAGCCAATGCACGGAGCTGGTGCGGGAACTCGGACATGGGTTGCGGGGGTTCGGGCTTCAGCTCCTCAATCAGGGCGTTGTACAGGGTTTGAGGTATAGGGCACTTCGAGTAACCTTGATGCTCTGAGTCCCGAACCCTAGAACTGAGAGGTATCTTCGGGTCGTAAGATCAGCAGCTGAGCGAACATGACAGACAGAAGGATATTGACATGAAGCTGATGATAATGGTTACTAATCATAGTGACGATGGCGGTGTCATTGCAATGGAAGTGCTCAACAACACCATCGCCGTCACCATCACCATCACCACCACCACCACCAGCACCACCAGCACCACCAGCACCACCAGCACCACCAGCACCACCAGCACCACCAGCACCACCAGCACCACCAGCACCACCAGCACCACCAGCACCACCAGCACCACCAGCACCACCAGCACCACCACCAGTACCACCACCACCGCCACCGCCACCGCCATCGCCATCGCCAACACCATCACCAGCCACCACCACCGCCACCGCCTCCGCCGTCACCGCCGCCATCACCACCATCATCATCATGATCATCACCATCATCATCATCGGTTTCATCTCCAGCATCATCATGATCATGGCCACCATCATCACCATCGTCATCGTCATCACAATCATCACCATCATCACCAACATCACCAACATCACCATCATCAGCGTCATCACGGTCACCGCCACCTTCACTGCCGTCATCATCATCATCATCATCACCCCCACCATAAGCATCGTCATAATCATCATCATCATCATCATCGCCACGGCCATCAACATCATCATCAGCATCAGCAGCAGCACCAGCATCTCCATCACCATTATCAGCAGCATGTCGTCAAAGTCGTCAGTGTCAGTGCATCGTCAATGTATCCATGGCCACGACCATGACCCTGATGACCACAAGCAGTGCCATGTTATCACCCCTTCACTACCATCTGTTCTTTGCTTGATTAGGTGCGAAGTCTTTCACATGATGGCTTACAGTCCTGTTTCTTGACGGCCGTTGGCCTTTGCCAGAACATAGTACAAGCACGCTGGACAGTATGGCAAATGCTATATGTACACCACGACATACACCACCGACATCATGAACAACACATTGTCCGCTGCTGCTTGAGTATCTTGATAGTGGTAAAGGGCTGAGGGTTTAGGGGTTCAGGGGTTTAGGGTTAAGGGGCTTGCTGTCTAGGGGTTCAGGAGGGATCTAGGGTTTAGGGCTTGGGTGTTTGGGGCCTTAGGGTTTAGGGGTTTAGGGCTTCGGGTAACAAATCGATGGCCCAGGTCCGTGAGGTTGGTGCGATCGGCATCCTCTACGGCATGACACTCGGCAGCCGAGAAACCTTCTTATGGCTGCAAGGCACTAATCGTGTTAAGGGTCGAAGCGTTTTCAGGGTTCGGGTGTCAGAACAAACACACCAAGAACAAGAGCAACAGCCACGATGATAACAATAGCAGCAACAGAAGCAATCGCATTTTCTACCGCAGACGCGGTGTCGTAACAGCACCAGCACCACCCCCAACCACTGCCACCGCCACCACCGACAGCACTACTTAAGCACCACCATCACCCAAAATGACTACCATCACCACGAGCACCACCGCCAGCACCACGACCGCCCCCACCACCACCACCACCACCACCACCACCACCACCACCACCACCACCACCACCACCACCACCACCACCACCACCACCACCACCACCACCACCACCAGCGCGACCTATCTATCTTTCTACCTCTCTAACATCTAGTAATGTCCTTCTATCTGTCTATCTATCTATCTGTCTATCTGTTTGTATATATATATATATACATATACATATACATATATGTATGTGCGCACACACATGTATATACATATATACATGTGTTTCTCTAGATAGCCTACTAACTGTTATCACCAGCTGATCTGGATCTTTCCACATGGCCGCCAATATGCTGTGATAGCGAGAATTCGCGAGTACCGCGGTAGATGCGTCAGGCCCATATGGTTATGACCGGTTATGACCACCCGCCCTTGAAAAAGCTGAGGGTTCAACCTCACGACCTAAAACAAGCAAGAGTCAAAGCATGTGCCGCAGCATGCCGACATGTCAGAGCACTCAACAATATCAATAGCAGAAGTGGGCTGCAACCACTGGACCACTAAGCCTACTCTCAGTTTCGGCCTATGCAGCACAAGACGGCTTAGCCGACTTAGCCGACCCTTTTGACCAAATGGACAGAGCCCCCCCACTAAACCATTGAACCAATGAGCCACTGAAAGCAATAAGCCAATAAAGCCATAAACCAAGAAGCCAAGCATCAACCAATCAACCAACAAGCCAATAAATCAGAGAAGCAGTAAGCGATACGTGAATTAACCAACAGACCGATTATCCAACTAACCCAACCCTTTCCCCCTAATGCGTTTATTGGTCGATCCCTCCACCGGTTATTGGTTTCTAGGTTTGCATTTTTGATTTTAGTGCTGGTCTATTGGTATGGCGGTTCCTGGAGCAAAACATTGGGGACCGATAGAGGCGGTGACCCACAACTTACGCACATACACATATACACTTGCACACTTACATATATATACACACACACACACACACTTTTGACAGGTTATTTAGACGGTATGTGTACAGAAGTTGTATTTACGCACCTATAGAAATCAATAAGGTTACATAGACATAAATATACATATATTATGGACAGACAGACGGACGGACGGACAGACAGACAGAAAGAGGCAGGTAGGCAGGCAGGCAGATAGACAGAGAGATTGCTAGATCCATAGATGGGCAGATATATACAGCTATATACGTATGTATACACATGAATATGAATATATATATATATATATATATATATATATATATCCATCTATCTATCTGTCTACCTATCCATCTATATACATATACACACATATATATATATATATATGTGTAAACATATATAAGCCTACACATACATACATACTTACTTACATACAGCCACCCACAGATGTTGGGCGCTCGAGCACCATTCCCAGCAGCTCAGGCCCGAACACCTGCATGGTACCCAAAACCTTAAACCCTAAACCCTAAACCCCTAAACCCTAAACCCTAAACCCTAAACCCCTAAACCCTAAACCCTAAAGCTTAAATCCTAGAGGCCGAAACTCTAATCCGGAGGGTTCAAAAAAAGCTCTAATCCCCAAGCCCCAACATCCTAACACCCGCAGCAAAACCCCGAACCCTAAAGACAGGACCTACCGGAAAGCCTGCAAAGTGGCGGATCCTGCGCTGCCCTTCGGACGAGAGGGTTCTCGGTATAGAGGTTTAGGGTTTAGGGGCTTAGAGGTTTAGGTCCGAAGGTTTCGGTTTAGGACTTCGGGTATCGGGCTCCGGTGATTTGGGTTTAGGGCTTTGGTGCGCTTGCGAAGGTTTCAGGTACATGCCAGTTGCGTTCCTTCAGAACTTCAGGTTGCTAAAAGCCTAAGCCCGAACCCAGAGAGCCCAATACCCCTTAATTAAGGAATATACCTTAAATTATAAGGGGGCGCATAAGAGTTTTTAAGCTATATTCCGTAATTAAGGGGGTATTGGGCTCTCTGGGAACTTTGGAGGCCCAGATTTCGGAGTTTGACAAGCATTGAGTAGCGTGCGCTTATAGCTCCAGAACGATTCTGCACGAAGCTCCATTCTAGACGTTACGGCCGCTGTCTGAGCCCAGCAGCCGGAGAAGTGAAAGCTCGACAGGCTGAAACTTGATCCTGAAGCACTAGTTCTCAAAACTGTACCCGCAAAATTTCGGGTCGAAGGCATGGTCGCCCTGAGCCTTGAACCCTAAACCTAACGCCTCAACTTCCGACGAGCGCCGAAGCAACACTCCTAACCCCTGTCCTCCCAACCTGTCAATACCCCTTCACCGTAAACCCTATAAACCCTAAAAAGCAAATCCTATACCGTGAAACCCGAATCCTGAACCCAAAAGTAAAAGCGAGAAAGTTGGAATATGATTATCCTAAACCTTTTATGGTAAATTACAAGGTATCCTACCCTGAAACCATATTCCAACTTTCTGGAGTTCCCTGTAAATCCTAAGCCCTAGAGCCAAAGCTTTAGACAAGCTCGGTAAGATCCCCGTAAGGCCCTGAAGAAGCACTTTAAGCCCTTTTTAAAACCTTTGTAGCGCACGTCTTTTGACCCTAAGCCCTAAACCCCGAAGCCTAAACCCTAAATTTAGGAACTTTTTTGAGGAGTCCTTTGTGAGTTCCTTCAAGGAGCCCTGTAAGGAAGCCTGCGCTGAGGTGTTGGAAGGCGACAAAGCGTCGCTCTTTCTTGGGTGCCGGCGACGACTCCTACGCCTGCCTTTACCAGGATCGAGTTCGAAGGTTTTGCAGGGGGATCTTAAGGAATCTGGAAGGTCTTCCAGTAGTCTAAAGGCCGGGTGTTGGGGCGCGATGCTCCCAATATGGTAGCACGCTCTTGTGCTCAAGGTGGGGCGGTAGGATGTCGAGACGCGCCTCCCGCCTCCTTTATCGCCTTTATCTGCGCAGTCCCATGCAGTCCTCCAGAAAGCACGATTCATCGTATACAAGTGCCATTGCATTCGCCTCATATTTGCATCCGAAACTCGAAATGGGAGTTTCCGAAAATTAGGGGTAGCTTATTTGGGGGCCTTATAATAAGGATCCCACCATTTAGGGCACCATATTAGGGTCCCCCATTTTCGGAAACTCCCAAATGTCCAAATTCTTGCATGGCCACATCGAAGCGCTTCAAATCGTAGCAGGGCCACCATGAGTCTCCTCGAGGTCCTTGGTGGACTCCCATTCCCGCCAGTGCATCGGGGACGTTCTTGAAGGTGCTGCCTTCCGACGTCCAACGTCATGCTTAATTACCTGGTGGCGGTCAGCTGGTCCGTTCTTCCTGGTAGTCTTGATCGTTGCGGTCCTTGTCGTCCTGGTCGTCTTGGTTGTTGTGGCCGTCGCTTCGGTCCTTGTCAGTAGTCATCATGGGGTGCACCTCGTTCGCTGGTCGGGACTCATCTGCTGACAACATCAGGTTCGCCAGGCCCGGGGGTCATACAGAATGTTCTAGTCGGGTCGGAGTTTCTAGTATATCGACCTAACAGCCTCTATATGGTGGTTTTCGAAAATGGGGGACCCTAATATGGTACCTTAAAATAGTAGGACCCTTATTATAAGGACCCCAAAATAAGGTACCCCTAATTTTCGGAAACTCCCATATAGTTGTACTTTACTTTACCCCCAAACCCTATTCCTATTGTCGAGGCAGTAGGGTGTGCTTCGGGTTTAGGGTTTGGCCTTTCGGGTCGTGGCCGTCGCTTCCCTAATGCTCTGCTCTCCTGGGGATTTATCTCAGCGTCTCTACGGATTCTAGAAGGTCTCCGTTAAGCAGGGGTTAGGTCGTACAAGGCTTCCTTTTAAACCCTAAAACCCTAAACCCTAAACCCTAAACCCTAAACCCTAAAGGCGCAAAGCTTAGTTGGGGATTCGCCGGCTTGAAAGTATCAGTCAGATGCTGGGCTAAGGAGGCCCTGAACCCTTAAGTTCACTCTAAGAGGTTTAGGGTTTAGGGTTTAGGGTTTAGTTTAGGGCGCAGGGTTGTGGGCTGTGTAGGGCTGAGCGTGTAATGTGGGGGCCTTCATGCGTAGGATTGTTCGTCGGGAATTTATTTACGGCTGTGGGATTATTAGTTAAGGCATCTAAGGCTTGTAAGGGGATGCCCTTCACATCTGATCCCAGAACCCCTTAAAGCGTGAGGGCGTTGAAGTTGTGTGTCTTCGGCGAGGACTTAGGGGTAAGTAAGGTTATAAGTACCTTAATCGGGGTTATAAGTATAGTTACCTCAATTATAACCCTAGTTACTAAGTCCCATGGGTTTAGAGTTTTCTTTTGGGGCTCATCTCTGCAGCTGCGGTGACTGCTTCGTCCTTTACACTGGGTCCCTAAACCCAGGCTGAAAACCCTCAATCCCCAAACTTATGTGTAGCTACGGTTTACTGTCTGGGCTGTGTTCGGAGCTATGTGTCTAGGGTTGGGGGAATACTTTGCTGGTTGTTTCGCTATGGGCTCTGTTTATAGTGGTTGTGGCCAGTTTGGTAGTTTAGACCCGTAAACCCTGAAGCCCCGAGTTTTCTTGTGTGCTCTTTCTTTGAGGACTTGGTTGAGCAGTGTGACCACAAGCTCATGCTGGGTGGTCTGGGAATCAGTGGATGCGGTCACTGCGAGTATGTGTCTTGGCCGTGCAGTGAACCTAAATCCTAAACCCTGGAAAGCGCTTAGGATATGGGGTATTACGACACTGATGATGTTGATGTTGACGGTGATGCAGCTCGTGATGCGGAAGATGCTGTTGCTGCTGCTGCTGCTGCTGCTCGGTAGTCTTGCTAGTGCTGACAGTACTGGTCGTGCCAGCAACTCCGAGAAGTAGAAGTCAGGGGTGCTCGACGATTGTAGTCGCCGTCAGGTGGTAGTAATAGCATCGAGCAGTACCAGTGACGGTGGTGGCAGTTGAAGTGACAATGTAGTAGGGGCAGTGGCAGACTAGTCGTCCTGGTAGTAGTTGGAGTAGAGGTAGTAGGTAGAGGTGGCCTTGTCGGACTGCCATGTCACGTAGATGAACATGGAAAGCGACAGACAATGCGGAAGACTGTTGGCATTGTCTTGATACGGCAGTTGTGGAACATGTATGGAAGCAGAGCATCATATACACGGCAGTGAATACTGAACCAGTTTAGCCGGCCTCGAGCTAGCTCGTGTAATTACACCCGCAGGACTGTGTCTGGGTGTGTGTACAAACACAGAAGTACATACGGCATTCTCCCAAATCTTAGACCTTTCCCTGCTCAGCTATTCGTCACACGCCCGAACTCGCCCAAAACAAACCCTTAACCCCGAACTTTTTGCTCGACGCCTTGAAGTGCACCTTTGTGTGCTTCCCGAGGCGCCCGTGAAGGGGAGGCTGCTCTATGCCAGCAACGGCGGATGTGCCGATTATGCATTCGGTACAGATCAGCGCAACGTGCTCCTCGCCTCGCACCATGAGCCCCTAAACCCTAAACCCTAAACCGTGAACCCTAAACCCTAAACCCTGAACCCTAAACCCTAAACCCTAAACCCTAAACCCTGAACCCTAAACCTTAAGCCCTAAACCCATGAGCCTTTTTTGGTTTTCATCCTAGCAGCTCCTACTCCTGCATCCATCGCCTTGCCACCCTCGCTCTCTGAGGTACGTGCATGCGTGCCATGGCGACGACAACCAGAGGTCTGGGCCTGGGTTTAAGACTACAGATTAGGGTTTAGGGTTTAGGGTTTAGGGTTTAGGGTTAAGGGGTAACGGTCTAGCATTCAGGGCCAAAGGCTTAGGATTTGGGGCTTGAAGGTTTTGGATGTGGGGTACGCACCCCAAAATGATCCATTTTAGCAGTAATCGTGCCCTTGTTTCCTGAGCAACAGAATCGTCCCGGCTGTTGGCCATCCCGGCCTCATTGAGGGAGGTGGGAATGGGTTGTTCCTATTTCTTCTTCCGCCGCAGACGAGAGGCTTGTCTTGTTTGAATGCCGCGCACAGTACACCCAACATAAGCCCCTAAACCTTTAAAGCCCCCTTCTAGAACCCCTATAGATCTCTTTAAGGAACCTTTTCAAGGAACCCCAGTTACTAAGTCCCGTGATCCTTCAAAACCCCACCCCGAAAACTCTAGACCTCCAATCCCTGCAGGTTAAGCCCAAACTCTTAGGGTTTAGGGTTTAGGGTTTAGGGTTTAGGGTTTAGGGTTTAGGGTTTAGGGTTTAGGGTTTAGGGTACTCCCAGCTGCCTTGGCAGGTGGTACTTCGAAGGGGAAGTGCTGAAAAATGAAAGGGACAACACGCGTCTGGGACAAGAGGAGGGGCCCTTGCCGAGGTTTGGAGTTTTGATTTCGGTCTAAGGGTTTGGGGTTTAGGATATAATGTGCTATATAATGGGTATATAATAGCTATATTAAGGGTATATACCTAGGAGTCCTTATTAAGGGTCCCTCCTTTTACCCGGGTGCCGTAAGGCGGAGACGGAAAAGTGAAAACGACGATTTCGGAGGGTTCCTGCATACAAAGCTGAAGACAGAACTTTTCCAAGGACCCAAAAGTATGTAACGTTGCGCAGGGCTCGACAGAGGACGATAGTGCTCCACAGGTTTTGACACTACGGGAATGACGTGCCCGAACCCTCACACAGACATGATTCCTGCACCCTTGCCTGGACCAAGCCCGAGCAACTCTGCGTCTCTCTCCCTTTGTGTGTGTCTGTGTCTCTGTCTCTGTCTCTCTCTCTCTCTTTTTCTCTTTGTCTCGACATACAGATACATAGACAGATTGAGAGACACATAGATACATAGCCAGATAGATAGATATGTGCTAGAAGCTGCCCCCATCCTGTAATAGTGGTATAATAGGAATATAATAGGGCCCTAATATAATCCTTATAGTCACTATTACAGGGTGGGCGCAGCTTCTAAGATATGTGGGTGCTTTTGGATGATTACGGGTTTTCGAACGGGGGCTCCGGTGGTTGCAGAGATGCGGGTCAAAGAGCTCGGGATTTGGGTTTCGTATGTAGGGTTTAGGGTTTAGGGCTCAGGGCTGAGTGTGTTTAGTGTTTAGGGGTTTCGGGTTTTGGGTTTAGGGTTTTGAGCTTAGGGTTTAGGGTAGTTTAGGTTTAGGTCACCATGGTTTTGGGTTTAGGGTAGATTACCGGTTTGGAGTTGGTGTTCGGCACTGCGAATCCTAGAGGGATGGATTCGTTGCAGCCTTCTGCAGCATCTCACACGCCTGCGAACCATGTCCTGTACGATGAGCCCGAAACCTAAGCCTAAAACCCGAAGCCCCGCACACCCAGGTGCTTGGACTACCACAGTGAGAATGTGTACATGCATCCATGTCATGGAGGTTCCAACCAGAAATGGCATGCCGGATCTTATTCAGCACGGGGGTTTGTAGTTTTTTTTGCGTTGGGGGTTTCCGGGTTTTGGGTTAGGGGGAAAGATGTTCAGGGTTGGGAGTTATGTAAAGGCTTGAGGACCGAGGTTTCAGATGGAGGATGTGCGAGGGTGTATATGTATGAGAAGGTGTACGTACGCACAGAAGTATCATGCAGATCCAGGGAGATATACATACGTGCTCTGACGTGAGTGTGCGCTCACAGTTGCTCTACTCGCTGTAGTACAGTCTTGCTGACAAAGGTACATCATCCACCTTGCTGTGCAATGCTGTGTTATATGTTTCCTGTTATACGGACTTTTTTCATTAGACACCACTGTTCTTTTTTGCACTGATGGTATTGGTGCGAATGTAGAGAGTATTCTCAGCTTTCCTGTCAGCATCAAGTAAGCAGATGGTTATTGTAGCAGCATGACCAGGCACCCTATTTGTAATGATGATGGTACTGTCATGGCACTCTCACTTGCATGTGCAATGTGCTGTTTAGATTTTCAGCACAGATATCTCCCAGTAATGTGCACAGACACCTGTAGGCGCAGCAGGATGGAAACCCTAAGCCCTAAACCCTTAGTAGCCCCAAAACCCAAAACCCCAAAACCCCTAAACCCCTAAACCCTTAAGCCCTAAACCACTAAACCCCTAAACCCTAAACGCCAAACGCCTGAACCCCTAAACCCCTAAATGCCTAAACCCTACACCCACGCCGAAGCCTAAAGAATCCAAGGTACTTTGAGCACGGATTCCTGAAGTCACGGGCCGATGGCCGATGCTTAGACTTCCATCCGGGCAACAACAACATGTGCCACGGTTTAGGGTTTAGGGTTTAGGGTTTATAGGGTTTAGGGTTTAGGGTTTAGGATTTAGGGTTTAGGGTTTAGGATTTAGGGTTTAGCCATTTGGGGGGGGAGGGGGGGTCATTTGGGGCGGTTCTGGGGGTGAAAAGTCGGGATGTTTTTTTGGGATGGGGGTCGGGGGCATGGAAGCTTTGTCCTTATAGACCCCTTTAAAAGAACCCTCTTCCCTATGGGTAGGGTCCCCATTAAGGGTCCCTCCTTTTCCCCTTTGAGGAAGGCCTTCCTGTGATGTTTAGGGGCGAGGCTCCTGGCCGGAATTTTGGGGTGCTGCTAAGGCGCTGTATAGGGCAGGGTTTAGAGGCTTAGGGTTTAGGGTTTAGAGTTTAATGGAAGGTTTCTACTGGAATTTGTGTAGCGGTTGTCTGAAGGTTTCAGGTGCCATTGAAGGTCAGGATTTTGGGGCTTGTCCTGGCTGAACTCATGAGCCCTGAGCCCCTCAAGTCCGGAACCCCCTATATTGAGGGTTTAGGGTTTAGGATATAATGGGCTATATATAATGGGCTTTTTATGGCCATATTGAGGGTATATACCTAGGGGTCCTTATTAAGGGTCCCTCCTTTTACCCTTGGACTTCCGGAAGCGCCCGTGCACCCCAAGCTCTAATTCCCACAAACCCCGTTCCTGGCAACAAGGTCCTACACCTCGATTCCGAAGCTTTAAACAGTCCCAGACCCCACAGCCCCAAGGCAACTCCAGGAGTCTTACTTCCTAAGCCCTGAACCCCTGACCCCTAAATCCCTAAACCCTGAACCCCTAAAACCCCAAATCCCTAAACCCTTTTGGAGTCCTATTACTTCCTAAGCCCTAAACCCCTAAAACCCGAGCATGGAGAAGATCCCAACCCTGAACCCTAAACCCTTAACCCCTAAACCCTAAACCCTAAACCCTCAACCCTAAACCCTGAACCCTAAACCCTAAAACCCTAAACCCTTAAACCCTGAACCCGAAACCCTAAACCCTGAACCCCTAAATCCTCAACCGTCAACCCGAAACCCTTAACCCTCAACCCTAGGTATGTGGGGAACTGCCCCTGGAGCGACACCCTCCTTTGGAACTGGAAGCACAACGTTTCCAGCCGGTTTGGGCTTTAGGGTTCAGGGTTCAGGGTTTAGGGTTTAGGGTTCAGGGTTTAGGTTTAGGGTTCGGGGTTTAAGGGTTAAGGGTTTGGGGTTTGAGTGGAGGGTGGTTTGCAAACTGCTGTGGTCTAACGGCTTACCGTTGTCATTTCGTGCGGCATTTCTTGGGTGGGATTGTTGTCAAGACGGGCGAAGCCCTTAGTGGAGACATTATTTATGAGCGGATGCAGCTTGCTTAGGGTGGAGCCTGAAACTAGAACAGCTATTGACCTCCTGTATAGGCTTGATACTGTATCTCGCGTGGGAGTGTAGACATGGCAAAGTGAAATCTTTTGTTTCTTCGGCATCCAAACCAGCTTGGTGACAACGCTGGAGTGACGAGCCATGTTATGATGCTACTTTGGACCCTTCGGGCGATAAGATTTCAGGCTTGACTGTCCGTGATTGGCACAGCGATTTGATGCAACCGCTGTCGTCAAGCGACGAAGCCTGTCAACCCAACTTGAAACGAGTCACGTTACTTCTTCGTGGTTCATGTCCGACCTCGGTTCGAACGAAAGTAAGTAGCTGTTTGCTTTTCTTTCGGACCGGCCAGCTAGTTTTGGACCGGCCAGCAAGCCGCTGTACCTGTGCTTATAGAAACCTTCCCTAGGTTCATGGGGGTCAACAAGTGGCCAGCGACTACCACCACGGCACGAAGTGCTGGACCCACGACCGCAGCAGCAACAACGTCTTCGTGGCTTCCGCTGAAGTGGGAGGGCATTCTGTGCTTCCTTCTCAGTGTTTGGGGTTCCGGCGCCATCGCATCGGTTTAGGTTTTGTGGTTTTGGGTTTTGGGTTATCTTCAAGCTGGATGTCTCAAGCCTCAGCTGGCCCTAAACTCTACGCGTTAAACCGTTGATTTAAACCGCTGATCTGTAAAGCCCAAAGCCGAAGCTTGAATCGTAGGTGACGCCTCACTCTCAACTGAGCACCGTAAGCCTGAACCTAGGGTTCAGTGTTTCGGCTTCAGGGTCTGGGATTTTGCTTTTGTGTCTGGGGTTCAGGGTGTTCACGCCTTGCGAACTAAACCCTTAACCCTAAACCCTATACCCTAAACCCTATCCGCCCTAAACCCTATAAGCCCACAAACAATTTCAAACCGTAAACCCTAAACCCTAACGGTCGCAGACTGCAGCCTAGCTGCAAAGGTCGGGGACTGCACCGTTGCCATGAAGTCGCGCTTTTTCTGGGACGGAGCGACTCGGTTCCCCCGGGGGTTCAGGTAGTGCTGAGGAGTTGGGATGTAGGGTTTAGGGTTTCGGGTTTTGGGTGGAGGATCTAGGGTTGGGTTTTCGGGCTTAGGGTACAGATTGGTCTAGGGGTTTTGGGTTTAGAGTTTATGGGGGTTTAGGGGCTTAGGGTTTAGGGGTTTAGAGATTAGGGTTTCGGATTTAGGGTTTGGGGTGTAGGGTGTCGGGTTTGGGGTCGCAGCAGCAACACCCAGGTACTTACTTATTACTTCGATGAGGGTGTTTTTTCGCCAGATATACTGAGCCCCATGATCCAGAGAGCCCAATACCCCTCAATATAATTAAGGAATATGCCTTCAATAACAAGTCTTGGCAAGCATAAGAATCTCAAAGGGGAGAAGGAGGGACCCTTAATGGGGACCTCTAGGTATATGCCCTTAATATAGCGATTATATACCCATTATATAGCCCATTATAGGGTAGAGAGACAGAGTTTGGACGCCCACCCGGACCGCCCTGCCCTCACTCTTTTTGGGCTCAGGGCTTTCTGGGAATTGAGGTCTCAGAGCTTTGCTGGGTTTTTGTTACTTGGACTTGGAGGGTCGGGGACTTAGTAAGTAGGTAGTAAGTCGACTTATAAGTACCCGAAAAGGGGCCCTAATTGGGGTTATGGTACTTATAAGCCCTTAAAATAACCAGTTACTGAGTCCCCCGACCCTCCAAGTAAGGAGTTTCATGTAAGTTGCCATGATTGGGATCTAGAGTAATAGTATGGTTTCCTTGTTATGTTGCCATAATTGGGGTCTATAGTAGTAATAATATGATTTCCTGGTTATGTTGCCATAATTGGGATCAATAGTAATAGTATGGTTTCCTTGTTATGTTGCCATGATTGGAATCAATAGCAATAACATGGTTTCCTTGTTATGTTACCATATTTGGGATCTACAGTAATGGTACGGTTTCCTGGCTATGTTGCCATGATTGGAATCAATAGCAATAACATGGTTTCCTTGTTATGTTACCATATTTGGGATCTACAGTAATAGTACGGTTTCCTGGTTATGTTGCCATAATTGGGATCAATAGTAATAGTATCGTTTCCTTGTTATGGTAACTTAAGCTAGATCCCTTAACAAGAACCCAGTAGAGAGGTCCCGGGGTTCGAATCGGCACCGGGCCCAGGAACGCATCAAGTCGGAGACGGATTCCTCTTTGTGCCTGGATGCTTCTGGAGATGACCGGGTCTGGATGCATCTTGCACGCTTCTTATGCCGTCTGCGTGTAGACGGAACACAGCTTTTCGGTCTAACTGCATACTCCCTGTCTACATACGTCCAAGCATGCGGTGGCTTCGGCACCATTCGTGCAGATCTCTAAATGTTCAAACCTTAAACCGTGATATGCTGTTTCAGTCCTAAATAGTTCTCAGCCCGGATCCCGGAAGCACTTTTATGTTCAGGGCTTCGGGTACGGGCTCCTTTCTCCAAAGCCCTACAAAGCCCCAAACTCCTCAACTCACGTACCTCATAAGGCCCCCTAGCATGAAACCCTAAGCCCTAAACCCTAAACCTTAAACCCTGAACCCTAAACCTTAAACCCTAAACCCTGAACCCTAAACCTTAAACCCTAAACCCTGAACCCTAAACCTTAAACCCTAAACCCTGAACCCTAAACCATAAACCCTCAACCCTGAACCCTAAACACTTGGCCCTAAAGCTCTCGGAGCCCCTGCCAGCAGGGTTTAGGGTTTAGGGTTCAGGGTTTAGGGTTTAGGGTTTAGGGTTTAAGGTTTAGGGTTTAAGGTTTAGGGTTCAGGGTTTAGGGTTTAAGGTTTAGGGTTCAGGGTTTAGGGTTCCCTAGGTTGCGGGAACTTCGGGGTTCTGGGTTTTGCGTTTGAGACATTGGGTTTATATAGGGTTTAGGGCGTAGGGTTTAGGGTTTAGGGTTTAGGGTTTAGGGTTTAGGGTGTAGGGTTTAGGGTTTAGGGTTTAGGGTTTAGGGTGTTGGGTTTGAGTTTGGGACTTAGGCTGCTTTCTGCTAACTGCAGACTGCTGACGGCTGACTGACTGCTAGGCCTACTGCTGCGAGTGCTACGAGTGCCAGTACTGGTACTAGTTGTGGAAACAACCATATAGTTACTATAGCTATTGCTGGCTGCTTCGTGTCATCTTTCTAGAGATGCAAACCATAAACCCTAAACCAAAACTCTAAACCCTAAACCCTACCCCCTAAACCCTGAAGGTATGGTTGTCACAGTGGCAACAACCAGAAGTGGTACTTTGATGGCCAGCTCCTGAAATCGAGGCCCGTGTTTCAAAAGCAAATCTTGGGTACTGCCCCCACTCAGTAACAGTTGAATAATCTTCACAATATAGATATATTGGGACCTTAATAGTTGCGCTATAACAGACTGTCACTGTATGGGGGCAGCCCCCAAATCAAACCCTAAACCCAGGGACCCTAAACCCTGAACCCTAAAGGTTGCATCAAGGTTACCATGAGGCGAATATAGAGGCCTCAATAATTACCAATACCATTTTGGGGAAGTTATAGTATAATGGGCCCCAAAGCCCTGTTCTAGTTTTGAAGGCCCCCTATATTACTACAAAGTTGCCGTTGCGGCTACTACGAGGTTCCTACAAGGGGCGCAGAACAAGAAAGCTGAGGGGCGGTGTTCCTGTTCAGAGGTCGGTTCAACGATCCGCGATCTGGAACCACCCTTACTCTTGAGAGCCCCAGGGGTCCGATCCCCAGAGACTCCAATATATTCCTTCATCAAGGAATATCCCTGAAGTTATAGTAGGATCCCTAGTATGATTTAAAGAATATTCCTCAAAATACAGTAGGATCCCTAATATCATGTAAGGAATATTCCTTAAATTACAGTAGGATCCCTAACATGATTAAAGGAGCATTCCTTAATTCAGGGATCTTGGAGTCTCGGGGTCCCGCAATTAGTCAGTCATATTGTTGCATAGGGTTCCTTTCTATAACAAACGATAGCGCACCCCAGCAGCCCAATCGAATTCCTCTATCCTGTAGGCGGCTGAGCTGTAGATCTTTGGGGGCCATTATACTATAACTTCCCCAACATGGTATTGGTAATTATTGAGGAGTCTATATTTGGGTTTGCTAAGGGTGGCTATCGTTGAGAGACATCCCACCAAGGCCTGGTCCCAGCTGGTCGAAAGAGGTCCCAAGACTCCAAGATCCCTTAATTAAGGAATATTCCTTAAATCATATTAGGGATCCTACTATAATTTAAAGTATATTCCTTAATTAAGGGATCTTGGAGTCTCTGGGGTCTAAACTCAAAGCCGCAAGCGTTTAGGGATGAGGGTGAGGACTCAGTTTGCCGGCTGAGGGTCCAAGTCCTTGGGTTTCGTCGTGTCTTGGACTTCTGTTAGGTTCTTTTTAAGGGTTTGGGGTTTGGGGGTTCAGGGTTTGGGGGTAATTTAGGGTTGAGGGGTTTAAATTTAGGGTTTAGGGGTGTCGGGTTTAGGGGGTTGAATAAGTACGAACGGTATCCCCTTATGATCCGTATATGGTTATACCATACCAGAACCTACCGGCCCTACGCAATGATCAACCGTGTACACAAGGCTTGCATCCCAAACCCCTCAGCCCCTCAACTCCACTGCTCAGGGTTTAAGATTTAGGGTCTAACAACCCCCTACACCCTAAACCCCTGAACTTAAACCCTAAACCCCAAACCCTGAACCCTTTATGCCCGGTGCCCCGAAACGCAAATCGCCACCCCAGGGACGATGGGCGCTGCATCGACTTCCCGTTCCGCGTCCCCACCGACGACAATCTCTTCCGCGGCAACTGCCGCCGGCCCTATATGGAACTTTCAGACAATAAAGAGTCCCTCTTTGCGGTCTATGTATGAAGAATGCGGTTGTTGATGATTCTATATTAGGGCTCTCCAATGTTTGGGGGGACCTCTGTTTCATTCAGTTGTTGACTCGAAAAAGCCAGTGGGGCAAACGGGTGTCCCAAATGGCGTTATTTGGCGACGCCTCGTGGTCAAGAGATTCTGCAAAAACACACCCAGAGAGCCCAATACCCCTTAATTAAGGAACATACCTTAAATTACATGGGGATTCATACTATTATGATCTAAGCTATATTCCTTAATTAAGCGGTATTGGGCTCTCTGGTCAGAGGTCTTCAGGAGACTCTTGGGTGCCCAATAGGGTTGCGGGGTCTCGTTTCTGGAGTGTCGTGGGTGCTTGTCCGGGTTTGGGGTTTAGAGTTTTGGGTTGGGGGGTTTAGGGTTTAGGGTTGGGGGGTTTAGGGGTTTAGGGTTGGGGGGTTTAGGGTTGTGGGGTTCAGGGTTTGGGGTTTAGGGCCATTGATGGCCTGTAGGCTCGATGCATTCTACTCCCACATCCCAGCTCCGCTGCCCTGCTAGAGCAGAACGGTCACTTGTTTCTCAAGCCCTTTAAGCGTCCTCGGAACTTTGGAGGTCAATTCAGAGTTTAGGCATGCAGGATTTTTCAGGTTGAGGGGTTTAGGGGTCTGGGGTTTGCGGGTTTGGGCCACTCGGCCAGGCCTCAAGCGCCTGACTTCCGCCGCCCCCCCCTGGCCTTCCCCGAAACCGCTCAAACCCCGAAGGCCCTCCATGTTCAAGCTCTTCCTTTTGAGCCCTAAACCTGAAAGACCGAAGTCCGCAAATTTTCGGGGGCTAGAAACGGAAATATCCACCCGGTCCCCAAGTCCCAGGGCCCGAGAATGGGCCAAAGGCTTAAAACATCCCAAAGCTTTGATAGCAAAAAGGGCCCTACAGTGTTGCCCCAAAGTCCGCCAAACTAGCAATCCCAGAGCCCCGAATTTTTCCGAACTCAAGGGCTTTATTCAAGCCCTACATCCCTAAAGCCCCATCCCAGGCCTTATATATGGAGCTTGAACCGCTACATCCCGGAAGGCCTACAGCAGTAATTATCCTACAAACCCTAAGCTTTAAGCCTTAAAACCCTAAACCCTATACCCGTCAACCCTCCCTAAACCCAAAGTCCCTAAATCCTAAGTCCCTAAACCCGCAGCCTTAAACCCGAGCTCCCTTACAGCTCTCGACCTTCGACTCTTCTCTGCTCCCAGAGACTCCAATATCCCCTGAACTAAGGAACCATTTCCTTAAATCATACTAGGGATCCTACTGTGATTTACGGAACATTCCTTAAATCACATTAGGATCCTACTGTAATTTACCTAACCATTGATATTGGAGGAGCTAAGGAGCCAGGGGTGATGATGATCCCTACTTGATAAGGAGCTAAGGAGCCAAGGGAACCCCAAAACCATTGGTTAGTTACGGAACATTCCTTTTATTAAGGGATGTTGGAGTGTCCTGGCTTTCTGAGGTCCGGACAGCCCGCTGAAGATGCTTGGGCTCTAAGGGCTTGGGGTTTTAGGGTTTAGGGTTTAGGGTTTAGGGTTTGGGGTTAAGGGTTTGGGGTTTAGGGTTTAGGGTTTAGGGTTAAGGGTTTGGGGTTTGGAGGTTTTGTCAGGGCTATTTATTCTCAAAGGGGGAAAGGAGGGACCTTTGATGGGGACCCCTACCCTATAATGGGCTATATAATGGGTTGGGTATATAATAGCTATAGGGGTCCTTATTAAGGATCCCTACTTTTACCCTTGGATATTCTAAGGAGCGTTTCGGGGTTAGGGTTTAGAACCTGCAGGCCTCCATGCATCTCAGTGGCTACTAACAGCGTCTTACCGCTCTGCAACATCACTACCAACTGCACTTCGGCCAGAGCGTCCGCGATCAACGGCACGAACACTGTCCTCCCCCCAATCACGACCCTGTTCCTCATCTCCGCAACATCGTCGCGCCTCAACTAACCATTGATATTGGAGGAGCTAAGGAGCCAGGGGTGATGATGATCCCTGCTTGATAAGGAGCTAAAGAGCCAAGGGAACACCAAAACCATTGGTTAGTCAAGCTTCAACGTCCGCCAGGGCTTTTCTCAACAAGCCGAGGGCCCAGAGCTCCAAAGCACCGGCTTCAAGCTCCGAGTCCCTAAACCCGTTAACCCCGAAGCCCTAAACCCTCATAGACCCCGGATAGTGAGCCCATGCTTGGAGGTTCATGGGGAGTTATACGTGGGTTGAAAGTCGTTTCACAGTGCGTATGACCCGACTTATAACTGCCCTAAAACCCTGATGCCTGAACCCTAAACCCTATAGAACCCTTAAAGGAACCCTAGACCGTTATAGCCCTGCTGTTAACTACCCATGAGTCTCCGACTAGTAGCCCTTGCAGTGAGCCGAGGAGATGGCATATGGGTGGAGCCATTCCGAAGCCGTTACCGCAGGCGAAGATCATGTCACAACATGATTGCTCCTGGGCTGGGTTTAGAGTTTAGGGCTTAGGGTTTAGGGCTTAGAGTTACTAGAGTTTAGGGTTCAGAGATGACTTTGGTTTGCTGTTGGGTTGGCATTAGAGGCTGTGTTCCGGGTTTTTCGGGGGGGTATTCTGGATCGCAGTTACGGAGTCTGGACACTCCAGCTGGCCCGAAACTCTGAACCAACCCTATACCCGAAACCCTAAACCGTGTTGGCCAAGCCAGGATCTCAGCGTTTGGCGTGAAAGCACTGGGTTGAAGGTCCAGGGCTTGAATTCTAATGTAGGGGCCGAAATAATTACCAATGCCATTTGTGGGGTTCCTTATTATAGTTGTAATATACTGGGCCCCGAAAACCCTATTCTAATTCTCAAGGCCCCTATAGTAGCGTGGGGCAGGTGTGTGGGGTTTTTGGACCCATGGGAATTCGGACTGCCGGGCTAAAAGAACCTAGCCCCAGACGATTTTTCTTTCGTTCTTTGATCGAAACCCCAAGCCCGAAACCCTGAACTTGTGGACTTTCTGTGTAGGTTTTTTTACTGGAAGTTTTAGGTTCGAAGGGTTGAGGGTTTAGGGGTTTAGAAGGCCCTGCTATTTCTACAGGGCTTTATAGGATTTTGTGCAGGTTTTTGAATGAAGACGATAGTAATAATTAGACACAGAATAGCAAATAAGTAAACACATAATCAACTGACTAACTGATAAGTAGACAGAGAGAGATGTAGAAACAAATAAATAGCCAACAAATGAATATTGCATAAGCAGACAACCAAAGAAGCAAATACATAAATGGATGAATAATAGTAAACCACAATACGTAAATAAATAAATAAATATATATATATATATAGACAGACAGATCATACTTAAAATTGTAAATAAACAAATATACTTGTACACATATACATATTTGGTAGTTGATCTAAAGGTCCTTGTGGCACATTTTAGATGAGCGACCAACTACATAGACAAATATGCATCCTCGAAAGTTCCGCGATGGTGCCGCGAAAGTTATTGTTTTCTGCGAAAGTTCTGTGTTAGCCTTTTTGCCGTATATTACTTCTGATTTTACTAAGCCTAAAAGAACACTCAAAGGAACCCTTACCAGAATCCTCAAAGGAATCAGGGTTTTAGCTTGCAAACGTATGTAAATATGCCTCCGCGAAAAGTTCCGCGACGGCGGCGCGAAAGTTTTTTGTTTAGCCGTGAAGAACGTCATTCCGGGATGAAGCAATGTAGATCAACTTTTATACACATACATACATACGTACATACATACATACATACACACATGTATGTAAATCGATAGACAGAAATACATAATTATAACGTAGTAGTGCGCTATTGACCAGACAAACAAACAGTTCAACATATAAATAACACAATGAGTACATGAATGAATATGTATGTGTATATGTACATACACACATAATATACATATCTGCACATATACACACATATACATATTTACACATATACATATATATATATATATATTCATTTATATATATACATATATATATATATATATATATATATATATATATATACAGGGTCTTTTGGGACACTCTTGCTAAGTATCCAGACGGCTATAGAGAGGGGCTCTAGAGGGCTCAGGTTTCAGGGCTTTAGGTTTCAGGGAGTCCACTTGGGTTCATGGGTTTAGGGGTTTAGGGGTTTAGGGTTTAGGGTTTAGGGTTTAGGGTTCATGGGTTAGGGTTTAGGGGTTTAGGGGTTTAGGTTTGGCTTCACCCAGACCCCGGGAGGATCTAAAAAGTAGATCCCCTAATTTGAGGCCCTATACTACTAAGGTTACTTTCTAGGAACATCTACTTTTTGCCCGGGACTGGGCAGGGTTCTGGGGAATATTGTGCAGGGCTCAGAGTTTCGGGGGCTAAAGGGTCTCGGGTTTACGGGGTGTTTCGGGATTTCAATCAAGGGGTTGCGAGTTTAGGGTTTCAACGCGTTTTGGGGTTTGAGGGTTCTAGGCGCTCGAGTTGCGGGCCTGAGGGCTTATACCGGGGCATCTATGAAACTGTTGCAGTCCAGGGCTTAAAGAAGTGGTCCTTTTCTAGGTATCGATTTGGTATAAGTCTTAATTTCCCTTACTGTTCAACATAGAGCCCTAATCATGAACAATTCTGGGGAATGTAAAATCGACACCTAGGTTTGGTGTAAATGAAAGGTAGGGTCCAGTTTTCAACGAGTGCATCTAGGGAGCCTTTCCTTCCGAGTCCTTATACGAAGGATTCACTGATATTAAAGACTATTATATATTATAGTAGATCATGATTATGCATCATGGTATATTACAGTACATTGTGGCATATTATGGTTTTGCATTTCCGAGCCCCAAACACCCTCGACCCTGCACCTTGTCACTGTACCTCCGAGATACTTGCCTGGACCGTGCCTTCGCCTCCGGCGACGGCAACAACATAAAGATGCACCCCTGCCACGACGGGAGCTACGGGTTGCTAGTATCGGGTTGGGTTTGTGCTGAATTGTGGGGGTTGGTCGATGGCTACGCTACGACGTTTGCTCGATGCGGAACATACTGTTTCTGTTACCCCAGGCTCGTGGTGCTGATGATGCTGGATGGTCATGGTCCCATCCTTCCCTAGACTGAAAACCTTTAAGCTTTGCTGTTTCATTGCTGGGCGAAGGCTGGCTGCATCAGTAGCTTCAGGAAGCAAACCTAGAATGCGGTGCGGGAGGGCTGCTGCGGCTGCCCTAAACGCCCTAAACCCCAAACACTGGAACAGGAGTTTGGCTCGAGTTTTGGGGTTTCTGCCCCCAGAACTTCCTCCTGGAGCTCACCCTAGTAGTAGGTAAGTAACCTTTAACCTTTCTTGGGTAGTATAGCCGTATAGCCCTATATAATCCCTATATAGCTAAAAAGGTTAACCCTTGGTTCCCCATGATACCCGACAAGTAGGCTACTAAGCTTAGATCCTTACCCTGAAGCCTGAACCCTAAAACCATCAGAAAAAGAAATCCTCAAACCGTCATAGCACCTGAACTGCAAAACACTCAACTGCTATGCCCTTTAGACGGGACTAGGTGCGTTGTCAACTGTAGTGGGTGGACGAAGGAGTTTGACAAAGCAACTAAACCCTAAAGCAATGAGCTCAAAAACAGCCTTCCCAACACGATGGCTTGGTATAGAAGCAGTCACTTCATGAGTTACAGCTCCCTAAACCCTAAACCCCTAAACCCTAAAGACCGCGCACTCTCCCCCCTCGGAACAATTTTACAGAGCTCTGAGTCTAGGGTTTCGGGCATAAGGTTTGGGATGCAGGGTTTTATGTTTAAGGTTCAGCATACACATCTTCCAACCCCAACCCCCCCGACAAAACAGGAGCAATCAGTTTTTCTACTTCGATGGCGAGCATCTGAAGGACGGCCGCGATGGCCTGTGCCTAGACGCCACCTGACTGGATCGGTTCTTACTATTCATAAGGGGTACTATAAGGGATCTATAAGGGTACTACAATATAGGGGCTTCAATAATCCTATATCTTACCTCTGATTGGTAGGGAATGGTTTAGGGTTTAGGGTTTTGTTTAGGGTTTCGAATTTTAGGGTTTAGGGTTTAGTTTAGGGTTTAGTATTTAGGGTTTAGTTTAGGGTTTAGGGTACTTACCTCTGGTTTGTAGGGAATCGAAGAATGGTAGTAATAGTAGTTTCAATTGTACCCCCATTCCTCCATTCCCTACTAACCAATTTAAGTATTATTGGAATTATTGAAACATGATCACTACTATTATGAGTATGTTCGTATTGTTATTAGGCTTATTGTTTTGATGGTTGCAGCTCTCATTTCCAATCGGTCTTATTTGTTATATGCATCGTCATATCAATTGCTGCGGGTCGCAAGGGTAGCTAGCTACTGGGCTGCGCTCGCTGCGCACTTGTCTCCTTTCTCGGCTTGGGGTTCCCAGTTGGGGAACTTACTATAGCCATATGGGTGGTTGTCAAAATTAGTATCCTTTTTTGGGTCCCTAATATAATACGGCACCTAATATTTGGGGTATTCAAAAATGGACCACTCATATGAAGGGACATTATACTATAACAATAGCATAGGTAAGTATTAAGGCCCTTATATTATACCCTAAACCCTAGGCTGCTCCGAGTTGGTAATTTCAGGGCTCATGGTTTGGTAGCCTTCTTTTCGGTTTGAGGACGGAAGAAGCCGCAGCAGCAGTAGGAGTAGGGGAGTAGGGGAGTAGTAGCAGTAGTAGTAGTAGTCGCCGTCGTCGTAGTGGTCGCGGTCGTGGTCCTAGTAGGCGTAGTATCAGTCGTCGTCGGAGTGATAGTAGTAGTAGTAGTAGTACTACTACTAGTAGTAGTAGTAGTAGTAGTAGTCGTAGTCGTAGTCGTGGTCGTAGTCGTAGTCGTAGTCGTAGTCGTGGTGGTAGTAGTAGTAGTAGTAGTAGCAGTAGTAGTAGTAGTAGCAGCAGCAGCAGTAGAAGTAGTAGTAGTAGTAGTAGTAGTAGTAGTAGTAGTAGTAGTGGTAGTGGTAGTGGTAGTGGTAGTGGTAGTGGTAGTGGTAGTGGTAGTGGTAGTGGTAGTGGTAGTGGTAGTGGTAGTAGTAGTAGTAGTAGTAGTAGTAGTCGTAGTCGTAGTGGTAGTGGTAGTGGCAGTGGTAGTAGCAGCAGCAGTAGTAGTAGTAGTCGTAGTCGTAGTCGTAGTCGTAGTACTAGTATCAGTAGTTGTAGTCCCAGTAAATAATAGTCGTAGTAGTAGTCGTAGTAGTAGTCGCAGTCGTAGATGTAGTCGTAGTATTAAACAAGAGTTCAAAGCGTCAACACCACCAAGAGCCTTCCGAGGAGCCTTCGTCCGGATCTCTGTACATGCACTCCTGCCACGGTGGGGACAACCAGAAATGGTACCTCGATAACGGCCGGCCGCCTGGGCCGAAAAGTGGGTTTGCAGGGACGTGAGGCTTCCCGCTCCTTGCCATTCTGAGCGATTTGTCCCCAAACCCTAAACCCCTAAGAAGGAACCCCCCATAAAACCATAAAGCGTAACCTCAGAGACCCCAATATCCTTTAATTAGGAAATATTGCTTAATAAGTTATAGTAGGATCCCTAGTAGTTTCTCTGGCCGCCTGACCTGAACCGATCGAACAGACGGCTACAGCGAACATTTCCGATCTTACTCGCACCGTTTCCAGTACACCAGGGGCCGCCTGCGATGACCGTTTTCTGCTTCGCCTCATAATAACATAAGTCATATATAATGAGAGTATTATGATTTTGATTTTATCTTTGTTTTTATATTGTAATTCGCTTGGAGGATCTTGAACAATTGTCGCTCACTCATAAGCTCGCAGAAGCCACCGCATGAGGCTGAAGAACCGAAAGTGGGGCGATGCGAAGTGCATGGACTACGCTTACAACAACGCAGACAAGGACAAACGGCCTGAATGCCCGCGCCAAACCCTCCAACATAAAGTGCTATGGTTTAGGCCTCCTTTTTGGGTCGAGGGTGTCTATAGGCATCAGAAAGTTTGGGAGCTGGGTGTTAGGGTATAGGGGGCGCCGCAGCTCGGTCTCTGGCGTCCGCTCGGCTTCAGGTTCAGTTTCAAGGTTTGTGGCAGGCTTCTTCCTCAAGCCTGCAATCTTTGTCATAGTTGGGAAGCATTTTACGTTTTTATGGGTACTTAAACCCAATAAGGAATAGCTATGTGCATTTTTAATCCTTTCCCAACCATGAACTAGAAATGTGGACAACAGGTCCCGACCCCAAACTGTTCCAGTTCCGTCTGCTCAAACTTCGACGCAAGAGAGAATTCAAGCCCACCCGACCCGAAAGAGGATTATACCGGGCTTAAGTACTAGTATTGTTCTAGGGTTCCGTCAGATACTTATAACCCATATTACGGGACCTATAGCCCCACTGACAACTGAACTACCCCCAAGCCCTAAACCCTATGGAACCCTTAAAGGATCCCCACTTATAAGTTATAACCCCACTTTTGACTACCCATGAACCCTAAACCCTTACAGGAACAGTACTTGTAACTTATAACCTCACGACCCCTAAACCCTAAACCTTATAGAACCCTTAAAGGAACCCTACTGGCCCTACTTAAACCCCTATAGCCCCACTTGTGAGCCTCAAAACTGGTTAGTTGGTAGTTATAAGTGAGGTTATAAGGCAGGGTTACCAGAGCTATAACACACATTCAGGGACTTGTAGGGTTTAGGGTTTAGGGTATAACCCCACATATGGGTGGTTGTCAAAATTAGGGTACCTTTTTGGGTCCTTATCAAAATATCGCACCTAATAATTTAGGGTACCCCAACAAGGGACCCTAATTTTGACAACCACCCGCATATGAACCTCCAAGCAGGATGTCTACATGCAGTAAACCCCTAGACCCTAAACCCTAAACCTTAAACCCTTAACCGTATAAACCCTAAACCCTCTAGAGTCATTGAATTGCAGGACGTCTACATGCACGAGTGCCACAGCGGGTCTAACCAATTCTTCAACTTTGAAGTCCCCCGGGAGAGACTCGCCTCTCCAGATCTTCGTTGAGGGTTTAGGGGTAAGAGTTTAGGGTTTCGGGTTTCGGGTTTAGGGTTTAGGGGTGATAGTTGACGGTTTCGGGTTTAGGGTCGGGCGGTGACAGTTTAGGGTTTCGGGTTTAGGGTTTAGGGGTGAGGGTTCAGGGTTGAGGGTTTAGGATTTAGGGGTGAGGGTTCAGGGTCTCGGGTGTAGGGTTTAGGAGTGATGGTTTAGGGTTTCGGGTCTAGAGTTTAGGGGTGAGGGTTTAGGGTTTAGGGTTGAGGGTTTCGGTTTCGCCATACACGAAAACGCTACAGCCAGCGCCCAAGTACCTCACAATCAGGACAGTATGCACTTCTTGAGGTATCAGGGCTCCCCAATCCCGACCAGGTGAATTCATCGTAGGGGCCCGAATATATGTACGTGGTTGTCAAAATTAGGGTACCTTGTTGGACACTCCAAATACTAGGTTTCCTAGGTGCCGCATTATATTAGGGACCCAAAAAGGGACCCTAATTTTGACAACCACACATGTGTAGCAAAGCCATCCTTCTCTGGGTTCCTATCATAGTTACAGCATGGGATACCCCAGAAGCCCCGTGCCCCTCTGAAGTTCTAACAGGGATCTGTATTCAAGCCTCTTACAGTAGAAGCCGGAAAGTTGGAATATCATTATCATAATCCCTTTAAGGTAAATTAAAGGGGATCCTGCCATTATTCCATATTCCAACTTTCTGGAGTTCCCTTTATGTCTATACTAGGCATTGTTTAGGGTTTTAGGGTTTACGGTTGAGGGCAGCAGGTCTTAGGGAATCTTCGGGCTTCGGGTATCTTGGGGCTTCGGGTATCTTAGTGCTTAGGGTAGAGGGTCCTCAGGATACAGGTCGCAGCAGGGTTTATTTAGGGGTTTAGGGTTTAGGGGTTCAGGGTTTCGGGTTTGGGGCGTGATTCGGAGCTTGGGGCTTGGGGTGTGGGGTTTAAGGCAGTTAGGGGTAAAGCTCACTTCTTCGCCGTCCTATCTGTGGACGGACTCTCAACTTCATCTATCACAGGAATACCTTTTCCAGGTTCCTGTCTCTGGAATTCCGCGCTCTCGGGTCAAACGGCCGCAGGCAGACTACACCAAGTATCGAGCATTCCTGAAGAAACCGTGACACACCTTCGAAGCCGCAAGAAGAGCGAGACTCATCAACCTGAAGCAAAGCTTAGATCCAACTGCAGGCTATTTAGCTGCGAAACTCCCCAACCATCGTAAAAAACTTTGTAAAGCCCTGGACTACCAACTCTATACAGCTTTATAGCCCTATAGAACCTTGGAAACCCCGGCAACCTAAACCCTAAACCCTAAAGACCCAAAGCACCTTAGAACTCCAATTTCCCTTCCCAAAGCTACGCGAAAGCCAGGACCCCCCATTTAGGGTTCAGGGTTTGGGGTATACCTGCGACCACAGCTGAGGCTGAAGATCCGAAGTGACGGTAGTCTGTGCACCCCGGCAACTTAAACATCTCTGTTGGGTTGCGGGGGAGGGGATTAGGGGGGAGGGGGTGGGCTGGGCACATATGGCTACGGTTGCGCCTTCGAGGATATTCGGATTCAGGGTGGGATTGGGGTTTCGGGCTTCAGAAACGTTGTGATTCCCCTTTTTATGGCATTGAAGGTCAGCTGGGAGGCTGACCTGACCCCCCCCCGGCCTTTTCTGGCCTCGGCCCAGACCCGCGCCTTCCGAACCCCTCACGGCGTCTTTTCCTCCGCGGCCTTAAAGGGTCTGGAGAGGGTTTGGCGAAATTCCTGAAATCGAAACGTCGAGTTTTTCCCATCTATATTGGTTAGTGCCTCTGTGACATGCAACAACATAAGCCTCGAGTTCAAGGTTCAGCGGTAGCCTAGGCAGAAGACACGAGACTGTGGGTTGTTTGGGCGTTTACGGTCTTTTCTACCAGAATTAATCTCGAGCACCACCTCCCAAACCCAAAACGGTAAAGCCACTGCCACCGCGTTTTTTCTGCGACGGAAGGTGGTGCATGCAACTAGAAAGCCGGGCTTTCGGTACATTATCGCATCAAAGTTGTGAAGAACTTGTAAGAGTCCCAGTCGCTGGACCCCCTATGTTCGGTAAGCTCACGCTCCGAGAATACGGAGCAAGTTTGGGCGCGGGATTCGTCTTGCGTTCAAGCCCAGGGGAATCTCGATGCATCACAAGCCCAGATAAGGAATATAGCTTAAATCATATTATGCGCCCCCTTATAATTTAAGGTATATTCCTTAATTAAGGGGTTTTTGGCTCTCTGGGAGAAACCCTAGCCCGCTAAACCCTAGACACATTGACAAGCAGAGGGCGAGGCTTCAGAAAATCGCATGTCGCTGACAGAGAACCTTGGAAAAAAACACAATAATCGAGCATCGCTGAGAGAAAAGGAAGTCAGGAAACGTAGTAAGGGTGAGTAGGATCGAGTATCGCCCAAGAGCTTCAAATAATGAAGAGTACTGAGCAACAGCAAAGAAGATAAGGCCAAACCTGAGTATAACGTAGTAGAAGAACGGGCGGCAACAACCAAGAGATCAAGCAAAACACAGCACTTGAGACTTTAGGCATAGCGTCGGAACATAGTGCTGCAAATTGTGAACAGGAGCCTTTCCTGCCTTCCGTCTTGAAGCTAGTTTGGAGAAACCTTAGGGGTACTTAGAAATGATTTTTAATTTTTGGTTATTATAATCCCTAAGAAACAGCTAAAATTACAATTTTTGCCAGGGTTCTAAGTATTGAAACCAGGTCTTGATTGGAATGGCAACAGCGACAACGTCCTCATGCACCCATGCCACGGAGGCACGGTGAAAGGGCTATGGGTTTCATAGCGACTCGGGTTGCCACTAGCTATGGTAAACCCCAAACCCGGAAGGAAGGACCTCACTGGAACCAGCCTTGTCCTTTTTCATGGTTCCCCCAAAAGAATAAACAGACCGGCTAGTAGACCTTCTTAAATAATTCCTACTAAGGGATATGGGTTTAGGGCTCTGTCTATTATTGCTAAAAGGACAAGGGTGACTGGAACACAACACCATCTTCTTGCGTAGGACACTTGGGGAGGTGACACGAAGCCTCTGGCACCAGATGTGTTTGCCAGAGTTGGTTTTGGGGTTCAAGCTTCAATCCTAAAAACCCTAAAGCCACAAACCCTAAAACCCTAAACTAAATCCCTAACCTTTCAACCCAGAAACCTACACTGCAAACCCTCTGAAACCTACACCGCAAACCCTGCCGCCTAAGTCTTTTGCATTCCTCCCAGCCCCGGAGCTGGATAGATGAGGTCTCTATGAGCGCACAGTTCAAGGTCTAGGGTATAAGGTTTAGGGTTTAGGAGTAAGGAGGGGTTTTGTGTGAAACTAGAAGTCGCGGCAGCTCTTATCTTGCGTTATCGGACTTGAGCCACGTGCATTGCTTTTCTCGGCAGGTGTGTGTCATCCTTGTGCATGGGTAATGCTGGGCCATGTTCTCACTTTGGGATTCACATTTTGGGCCTACTACGAGGGTTTTGCAAGTGTTCTGAGAGTTCTAGAAGGGTTCTGAAAGGACCTTGAGGGTTCCAGAAGGGTTCTGCAAGGTCGCTCGGTAGTAGCCTGGCTGATCATGCGTAGTTCGGGCACGCACATAAACCTTAAACCCTATGTATGGCCTTGGTTGAATTCCTCGGGTTCGCAGACAGCGCGAGACCCATTCCCGGTAGACGACTTGTAACAAACCGGCAACCCTGGACCCCTAAATCGTAAACCCTAAACCTCTAAAGGAAGAATGACCTTACAGGGAACTCCAGAAAGTTGGAATATGGTTTCAGGGTAGGATACCTTATGATTTACCATAAAGGGTTTAGGATAATCATATTCCAACTTTCTGGCTTTTACCGTAAACCCTAAGCCGGATCCAGGTAACAACCAGCTCTGGTACTTTCACGGCCCGTCGTCTCTTGGCGCTCTCTGGAGTCGGCTGGGGGTGGATTTCCCATTAAGAGTTGAAGCCTCGAGCCGGTCAAACCACATGGGAGTTTCCTTAAAGGGTTCCTTAAAGGGATCTATTTGGGTTCCATAAGGGGTCGAGGGTTTAGAGTTTAGAGTTTCCGAAAATGGGGGACCCCAATATACTACCCTAAACAGCAGGATACTTCTTATAAGGACCCGAAAATAACGTGCCTCTAGTTTTCGGAAACTCCCATATAGTGAACCCAAGAAAGTTGGAATCTCGATTTAGGGTGATTAGTGCTGGGCTTCCCTTTTCGTTAGTATAAAGGTATTCAGTATTCTGTGTAGTTTTGTTCTCACGGCCCGGAAGGGGAAATGTGTTCTATGACCAGACAAAAAGCCCTATAATTCTCAGAGACTTCGTCTTACTTAATGTTTCGAGTAATGTGTGCTTGAATAGTTTGTAGCACTATTCACTATTCATCTTGTTGGTTTGCTGAATGCATCTATGCAACCAAACCTCACCAAACCATCTTCCAAAGCATCGGGCGCTTATATGAGGGTTTCCGAAAATGGGGGACCCTAACCTAACACCCTAAATAGTAGGATCCTTATTATATGGACCCCAAAATAAGGCACCCCCAGTTCTCGGAAACTCCCATATTAAGCTGAGGAGCTTTCCGTTGCCCTAAAGGTATGTATGGGTTCGCGCCTGAGTCAGCTTTCGTTCCTTCCGCTTTAGTGATAGCTCTAACTAAACCCGAAACACCCGCAGACCTTGTCGTTCAGGGTTTTCTAGGGTTTAGAGAGCTCAGGGGTTCAGGGTAGTATGATGGCTTAGGGGCTTGAAACCCTAAACCCTAAACCCTAAACCGGGTTTTGAGGACCCTGCACCAAGCCCTCCAAGGAGGTGAAAGCCTGCGATTCGGTAGACCCGGGTTTTGGGGGTGAGAGAGTTGGTACCCAGAGACTCCAATATCCCTTAATTAAGGAATATTCCTTAAATCATAGCAGGGATCCTGCTATAATTTAAGGAGTATTCCTTGATTAAAGGATATTGGAGTCTCTGGGTATCTGGGCCTTATATAGAGTTCAGTGTCGCTCAGGTTTACGGTGGATGAGGTGTAGTGTCAAGGCCCAAATTCCTGCCCTAAGCTCTCGTAGGGAAGCCTCCGAACCCCTTCTGAGGCTAAGATCACCCCATGATAGCTCGAAGTGCCTGGACATGGACGAGAACGGGGATGCGCCGGCAGCGGTTAGTGCATGATCTTTCCCAGAAACTCCAATATCCCTTAATTAAGGAATATTCCTTAAATCATATTAGGGATCCTACTAAAATTTAAGGAGTATTCCTTAAATCATATTAGGGATCCTACCAAAATGTAAGGAATATTCCTTAAATCATATTAGGGATCCTACCAAAATTTAAGGAGTATTCCTTAAATCATATTAGGGATCCTACCAAAATTTAAGGAATATTCCTTACTGAAGGGATATTGGAGTCTCTGGGTTTCTGGCTCGTGCTCAGACGTCATCCCAGGTCCATTAACCCCAATCCTAGACGCCCAACCTACACTTAAACCCCCGGTGGCACCCTGTTAAGCTCCAAATGCCAAGCAACAAGCCCCAAGACCCAGAGAGCCCAAAACCCCTGAATCAAGGAATAAGCTTCAATCACAATATGAATCCCTTTACAACTTAAGGTACGGTATATTCCTCGATTAAGGGGTCTCGGGCTCTCTGGGGACCTGATCCAGAACTCAGACCTCACAGCTCCGCATGGACGATATTTCGACATGAGCCCTCAGGGTTTCGAAGGTTTCCTTCTGTGTGGGTTTAGGGTTTGGTGATTGGGGTTTGGGCTCTAGAGCCCAATTATACCCCAAATCACACGAACGTGCCACTAAGAACTTGTACATGCACCCCTGCCACGGTATGGCCAACCAGCATTTCACCTGGGACGACAATGGCCGGCTCAAGGACACTCCGTCAACTTGCTTCCATTGAAAGGGCTGCCGTAAGGGCGCCTTAGGGCCTCCTTCAAGGGTTTCTATGCGTTCCTTTGCTCTCTGCGTTTAGGGGGTTTAAAAATACACGCGTTCCTTTGAGGGTTGTATAAAGGCTACCTAGGGTTTGTTATGGCGTTGTTCCATGTGCTTTCAGGGTGTTGGGGTTCAAAGACCTGGAAGGGAAGTTGGGAGTGTAGGAGGACCAAATGGTGGCAACGGCATGTCTGACACTCATAGAACAAGATAGATAGCACGGGAAAGATCCGGCGGGGAAGCCGTCTGAAAGTGTGTTTTCCTGGGGAGGCGTAAGGTTTTGGGTTTGGAGCTTGGGGTTTCAGGATTGCGGATGGCATTTACTACCCTTTTTTATTGATGGACTTTCGCAATAGAGGCATAGACTTGTCCGAACCCATGTATTGGGCCCGAAAGGGCCCCATGGCACGATATTGGCAGTCTTCCTGCATCCCCCTCCCAGGCTCCTCTTAGTGAAAGCGGATCCCCCAAAAAGCTAAACCGCAAACCCTGACCCTAAACCCTCCATTATAGGGGCCTGAACAATTACCTATACTATTTGGGGGGGTTCCTTGTTATTACTATAGTATTACGGGCCCAAAACCCTATTCTACTTAATTATTAAGGCCGCTATGTTGCCCTAACCCTGGGTTTATCTTGCAGTTTCAGTGGCCTGGCTTCGAGTAGCCTCCCAACCTACAGGCCTCTTTGCCTTCTTTAAACTAGCAACCTAATACCGAAGCCTGAATAAGAATAATTACCCTTATTATCCTAGTAGTAGAGTAGGCAACCTTTAACCTTTTTTGGGTAGTATAGTCCCAATAAATTCCCTATACAACCAAAAAGGTTCACCTTTAGTTCCCCATGATACCCGACAAGTAGTTTATTCGACTCGGCTCCTTAGTCATAGCTATACTGACTACAATGAGCAGCGCACCGCACCGTCAACCGCCCCAAACTTCCAAACAAACCCGAAACTGCCAACCACGCAAGGTCCTGTGAAACAAAAGCCCTAAACCACAAGCCTAAACCCTTCATCCCAAAAACTCCGCAACTCCTACACCCTCTGGCTTTTGAGGGTATATGATACTACAATTGTAACAAGGAACCTTCAAAACTCTATTCCAACCATTAAGGCCTCCACATGATGTATGCTTGTTTTCAGACGTGTACAAGCGTCGAGCCCCCAATCTCGGCAGATCCACTCCGACAGCGGCAAGTGCATAGATATGAACAACGACAAGAACGCCGGGCGCTGACTAACACCTGCTGCTGCTGTTGTACCGCTTCAATGGTATCGAAGTTCGTGTGTATAAAATATATATGTATATAGATACAGTTGTGTACGTCTGTATATATACATATGCATATACATATGCAGATACAGATATATGTATATGTATATGTACATGTATATGTATATGTATATGTATATGTATATGTATATGTATATGTATATGTATATGTATATGTATATGTATATGTATATGTATATGTATATGTATATGTATATGTATATGCATACGCATATGTATATGCACATGTACATGTATATGTATATGTATAAGTATATGTATATGTATATGTATCTGTATATGTATATGTATATGTATATAGATGTATATGTATATGTATATGCATACGTGTATATATATATATATATATACACATCCTGAGCCCACGATGCTTGAGGGGTTAAGTCGGGCTTTTGGACCGAGATTTATATGCACGACTGCCACTCCGGCGACAACCAGCGGTTCTACTGGGGGCAGTTGTTCCACAAGGGAAAGACAATCCGCCCCTCGGCTCGGGTGTGTTCTTCTTTCGGGGCTGCAAAGCCTGTCCGGGCTTCAGGGGTTGAGGGTTTGTTTGAGGGTTCAGGGTTGCGGCTTCTATTTGGCATTTGGCCTCTATGAAGCTCTATAGGCATCATATTTCACATTTTCAAGTGAACAGGCTTCAGGGCTTGATAGTTTGAGGGTTGAAGGGTTTGGGGTTACAGCTTCTATAGAGGCTCTATGAGGCTCTGTAGGTGGAATACAAGGTTTTTTTTCTTAAAGTAATGAAAAGTTCATTCTTATTTATATACCTATCTAAAGACTATTTTTGTAGGGTTTAGGGTTGGGGCTTGAGGGTTTAGACCCAACGACGCCGATCAGCACTCGGGCGAGGGTTTTGGGGGGCATCGAGGATTCCGGGTTCCAGGGTTTAGGGTTTAGGGTTTAGGGTTTAGGGTTTAGGGTTTAGGGGTTTGGGGTTTAGGGGTTTAGGGTTTAGGGTTTAGGGTTTAGGGGTTTAGGGGTTTAGGGTTTAGGGTTTAGGGTTTAGGGGGTTTGGGATTCGCCCGGATTTGAGCTGGTCGCTGATGGCAGCAGGTTTGGGGTTGACGTGGGTTTTCGGGTGTTTTCAGCCCCAAAACCCGACCCCTAAGCCCTGAGGCCTTAGCCCACAAAAAGGCTTTGTCATAGTTGGGTAGATTTTTTACAGTTTTGTGGGTACTTAAACCCAATAAGGAATAGACATGTGCATTTTCAATCCTATCCCAACAGTGAACTAGAAGAAAGGCAACGACGAGGGCGCTTGCCTGGACATCATCTCGAGCACGGGTAAAGCTCAAGTGTCGCTTGGCAGCCTCGTGCTGAGGATTCTTCAGGGTTTTACTGCAAGGCATGGGGGTTGGCTCAGAGGTTTAAGGGTCTATTAGGGCCGTCTAGGTAGGGCTTTGGGACATTTCATATTTTCTCTTATTGGGCTTAAGAGGATCGCACCTACTAATATTTTTCAAAGGCTTTAAAAGCCCCTCCTAGCCGTCTAGTGGGGCTCAAGAGTTTATGGTTAACAGTCCGCATGCGCAGAGATTTGCGCCCAACTCTCGTCCGAAACTCCTGTGTGAGGATAAGGTCCTGCAGCCCTCGTTGTACATCGGTTTAGGGGTTTAGGGGTTAGGGGTTTAGGGGGTTAGGATCTGTGTGGGCCCGAAGCTCCCCGTCAACAACTCACTGCATGAGACTTTTAGCCTCCTTAAGCTTTAATGACGAGGATTTGGCGAGTGCAGTGGCACTGTTGTCAGAGTTTGCCGTTTGCAGATTAGTAGTTTACCGTTAACAGGCCAGTGCTTCCGCGAAGCCCAATTTCTTAGTGATATCACTGCTGCAATTTCGATGACAGCAGAACTTGCTGTAGGGTTACCCCCAAAGGAAGCCGCTGGGAAGGGGAGGCGGCCTGCCCGGCTGAACTAGGACTGAAGTGTTGCAGGCCTTGGGCACACACGGTTTTGGTTAGGGCTTAAGGTTTGAAGCGAGGGGTGCAGTGCGGAGGACATCGAAGATTCCAGGTTTTACGACGCAGCAACTTAAATGTCCTGTAGCCGACACACCGGGGTTCCCGCATTCATGGAACACCAGTTCTGAGTATTCTCTTCTTGTATAGTAGCAGCTTCAAACTGGTTCTGAGTTTCAGGTACGCCTGCCACGACGGTGCCAATCAGCGCTTTTTCTTCGACGGGGAGCGCCTGAAAGTAGAGTCGGACACTGACCGGTGCCCGGGCAGGGGAGGGCTTCAGCTGCAATGTGGTAGTTTCCGAAAATTAGGGATACCTTATTTTGGGGCCCTGATAATCAGGATCCTATTATTTAGGGTACTGTATTAGGGTCCTCTATTTTCGGAAACTCCCATGTAGAGCCTTCTGCAGAGTGATGTGATTTGCTAGTGGTCCCTGCATCGTGAGTCTTGGAAACACATCAGTCCCACTTCCCCTTACAAGCTTGGTTCCGTACCATGATCAGTATCGCTCCATATCGCTCCAGAGGCATTCAGAAACAGCAGCGAGAATGGTGATGAGGACGAAGATGAGAGGATTTTGCTGATAAATTGTGGTGGGAGATGATGAAGAGCGATGAAGCTCAGGATGCTCGTGATGCAAATGCAAGCGTCGACTACTGGTGATGATCATGGCCATACGGCGACGATGATGCAGCTGACACACTGACGATGACGATGGCGAAGAACTCTTCAACAACAGCTTGGCTGTGACGATGATGTCCTTGGCCTTGTCCTCGCGGTTGTTGCTGCTGATGTTGTTTCTGTTGTTGTCGTCGACATCGTTGTGGTAGCTGCTGCTGCTGCTGCTGCTGCTGCTGCTGCTGCCAGGCACACTTTCGCTACCGTCGACGGTGGGGTAGGTAGTTCAATCAAGTGAAGGCGGTAGCATAGCAAATTTGCTGTTGCGGATGCAGGGGAGAGGATGGAAAAGCAACGCAGCATCCTTTGTTGCACGGAGTTTGAACACGGCGGACCCATCCGTCGCCCGAACCAGACTGTTGATTCCTGCATGCGCTCCAAGGAATGCAGGGTCTTAACTGGTGACCCATCGTGTGCAATGCTGGAACCCCATGCCCAAAGACCCAAGCCCCAAACCGTGTCCCTGCACCTGAGACTCTCCCCACACCCCCGGTTTAGGGTTTTGGGTTTAGGGTTTAGGGGGGTTTAGGGTTTAGGGTTTAGGGTTGCAAAATCGCTGCGAGGTGCTTAGACGTCCCCAGCAGAAACGAGTGGCGCCCAGATGAGGATGCTGGTGTTAAGCCATCGAGCGGGTTCTCCAAAGCTTGGGTTTACCTATTTTCTCCATTGTAGTTCCTTTTCTGGGTTAGTCAGTTTTATGGCTAGGATCCTATGGTATAAATTTGGTCATCTGCATAAAGGAACTACAGTGGAGACTATAGGTAGGGCGTAACTCCAAGGCACAAGGTTGGTTTGCAGTACTATCCCTTCGAGTACCTGTGTAGTCCCGTCTGTGTAACTATACCAAAACGCACACCAAAAACTCAGTCTAATTACTTAGTATAATTGTTCCCAGATGACAGTCCGGGACAACGTTGCCTCACATATCCTAAAAGTTCGCAGTTCGGAACAAGGCCGTCAAATATGGCCCAATCAGTTGCTGCAGAGTTGTGGCATAGATAACTGCCCATGTCCATAACCGTCACATAGCTCAGTTTCACGAGTTCGACCTTACAGTACAGTTACGGAGTGACTACCATGGGGTTCTAAGGTCTATAACAGGGTCCCCTTAAGGAGTGCTTTTGTTACTATAGGAGTGCCTTGGTACTACTACTACTACTACTACTACTACTACTACTACTACTACTACTACTACTACTACTACTACTACTACTACTACTACTACTACTACTACTACTACTACTACTACTACTACTACTACTACTACTAGGGTTCCCTTCAAAGGGTTCCTTCTTCCGTAGGGCCTTGCTGTAAGGGACTCCCAAGGAAGGGCCCAGCCCCCAAGATTAAACAACCCAAAAACCAGAAGCCCGGGTTGTTATAAGCGCTGTTTATTGGGTGCTGATTCATTCTATGATCAGGGTGCTACTTAGGGCCATGTATATATCTAGAGCACAAAGGTGGCAGCATCCAAGCTCTCGAATCTAGAAGATGTTCATAGGATCTGCATGTCGAGATGCTCGGATACCCAGGTGCCAGGTCCAATTTCGACTTCTTAATCTCAGACGTACTTGGAGGTTCATGGGTAGAGAAAAGGGGGGTCATAAGTCCCTTCATGTGGGTGATAGCTCTACTTATCCTACTTATAACCCTACTTATAACTAACCATGAACCTCCAAGTAGGCTTGTGGGGGCTGGAAGTTTCGGGTTCTTCAGGATCGGGTTTGGGGTCTAGCGTTCTTAGCATTCGCGTACCTCCAAACCTTGCAACCGAAACTCCCAGGCCCCTGCAACTCAGAGACTCCAATACCCCTTAATTAAGGAATATACCTTAAATTATAGTAGGATCCTTAATATGATTTAAGGTATATTCCTTAATTAAGGGGTATTGGAGTCTCTGGGCAACTCTGAAGTCTAAGCTGAGCGCCAGAAGAACTGCCAACATACACGTACTTGGAGGGTCTTTAGGGGACTTAGTAAGTAGGTAGTAAGTAGGCTTATAGTACCCGAAAAGGGACCCTAATTGGGGTTATGGTACTTATAAGTCCTTAAAATAGCCAGTTACTAAGTCACCCGACCCTCCACGTAGGGGCCGTAAGTTGGCCTAGGGTTTTGGGCTACGCTCTGCTATGAGACTACTGCTACTAGAGGGAACTCCAGAAAGTTGGAATATGGTTTCAGGGTAGGATCCCCTATAATTTACCTTAAAGGGGTTACGATAATGATATTCCAACTTTCTGGCTTCTACTGTAGTTCTGAAGCCCAAAATACTCTCTCCGCGCTCGGCGGCCGCAGAACCTGGTTCCTGAGGTATCTTCACAACTGCCACGGCGGAGCCAACCAGAAGTTCTTCTTCGATGGCGGGCATCTGGGTCCGGTACAGGGTTGCGGGGAATTTCGGTTTAGGGCTCTTGGATGCAGCTGATTTAGAGTCTTACGTCCGCCTAGGGCGACCCCCACCCCTAAACCCTAAACCCCCTAAACCCCCTAAACCCCCTAAACCCCCTAAACCCCCTAAACCCCCTAAACCCCCTAAACCCCTAAACCCTAACCACCCTGGACCGCTAAGCCCTAAACCCCTAAACCCTATGCCCGGCGGCGAAGGATCTATAGGGACCCGGGAGTTGCAGACTCTGGGTGTTCACCGGGAGTTCTTGCGGGGATGATATGGAAGCCTAAAGACCTACCCATGTCATCCTTTAGAGGTTCCTGATCATAGCTCATAACTAAGAATTCTTATCCGGATCCCCAAAACCCGATTCCAAATGCCAAGTTCTTCAGAGGTTCCCGATCATACCTCAGAACTATGATAACTAGGACCTAGAGTGGGCCCTTATTCTCTTTTTAAGGGTTCAGGTTCCCTTATAAGCCCCTTTAAACCAAAAAGGGCACCCTTTTTATTCGTAGGTTATTCTTGGGTCTAGATAAGGATCCCCAAAACCCGAGTCCAGCTGGTTCGGCCCCTAGGGCTCTTTGTGGAGGTTTTTGATGCTGCCTTGGTTTACTGCAACCTGGCATCCTGCTGTGAGCCCTACAGCAAAGGTCGTGCACCGCGCAATCCTTCCGAAGTACTTCTCCCCCAAACCCCGCACCTTCTGACTCCAAAACCTGAACCCTGAATCTTCAACCCTGAACCCTCAACCGTAACCCCCAAGCTCCTACACCCTAGACCTTAAACCGCAACCCTAAACTCTCAGGCATCTCCAAACCCGGGCTTCTGTTGCCTGCCTCGACGCGCTGGCCTCAACCAGCGGGTTTGAGCGCTGGTCTGTGATTTGGGGCGTAGGGTGTAGAGTTTAGGGTGTAGGGTGCATCTAGGGTATATGTAGGGTGTATGCTTGGGGTATATTTAGAGCATATCTGGAACATGGGGCATATTTAGTGTGTTGGGTTTGGGGTGTAGAGTTTGGGGGTTGTAGGGGTATGACGTCCACGACGACAACGCGGCGCAGCTCGTCTTCCGTTTGCTTTTTGCTCCTTGCGTTCAACTTTCAGCTTTTTCCTTTAGAGGCTTTCGCTTCTCGGCAGGTTTGCAAAGACCTAAACCCTAACCCCTAAACCCCATAAGCCTTGATTTTGTTTCACAGCTCAATGTACATTCCTGAGACTCAGCCGTTCAGGTGTGGGGAGAGTTAGGCATGCAGGGCTGAGAGGCTCTACATCTTGGGGAGTTCCTAGCCCCTGCGAGCAGTAGTCATCGCAGAGCAGACCTGGCTTCTACTCTGCTGTACTTGCCTTCCCTTCTACTGCGACAGGGTGGGTTTAAGCTCTTGCGGTTGAAGCATCCTTGCATCCCTGCAAGCCTCACCTGCCCGACACAATATTCGGTCCCAATGTGAAGCTATATTCTTTAACCGCAATTTTTTCCTTCTTTTTTGGGGAGAATCTGGCGAAACATCAGGCTGGCTTGCGAACCCAGTGGTCTGAGTGAGTGATGACAGCCCGCTCAGTCCCTGTAGAATCTTACAGCACTATATCCACAATCCAAACGGTATTGTAACCCTCTGAACATTATCCCAAGTCCAAATTTCAGAGTTTAGGGTTTACAGTAAACCCCACAAAGTTGGAAACCGGAGTAAGGCCAAATAGTGCTGGGATTCCCTATGCATTACTCTTAAGGCATGAGGCTATTGGGTTTCTATTGGGTTTCCAACTTTTTGGCTTCTACTGTAGTGTTTAAACTAGGATGCCCAGTAGTACCCTTATTCCCTTTTTGTAGTCCTAGGTTCCTATAAAGTTACCCAATACCAAAAAGAGAGGCCTTTTTATTCTTAGGTTACTGGGTATCCTAGTAAATGTGCTTAGTGCTTATCTTTTAGGATGGTTGCGGCCGCGGTGGCATGCGACTCTGCTTCGCACCCGGCTCTATAGTCTCCCTAGGAATTACTAGTTTTTGTTCGTATAAAACCCAAGAGAATATTAAAAGCACTACTTTTTATTATGGGTCTAAGGGGGGCATAGGTTTTGGGTATAAGGTTTAGGGTGTAGGTGTTTAGGGTTTAGGTTGTAGCCTACTTAGCCTTGGCTGGCTTCAGCTCTCAAGCTCTGCTGGTTTTTTTGCAAACCAAGCAAGCCCAAGGTCAAGAAAGACGGCATGGTGTACTTTGGCAGCTGTCGCTCATTTTGCACTTTTTGGGTTGTTGCTCATCGGTGTCGAAACTGCAGTCGGAATCCTAAACGACCATAGTTCCTAACACAGGAGTCGACGTAATTAGTCCAGTGTCTCCCCTTTTAACCCTAGGCTACTACAATCGGAGCTTTGCAAATTCTCCAGCCCACAAGCGAATGCCTCCAAACACCGGGATTTCCAACGGTCCAGGGTTTAGGGTTTAGGGTTCAGGGTTTAGGGCTTAGGGTTTAGGAGGTGGGTTTCCGGCTTGGCTGTAAACTGCTTAAGTCCTATACGTCTCAACTTCTGAGTTTGAAGCTCCCGCAACCCTGAAGTCTACAGCGCTGCAGCCCCAAGGACCATAAGCTCCACCCAAACCCCGAATCCTAAGCTCCCAACCCCGAACCCTAAACCCTAAACTCCAAACCCCAAGTTCGAAACCCCACACCCCCAAGTTTAGGGTTCAATTTCTTAGGTCTTAGGGTCAGTAACTCCAAAACACTCCGAACATGAGGTCGTACCCAGAGACTCCAATATCCCTTAATTAAGGAATATTCCTTAAATTATAGTAGGATCCCTAATATAATTTAAGGAATATTCCTTATTTAAGGGATATTGGAGTCTCTGGGTAGCAACCAAGCAAGATCGGTAATGGGCCACCGCACAAATACCCCCAGTTTCCCAACAGCAGCTCCAGAATGGTTGCATCTCGGGCACCCAAGCCGATCCCTAACCTAAACCCCCCCAAAACCCTAAACCTAGCTTTGGTTAGTAGGGAATGGAGGAATGGGGTATAATTATAGCAGCTATTACTACCATTCTTCCATTCCCTACTAACCAAAGGAAAGTAAACCCGAACCCCCTAAACTAAACGCGAAAGGCAACAACCGCCTAAATCGGATCCCCAGGTCCCAATTCCTATTCCCTGAAGTGGCACTTCAAGACACAGCTCCACAACAGCGTGCAGCTCACAGTGGGCGGTGGCCGCTGTTTGGCCGTGGACCCGAGTTCCTTGGCCTTTCGAGGTTTCGGGTTGAGGGGCCTTATTTCTTCGAGTTGTGTTTTGGGGCGTAAGTATTCTACGATGATGATGAAAAAAGGGAGTGTAGGGAATAAGAGGAAACAATTTTTTTATCATATTATTCGGTATTCCGACCCAACTGTTGGGGGCTTTGGGGTTCTGGACTGAAACACTGAGTGCTGTTGTTGAAGAGCCCTTAACCTAAAACCCGAAACCTACAATCCCATAAAACATCGGCAACAGTTTCTCCTTATAGACCCGTTATGAGAATTGCCCCCTGATTGCTTAGAGCCCCTAGCATAACACCCTTCAGACGCAATAAAACCCTCATAGATCCCGTGTGAAACCTTCGTAAGATCCAAAGATCAGGGCCCCGATATGGGAGTTTCCGAAAATTAGGGGTACGTATTTTGGGGTCCTTATGATCAGGATCCTACTATTTAGGGTACTATGTTAGGGTCCCCTATTTTCGGAAACTCCCATATCAGAGCTGGAACCCCCCTCAGTTCGATCCAAAGGATGTAGGATTGGGGCTTAGGGCTTCGGGTCTTGGGAGAAGAAGGTCAAGCCACGATTCAATAGTCCGTGTCAGTACGGGGTATATCTTAAACAATCCAGGGATCGGGATTTTTTGAGGACATGTGACGCTATAGCTTTTTTGGACTTTCTCTTGGGGCTCTTTAGAACTGAAGGACTTCATGTAAGTTGCTCATGGTTGTGGAGATCACGAGACTATGCGGTGGGATCTTTTGAGCTCTCCCGAGCCCCAAATGGGAGTTTCCGAAAATTAGGGGTACCTTATTTTGGGGTCCTTATAGTAAGGATCCTACTATTTATGTAAGGTACTATAGTAGGGTCCCCTATTTTCGGAAACTCCCAAATGGATCCCATGATTTCTGCACCCCGAAGAGCTGATCCGGCGCGATTGATCAAATAAACAAATAAACCTTAGAAGGGGCCCCCACCCGGTAATAGTGACTATAAGGATTATAATATTAGGGCCCTATCATATTCCTATTATACCACTATTACAGGGTGGGCCCCTTCTAAATAAACCACTCAAAGAGCGGACAAGGCCATGCGATACCGCTACTGGGGTTGGGTATACTGTGGATAGCACTTCCGCTTTGATCTAAATAGGCCCTGAGTCCTACATCCTACGCGTCCTACTTCGCGTGATCCCTCGATGTCTGATTCCGCGTGTTAAGCACTCTCCAAACCCTATTCTCAATATTAAGGCCGCTATACTTCGGGCAGGTTTATCTTCGGGGTTGGAACCCGAAGCCCATGTCGCAGGCGATGGCAACGTGGAGGCCACTGGGTGTGGCGAGGAGGCGCCAGTGGTTCCGATATGGCAGTTTCCGAAAACTAGGGTACCTTATTTGGGGGTCCTTATAATAAGGATTTAGGGTGCTATATTAGGGTCCCCCATTTTCGGAAACCCCCATATTTTGTCGGACATTTTTCATTTGCGTTGGCTTGCAGGGTGTTTATAAAAAGGCCTAAACCCTAAACCCCAAACCCTAAAAGCTCTAAGTGGCCTACACCAAACAAAGTCGATGGGAAGAGCGAAACCCAGGATCAGGCCCAGGGTTCGCATTATCAGCATGCTTAGCAATATTAGTATTATTTAGTTTTATTGGTATTCTTAGTATTATTGGTACTGTTAGTATTATTAGTATTATTTGAACTATTAGTATTATAGTATTATTGTGCGTATTATTGCATTTTTCGTCTGGGTGGGCCTTCTGATGAGGCGCAGCACATGTGGTACTTCAGTGGGGACCACCTCAAGAGCGAGCTCAGCGACAAATGCGTGGATGCGCATACCGTCACGGGAAGCTTGATGGCCTAACAGCTTTTTACCACGATTTTTCAACGAGTTCTGTCTTTCGTTGGCACCAGAACTTTTGAAGCTCAAGATGCTAACGTCAGTGTTGGCCGTGTGTTTGCTGCGAGAAGGTGGAGCTTGACATAGAGGCCTCCGACGCCGACCCCTGGAACCGCCCTAGATGCTCTGGAGCCCAAGCCCAAAGCCCTAGCTTCGAAACCCCCACAGGCCAATTAGCCGTACAGAGAGTCTCCTAAACCCTGCAACCTAAGCCCCAACAGACCAAATGAACACGCTGTAGGAAATCTTTTTATGCAGCCCTGCCACAACGGCCTCCAGCAGCAGTTCTACATGGATGGTGGCCATATACGCAACCGCCACCGGAGCCGCTGCCTGGAACCTTGGGTTGCCTCAGTGTGCTTCTGTTCTCCTTGTTTTCACCCTTTTGTTCACAAATCTATTGCAGCTGCTGGAATCTTTGTTGAACGTATCTTCTGCAAGTTTTTTTGTACTAGCTTTCTTGTCCTCAGTCTTTCTACATCGTTTTGGGGCGTTAGTGCCTTGGGCCTATATAAGTTTTGTGTGCGGCTGTTTACCTGGAGGCTAAGAGTTGACCCAAAAACCCTAAGTATTAGAATCTGCCCCCCCCGGTAATAGTGACTATAAGGATTATATTAGGGCCCTAATATATTCCTATTATACCACTATTACAGGGTGGGGGCCCTTTCTAACCTAAATACTTTCTTTGGCGACTGGCTTACTTGTAGCGCCCCTGCTCGCTATCATGATTTCGTGATGGCTCGCCGCTAGCTTCATACGTCGGTTGCTTACTTGCCCGGTTTTGCTGGAGGCCATTCGTTACTGCCTGCATCAGAACCGCGACTACCATTCACAACTGTTGATGATATAAATCCTGCATTACCTTAAGGACCAAAAACTATGGGAATTATGGTACATTCCTTATTATGGGTAATGCAGGTTTATATCCCTAAACCCTAAACCCTAAAACCCCTATAGATCCCTTAAAGGTACCCTTATAGATCCCTTTAAAGGAACCCGCAATCACTCCGAGTTTGTGACCATGAGCAGGTCGGTTTTGAGGCAGAGGAGCTCATCTGGTTAATATATCCATGCTAGGATAGTACCCTTAGGGATCTATAAGGGTTCCTTCAAGGGATCTATAAGGGTTCTATAAAGGGTTTAGGGTTTCCGAAAATTAGGGGCCAGGATGCCCAGTAGTACCCTTATTCCCTTTTTGTAGTCCTAGGTTCCTTATAAAGTTACCCAATACCAATAAGAGAGGCCTTTTTATTCTTAGGTTACTGGGTATCCTAGTCCATGTCTATTGTGTGCTTGTACGTAGAACATACTAAAATAGAAACCTACATAGCGACTACCCTAAAACCGAGTACCTAAGTATTGGGTCCTTTAGACGCTTAGAGTCGTTACTATAACCTAGTATAGCTTTACATAAGCTTTCTAAAAAGCCGCCGGGAGCAGAGCTGGGCTGAGCCAGGGCTGAAGGAAAGCATCTGAGGAATACAACGTCCACACCGGCAATGTCTTCACCGGCACATGCCCAGATCAGCAGAACAACCGCGAATGGAAGTTTGAGGAAGGAGTTGTGCCTTGTTTGCACGGACACGCCTCTGCAAGACTTGCCAACTTCAAAGCTCCAAAACCCTGAAGCATCCTGAAACCCTACGGCCCCAAACCCTACACCCGGACGCCCTTAGATCCGAAACCCTAAGGGCTTGGGTCTTGCGCTTCTTGGGGCCCCCCGTTTTGGGTTTCTGCCTGAAGCCTAAGCCCTAAACCCCTACAGCTAAGATCCTAAACCCAACACCTTAGACCCTCAACCCTACACCCCAAACCCTATGCCCAGAAGCCCTGCGCCCAAAAGGCCTGGCACCCTGTACCAAAAATCTGAAAGCCAGAGCCCCAAAGCTGAACTCCGTTGGCTCAGTCCTGGGTAGTATCAGCGAGGATGGTTTAGGGTTTAGGGTTTAGGGTTTAGGGTCTAGGGTCTAGGGTTTAGGGTTTAGGGTTTAGGGTTTAGGGTTTAGCGTCTAGGGTCTAGGGTTTAGGGTTTAGGGTTTAGGGTTTAGGGTTTAGGGTCTAGGGTTTAGGGTTTAGGGTTTAGGGTTTGGCTGGCTTAAAGGGGACCACATTGAGAAGGTTTATATCCGGAAGGGTCCCCCCCAATCCTAACTCCTACTATTCTACCCTCAACCCCAAGCCCTAAACCCTGAACCTAAGCCCTATCCTCGCTCCTACTTGGGTTGTCAAACTTATGGTCCCTTCTTGGTTCCTTATTATAATACGGCACCTAATATTTAGGGTACCCAGAAAGGGGCACAACCACCCACTTAGATGCTGAAGAAGACGCCGCTGCCGACGCAGTTCCGCCATGGACAGAGCCTTCGGGCCTCCTGCTCCCCGGCTCTTCTCGGGTTTAAGTTGGAAGGGACCCCCACCCTGTAATAGTGGTATAATAGGAATATAATAGGGCCCTAATATAATCCTTAAAGTCACTATTACAGGGTGGGGGCAGCTTCTAAGGTTTAAGGCTCCAAAACCCCCGAAACCCGAAGCCCCCAAAACGCCCTAAACCCTTGAACCCCTAAACTCTAAAATCCTGAAGAAGCCTAATCGCCCAAACCCTTAAACTCTAAACCCCAAACCCCCGAAAGCCTATGACCTAAAACACTACAGCCTCAGCTCCTAAACCCCTAACCTCAAAACCCCGAACCCTACACCCTAAACCCTACCTTAACCCCGAAGAACCTACATTTTTAAGACAGGAACTACAATGGAGACTCCAGGTATGTTTCAAGATTTGGGGCTCAGGGTTTAAGGTTAGAGGGCATGAGACTGTTGGGTTCCGGCTTAGAGGGTGTTGGTGTGCAGGGTTAGGGTTTTCCAGACCGTAGGGGTTTAGAGTCTTAGGGCTTATAAGGGTTTTAGGAGTTTAGGGTGTAAGTTCCCTAAACCCTAAACCCTAAACCCTAAACCCTAAACCCTAAGGGTGTAAGTTCAGGATTGCGTACCCTAAACCTTAAAATCTTGAACCTTTGCCTTGAGGGATTTCAGATGACCCGACTTCCTCCCATCATACTTGGAGGGTCTTTAGGGGACTTAGTAAGGGCTCCTTTAAAGGGGATTCTAAGGGTTCCTTTAAAGGGCTCTATAAGGGTAGTATAGGGTTTAGGGGTTTAGGGACTTAGTAAGTAGGTAGTAAGTAGACTTATAAGTACCCTAAAAGGGACCCTAATTGGGGTTATGGTACTTATAGGTCCTTGAAATAGCCAGTTACTAAGTCCCCCGACTTCCTCCTATCATATTCACCCACTGCAGGCGCTAAGTAAGCTTTCAGGATTCCTTCTTGACTTTCGCATCGATGCCCGGGAGGCTCAGATCAAGAGTGTCACAAAAAAGATTGGGGACCCCTACCCTATAATGGGGCTATATAATGGGTACATAATGGCTATATTAAGGGTATATACCTAGGGTCCCTCCTTTTACCCTTGGATTTAGGGATTTCAGATGACCCTAAACGCTAAACCCTAATCCCTAAACCCCTAAATCCTAAACCCTAAACCCGACTTCCTCTCGGTTTCATCGGAATCTTTCATCGAAGGCTGGTCCGAGAGATTCGCCACGGGGTCTCACAGCACAGCCCCTTGAGCCGCAACTCCATGGCTCGTAGTAGGTTTAGGGTTTGGGGGTTTAGGGGTTTAGGGTTTAGGGGTTTAGGGTTTGGGGGTTTAAGGTTTAGGTTTTAGGGGTTTAGGGTTTAGGGTCTAGGGTTTCAGGGTTTAGAGTTTCGGGGTTTTAGGCTTCAGGGTTTAGGGTTCAGGGGATGTCAAGGGTTCTTAGTAGGGGGGGGAATAGGTACGACTGCAAGGGGCTATCATACTGTTGATGATATAAATCCTGCATTACCTTAAGGACCCACAACTATGGGAATTATGGTACATTCCTTATTATGGGTAATGCAGGTTTTATATCCCTAAACCCTAAACCCTAAAACCCCTATAGATCCCTTAAAGGTACCTTTATAGATCCCTTTAAAGGAACCCTAGGATTTATATCATCAACCGTAGGGATCCTACCGCTCCCATTCCCTAGTGCCTTGGCTCGAGGAAAAAATATTTGGGTGGTTGTCAAAATTAGGCATACGGCACCTATTATTTAGGGTACCCAAAAAGGGACTATAATTTTGACAACAACCCATTCGATTTGGGGGTTTTGTGGTTGGGGGTTGTAGGGTTTTGGCTGTGGGGTTTGGGGTTTTAGGTTTTTTTTGATTTTTTGCAGGGTTTCTGGCACGTTTGGGGAAGTCCGGAGCAACATCAAAACAGTCTACACTAAACCAAACCCTAAACCCTAAATCCTAAACCCTAAACCCTAAACCCTCCCGGAAGGGGGATGGCCACAGCAGTACTGTTTCCACGAGCGAACGACCGACAGAAAAGCATCTTAACAGCTTGCTGTACAAGTTCCTATACACTTCTGTCTTTTGTCGAGAAGGTGCTTTACCCCCCAATAAGCAGAGCAACATGTTTCTTCTTCTATACAACTACTTTCTACTCTATCTTCTTCTTCTTGCATCCAGAGCCTGAGCATCGGCTTACCTGATCTCCGCTCCCCCTGCTGGCATGGCCGTTGCCGTGCCTGCAAACTCCACGTCGCTCATCAATACCGCCGGTGCTGATGCAGGAAGTCATCCTGTCCAGGTCCTGCTGCCGAGAGCCTGCTTCCCCAGACCGACCGCTGCTGATCGATGTCCCGTAAAGGAACCCTAACCGGCACTTGCCAATCTTCCGTGATTGCAGGAGCAACCATACGATCGGGATGAAGGCCAACGACACCCGCCCTTGGGCCTTGGGTCCCAAAAAACTGAGGATTATTAGCCCTAATCGCCTGTTGTCTAGCCTCTTCGAAACTCAACACTCGCACGTGTGGGGCAGGGCGGTCGTCCGAAGGACTTACAGGGATTTCAACAGCATCGTCCAAATACCTGATCACTCGAGTGGGCACCTGCTGAGATGCCGGTTCAAGTTCCGGCTCAGTGGTTTGAACTGGTAGTCCTCGACGCCTAGCTCTCAAACGACTCTCTCTCTCCTCTCTGAGCTCTGTCTGCATCTGCAGTGTTTCTACATGGTCCTCAGGTAAAGGCTCTTGTAAATCCGGCCTTCGCAGCCGAGCTAGAACCGCCGAAAGAGTCCTAATCCCAAACTTCAGCCCTTCCCAACAGCACACGACCGTAACTACGACCCCTATCCAGAACATCCATTCGATTCCGTCATCATCAACCTCAGTGGACCGGTGTCCTTCAGCTTGGCAAACCATACATGCCAAAAGCACAACCTGCAAACACTTCAACGTGGCCTTTGACAGACCCTGGCTCTCCTTCGGGTTGTGGACTGAAGTGTTTCCTATCTCTTGAACTCCGATCAGACTGCACAGATACTTTACGCGTTGAGCTCCCAAAGGCTTGGTACCTAAATCAGCTCCGTTCTGCAACCCCTCAATGTGGCTAATCATGTAAAACCCCATTTCCCACCGCTCGCGCATCGTGCGAGCTTTGATTCTCAACGACCTCGTTCTCCAATGGGAGTTTTGCCCTACGAAGACAGATACGGCAGCTTGATTATCATTGTAGATGTGGACGCGCGGCGCTTTCTGTGCCAATTCCGCCAAGAGGTAGACATGAGCCTGTGCAAAGCAACATCCTGTAGCCGTTGCTAAGAGCTCAGTCTCACATGAGCTTTGAGTCATGTAAGCCTGGCGCGTGACATGCCAACCAACAAGGCAGTTTTCAACGAACAACAAGCAGCATTCATTAGAGCGTGACGCATCCGGTGCAAATGAACTGTCCGTGAGCACTTCCAGCAGGTTGTTACATCCAACCTCCTTTCGTCCCGGTCTTGGGCCGCTCGGATCAGAACACAAGTACACCAATCCAACATTCGCAGAATCAACCAGGTAAGCAAGCACATGCAACCCCAGTTGGTAAGTTCTGGACGGGTCACGATTCATCCACTGCGCAAGTTTGGATATCGAAAACGACACATCTGGACGCGTACGCACACTGACCCACAGGATTTCGCCAATCAAACGCTGACACTTACGAAGTACACTGCTGTCAATGTTCTCCACTGCTTCCGGCTCCATTACCCCTGGTCCCAACGGGGTCCCGCAATGCTTAACCTTCTGAAGCTCATGGGAGTAACGATCCGCAAGGTCTTTAATGTACGACTCCTGCCAGATAAGCAAATTGCGCTCAGACGACCAAGCCAACTGCAACCCAAGAAATCGCAACGGCTTACACAAATCGGCGGTCAACCATTCTGGGTCTCCACATTTCCACATAGTGGTAATAGTCTTCAGCAACAACTTAACCAATTCACAGCACGTAGCGATAATAAGGTCGTCTATGTACACTCCAATCCAACCCCAAACCGAAACTCCAGACTCCTCATGCTGATCAAGCCCTAGACCCGATCTGCTCCAGCATCTTTCCGGTTCGCTCTCGGCGATAAGCCAGAGATTGGGGTCCGCAAACGATTGAAACAATCTGAGCTCCTGATCTTTATACTTCACGACTACCCGCCTCAGCGAGAAATCTCGACTCAGGCTCCAGTCTCTAGGACTAGTGTCAAGTCCGTAAATCGCCTTGGCCACCTGCCAAAGGGTGTTTTTGCCGACTAAGCCCCGCTGCACCAAACAACGCGGAGGGATTAAGATCACGATTTCATCGATTGGTACGCTCTCTCCCTGCGCAGCCGCCGCAGCGGCTTGCTCCGCCTTGGCCCTCGCCCTCGGTAAAAGCTCCGCATTAAGAAATGCGGTCCTAATGTCAGTGATGGCTATCTCATAGGAACGTCTCGCAGCTACTGCCAAGGCACATCGAAGGTGTGTGACATCAAGGGAAGAGGCAAACACAGCATCCTTGTGATCCTGCCGACTTTCATCCTTCGAGGGTGCCATGTTTCCACACGCCACTATTCGACATTTATGCCGACCATCCGGAGCCTTAATTGTCCACACAGCCTTAGCAGGGATGGTGATTACTCGTTTTCCAGAGTCTTTCCACCGCTGCACTTGTTTCCAATCAACTGGAATCAAGGCGCGCTTCTCATCCACCAAGGCCGAAATCTCCTTGTTTGCAGGATGCTCCCAAACTTCCCAGTTCGCCAGGACCTCCGGTAGAGATACAGTTCGGGTCTGCAGCACCGTGTCTGTACCATCATCCTCAGACGCACGCGTGGACACCTCAACCGCAGTTAGAGCTTTCAGTTCCTCGCGAAGCTCGTGGACTCTATCCCATGCCCCTTGGACCTCAGCCAAGTCCGTATCGCCTAAAGTATCAACGGCCTCACTCCCACCTGCATGCTCAAGCCAACGCGCCAAACGGTCCTCAGCGAACCCGCTCAACCTCAACTGAGCACGATCAAGCTCCTCAATGTGAGCCGTCAGCTCTGACAAGTCCCATGGAGCTTGCTCAACTTCACCTTCAGACGCGGTATGCCAACTACACACGCTAGCAGCATCATCCTCTTGATCCTGACGGTCAGCTGCATCAAAAGTTTCACCACTCAGCAACCAAGCGCAAGGACCATCAACATGACTCCCAGTGCCATCCACTTGAGCAGAAGTTTGGTCACCAAGACAACTCAAGGTAGCCTCATCCATGGGGCACGACGCTTCAACCAAGTTATCATCCAAGGTCAAGCCAAGATCCACCGCACCCTTATCACGCACAGCCAAACTCATGTCCGAGACCGCCTGAACGCTATCAACCAAGCTCACGTCGACATCACAACCAAGCTTCACGCAACTCAACACAACCTCAACTTCACCTGGCACAAGCTCCACTCGTGCCTCCGCTTCCTTTTTATAGGTTATACAATTTTTATTTGGGTTTTCAAAGTCTTTTTCTACCGCGCTCTCCACAGAAGTGTTTATTTGAGTTGGAGTGGAGGGACACGGCTCATCAGCAACACTAGCTATACATGCATGCTCATGCAAGCTCGCAAAATTTCCAGGGTACCCCGTCACGGTGGCTCCCCCTTTTGTCTGCCCTTCAGGCAGACAAAACCGCAACTTACGAAGAGTCTGCTCCTGCTCATCGCTCATGTTGGACCAACAACCAACGGTATATGCAATCAACACGACACGGCGATCAGGAGGCTGCCAGGCTTCAGTGGCGTGTAAAACCCCAGGCTTAAACAGCAGAGGCGCAGACCAGGGATGCAGCTGGCCGACCACTTCACGGCCTTTATGTCGCACGACCTGAATCTCGCCCGAAACAACCTCACCAACCTCAAGTGCAGTCCACAAGCGCCCTCCGCGCTCCGGAACCTGCAAAGGCACCAAACCGGAACGCGACTCATAATCGTTCGACGTGTCCTTGTGCACCACGGCCTGAGCATCAACTGACAAGCTCACCGTTGTGAAAGTAAGATCCGGCAGGAGTTCATGGAGTACACGACTTAGCAGCGCGGCAAAGCCTGGATGGGATTTGGTGAGACGGGTCATAGACACCACACCACCATGACGACAAGCTCCAAAGAGGTAATGAACTCCCCCCAAACAGCGAGTAGGAGCCTGGTGAGACGATCTATGTACAAACTCGGACCCCAGCACGAAATCCATAGCGGCTTGACAATCAAAAGGAACCTGTTCTGCCAACCGGGCCGCCTGAGCATCCTCATCAATCCCTGGCCCCGGTCTCTCGCGCAAAGCTCGCAAAGACCGCTTACCCCAAATCCGAAATGCAGGAGAGGGAGTTACCTTGCCACGCATGCGCCGTCTCACGGCCCCGGGCTCGGCAATCGGAGGTAAGCCCTTGCCAACGAAAAGTTGCAAATCCGATTCTTCGCCAAAGTGAAGTTTACTAACGACAGAAAGCTTGTTGCCTACTTTGACGACATAGCCTTGTCTCACATACGTGGCCGGTGCCAAAACGACAGCCGGAGTAGCACGCATATGCCATTCTCGCTGCCGACGCCTGAGCCAGTGTCGAACCAAAACCTGGGTCCGGGTGCCGAACGGCACTATCGGTTTAACCGCCATACCAAACTTCCTCAAGGTATCGGCTCGCCATGCGGCGGCCGCCGCACGAAAGGCCAGGGCCCACTTAGATGTATCATTACCCACCAGCTGCAAATACACTCGTACTTGGACTTTGAGTCTTTTGACGACGTTCTCAACTCTACCGTTACTGTCATGCTCGGTGGGAGGGGCGAGTGTAAGGAGGATACCGCGAGACGCAGCATACTCCCGCAGACGCTCATCAGTAAACTCAGTACCAGCGTCAGCATGAATGCGAGCTAATGGAAAGCCAAGCTCCACAAGTTGAGCATGAATACGGCCAACCGCCAAGCACACGCTTTGCGGGGTCTTACGATCCAACAGCTCCACAAAAACAACTTCTCTCCACGCCATGCCCTCAGCCTCCTTTTCATAATCGGATTGCTGCTTAGCCCGCGCATCCTCAGGACCTCCAACCTCTGGAGCGTCCAATCGTTCACCTTCCAGCGGGACCTCAGCTTCCAAGTTTTCGCCTTCCGAAAGGGCTTCAGGACCCTCATAGACTTCGGAAGCATCATCCGCAAGAGCACCGAACCACTCATCAACGTCCTTCTGAAGCTCCTCGAAGTCAGGATCAACATCCCGCACGCAAGCATCCTTATCCTCACCCGAAGCCTGCTCTTGGTCTTCACCCAAAACTGGTTTACCCTGCGCATCGACAGGGACCACGAGGACACCTACCAGTGCATACCGACGCTTATGCGAGACATCATCTGCCACACGCACAAACGGTCCCACGACATCAAGGGAGAGACAAAACGAAGCCGGAGAATGCTGACGACGGTGCGCACGCTGCTGTGCCGAGGCCATAATACAGTACTTACACCTTCTATGCGGGGGCCAGTGTCCTGACCGAATGTGCTGAGGCCAATCAACAGAGTCAACCTTACAAGCCGACGTGCGAGAACGACTCAACAGCACCGAGGAAAGCCTGTCCCTAGCTGGCTCCCCCCAACTTGCATGCTCACACAACAACTCACCGAAGTAACTCAAGTTCTGCACGCCCGAACCGGGAACAGGACTAAGAGCATGGTCCCCTGTGCCAACAACCAACACAGACGGCTTATCCTTTCCAAGTGTTTCGCACGCAACACAACTCACCTTTGCTAACAAGCCAAGGAAGATGGACTCATCCTGATCCAAGCCGCGCCTGTTATCAACCAGAATCACAGCAATCTTTCCATCAACCGCCAGCTCAAGCAACAGTCTCTGAGTGGAAGGGCTCATGAGGTGATCCTTAACTGGCAGAAGCAACGGCTCACAGCCCGACTGATGTGCCATCTTGCGGCACTCACTCCACCAAGGATCTCCTTTATAACTTATCACTACCCTATCACTCTTATTACATGCCCGGCGCTGCCGACGATTCCAACACGCGAGCGCTCCACTCCGAGGAGCCCAAGTGAACGGACAACCAACAGCCAAGTCAAACTGCCCTGACCATAACCGCCGGACTACTGCCTCCAGACTCGCAGCAACATCTTGATCCATCCGAATGGCCTCGACCAAAAACTTCACAAGGTGACGTTCTTCAGTACTCGAATACTCATGCGCAATCTGGATCGCTCTTACCGAGGTGGCTAATGCTTTGTGATATCCACTCTCAATGTCTCGAAGAAGCTCCAACGCTAGGTCTTCACTCATGCGCGGACAACCACTCGAATCGTCCATCGTGAGAACGCCCCTTACCGGATGAATCAATTCACACCTCCCTTCAGACCAAAACCAATGACACCCGAGCTTAATCAAAGGTCTCAATGCCACAATACACTCAATGTCTTGAGTGGAAACCAACGTGCCATACTCATTCATGTACAACACAGCGTTTCCCTCGGCCAAGTCTACCAGCCGACGCGTCATCCCCTCCGTAGTCTCCCCGGGCTTTAGTCCCCGAAGACAAGTGGAGGCTCCAGAATCCAACAACCCCGTACGAACACCACGAGCCTCAAGCCTGTTCAATGTTGGCTTCATTCGCAATGCTTTAGCTTGCATGGTCTTTATCAAGTTCTGGGTTTCTTTCAACAACTCAAGCTGGGCTTTAGAGGCTTGGGAACTCTCGGACGGCCTCTCTTCCTCCACTCCTTTCAAGAGGGGCTTGTTAGGATCAGGCTTATCAGCACCCTTTCCACCCGAGCCCTTGGGTTTACCACCCTTTTGACCCTTGCTTGTGTCCCCAGCATCCGTGGGACACTGATATGCCATATGACCCAACCCGCTACACACAAAACACCTGCTTCTAGCATCTGGGGCCTTCTGGAGGTCTTCATGGCTATGGGCAAAGTTGCATCGCGCTCCCCTCGAGCACCCTTTCGAGGTAAGCCAGTGATAACAAGCGTTACCCGAAGCTGACTCACTCGCCTTCCCTGAACCTTTGTTCCCTTTAGAACCCTTTTTACCACCATCCTTCCCACCATGAGGCGGATCGGCACCGTCCAATCGGGTATCAACCCGAGCAAGCTTTGGCTTTTTAGCCCCAGAAGATTCCAGAGTCTGAAGCTCTGCTTGCATCATCTCCCCTAAAGAAACCGCCTTATCTAAGGTGGGGACCAAGTCAACCGAATGTTGATGACGAAACGTTTGAAGTCGAAACTGCACGTCCGGAAACTGGGCTACAACTGACGACGTCAAGCAGTCCAGGCCGGATATTAGCAGCGTGGCATCCGGTAATGTCACTCCCAATTCAACAGCCCTCCTACGCCAACGAGCCCAACGCTTGACACCTCTCAAAGCATCCGAAACCGTTTTGGCCCCTTCTGGTGTAGCAAGATACCTCAGCAGCGCCGTACGCTCTCTAAGGCCACCAGGCTGAAATGTTGTAAGGATGATGCCCATTATCTCGATGGATGTCATGCGCCTCATTGACACTACTTCGTCCTTGATGGTAGGGGGAACTGCTTTCAACAGAAGTGCCACTGCACGCTGCTCCACTCTAGCGTACTTGCCTCTCTCGAACCTATCGGGCCTTTCAGGTTTTAGAGTGAGACGCTCAATCGGTCCACTATCCAACCACCTCGCATAATAGTCCTGGGCCGCAGATAGAGACTCGGCCCACCAATCAGAGGCATGCGCGGACAAATCCCGCAAGGAAGGGCCTATCAAAGCAACCCAATCCCCAGCAATCAAAGGAGTCAACTCCCGCTCAGTTTCCTTAACCTCAAGCTTGGGCAATTCCCCTACATTTTTCACATCCTCAACCCGATCTCGATCCACCGACCCTGTTCCTCGGATCGCCCCTTCGAGGGCGGCTGTTAACTTTTGAATGTCATTCTCCGGAGCAGGAGGTGGGGGCAAAGGACGGTAATCGTCGTGTTGAAGTTGTTCACTCCTACTGGGGGACCTACGAGGAGGAGGAGGTTTGATTTCTGTTCCACCGGGTGAAATCGGATAAACAATTCTGGGTCGTCGAGTTGGAGACTGTTCAGATACACCCGGTGCGGAAGTAGCAGTCATGTTAGCACCTTCTGCAGGAGTTCGATTTCTTTCAGGAGAGCGACTGTAACTCCTAGCATCCAAACCTCGCGACCGAGACAAACCCTCACCATGCACAAAATCATGTGGCTCTTCCCTCGTCCGTGCCGCAGCACCTGATTGATATGGACTGAAGGGAGTCCTGGCCTTCGGGTCGAAAGGAGATGCACAACGAGTTTCAGTAGTACGATTCTTACTTCCAGCAAGATGAAGTTCCACCGAATCGCAAATCGCCCCCGGTCTATCCACTCTCCCTCTTTCTCTCGACTCTCGGAGCATCTCATTTCTATCACTCAACTCCCGTTCTCTCACCCGTCTCTCACTAAACTCTCGCTCACGCTCACCTCTCTCAACACATGGTTCGAGGACCAACTCTCCTTCAGGAGAAAAGCGCCAAGAATGTCGAGTACCATCCACCACCACTGTCCCAGAACCCTTGGGGCCTCTAGCCGAGCCATGATCTAATGGAACCCCCGCAACCTGGGTTGGATTGGCATCGTCCACCCCGACATTCCCTAACGGAACAACAGCAGCAGGTCTTGGATCTGCAATGGCAAGGCTTCTCATAGCAGCTGTGACGTTGGATCCACCGGTTGTTTGATCCCCAGGTCTACGCCTAGGTCCAACATCCACTCCTCTTTCCATCCGTCTATGGCTACCAACACTTCGCTCAGATGCTGAGTTCTCGCTCGAGCGCTCCACCTCCAGCCTTTCCAAGCGTGAAAGCATGGTCGCTTGCGCCATCCTAACTTGATCAAGTGCCGGTGCCAGGCTAGCCTGAATAACCGATTGTAGCATCACGCTCATTTCACCCAATACCTCATGCCGCACTCTCGCCAAACCTTCCTCAAGTTGCGTCTGCCCTGTATTCCAACTGCTCGGCGAACCCGAGGCTGCACCCGGTGATAAACCAACCGCTGCTAGTGCACGGTTCGGATCATGGTCTACACTACCTGCTCCAGGTCGTATCACTGGTCGTGATGATGTCTGCGGCTTCTCAGGGCTGGCAACTTCCGATTTGGAGCTTTCTTCAGCCGGTAAGGCCGAATAATCTGGGACCAGTTCTGGCTCATCGATGTCCATAACCGGTAGTCTTGACCCCTGGGAAGCTGGAGAAGGACCAGTTGCTTCTACACGATAAACTCCCAACCTCGGTGACTCTTGATGTTCACGGTCCATAGCCTCTCTCTCATATGGCGGATGAAGGTCCTGCTCTGATACACAGCTCATGTGTGATCTTTCTGAAATACCACCGTGGTCATCACCACCATACATAGCCGCCTGCACTGAGTAACCCCAATTCGTTGGGGAGCTGTCTCTTGCAGATTCGGGCGGAGCTGAACTATCCATGGCACGAACGACTTGGGCTCATAACCCCCGGAAGGGGGATGGCCACAGCAGTACTGTTTCCACGAGCGAACGACCGACAGAAAAGCATCTTAACAGCTTGCTGTACAAGTTCCTATACACTTCTGTCTTTTGTCGAGAAGGTGCTTTACCCCCCAATAAGCAGAGCAACATGTTTCTTCTTCTATACAACTACTTTCTACTCTATCTTCTTCTTCTTGCATCCAGAGCCTGAGCATCGGCTTACCTGATCTCCGACCCTTAACCCTAAACCCAAAACCCCTAAACCCTAAACCCGAAAGCCTAAACCGAAAAGAGATCCTGCAGTTGGAAAAGCGCCGGCCAAGAAAGCCCAACGAGGTGGAGAAGAGGTCCGTAAAGGAACCCCAACAGATCCCCTAAAGGAACCCTTAAAGGAACCCCTAAAGATCCCTTCAGGGACTCCTTAAAGGAACCCCTACAGATCCCTTAAAGGAACCCTTAAAGGAACCCCCAAAAAGATCCCTCAAAGGAACCCTTAAAGGAACCCCCCCCCCCCATATATCCCTTAAAGGAGCCCTGCCTTCAGGCCCTGGGTTCAGGGTTCAGTAGCCAGGCCCGGAATTCAAGGAACCCTAAAGCCTAAACCGCCACTGGTTTAGGGTTTAGGGTTTTAGGGTTTAGGGGTTCAGGGTTTAGGGTTTAGGGTTTAGGGTTTAGGGTTTAGGGTTTAGGGTTTTAAGAAAAAGCCGCTGACCTTTTGGAGCCCGAACTGAACCCCAAGCTTCCAGACCTGAACATACAGCCGACTACCTTGGAGGGGGGACTTAGTAAGTAGGTAGTAAGTAGACTTATAAGTAACCTAAAAGGGACCCTAATTGGGGTTATGGTACTTATAAGTCCTTAAAATAACCAGTTACTAAGTCCCCCTTAACCCTAAACCCTTATAGAATCCCTATAGATCCCTTTAAAGGGGCCTTTAAGGAACCCCCGACCCTCCAAGTGGAGCTCTGAAC